TTGTCATCCCTGTGTCTATGTGAGAATAATGTCTGAAGTAGGACTTTTCAATACCTATGGAAACCTTTTCTTCCATAGAAAGCCTACAGGACCAAACATCAGGCAATAGCTTCCAGAAATACCAAACATAGGACCTCATCACATTGAGGTCCCATATGTGGGTGACAGCATGGGGCTTCACCAAGCAGTGTGACAAATCTGAGATGCAGCGGGGAAAACCGTCATCCTGCATTGCTGCATTACATGAGGGAAAGTGTCATTGCCCAGCTTCCTCTCATGCTGGCCCCATTGCAAGTAATGTGAATATGGGAAGTTTCAGTCTAAAGACTGAGGCTTCCTATGAAAGACCTGGGTCTAAAGCAGTATGGGCTCTGTGCTGACTGACCCTTCAGTAGTTCTGGGACTACAGAGGGGGCAGTCCACTCAGGTTTTCTGGGCTGAATCAGCTCTGAAAACCTCGAAGGTGACAACCCCTTCCCCAACCCACCTAAAAGACTTTGAGAAATAAATGTACTTACCTGGCTGCCATTAAACTGCTGCTGGAGTTCTCCTGGCATGTAGAAATGACATGCCAGGAGAAGGGGGTGAAGAGCAATTTTCTTCAACCACCCCACTTCTCCTGGTGCATCATTTCTACACCCCAGGAGAGCTCCAGCAGCAGTTTAATGGTGATTGTGCAAATAATTTTATTTTAAAAGGTTTTTTTTTGGGGGGGGGGGGTTGGTTGTCTGGGTGTTCTCCCAGAAAGTATTGGGAGTCCATCCAGACACCTCCACCCCTACTCCTGTGGGAAGTGTGGGCTTTTCAGCTGGTGTGCAGACTAAAGTCCGCCACAACCTGGGTTTTTTAAACCTGGTTTGGCATGGACTTTTCCACTGTGTGGAACCGGCCTAGGAAACCAGAGTTCTAATCTTTACTCAGTCTAGGAAACCCACTGAGTGACCTTGGGCAAGTTGTACTATCTCAGACTTAGCAGAAGGCAATGACAAATACCTCAAACCCTGAAACAAATATTGTCAAGAAAATTGTATAAGTCAGAACCTACTTTAAGCCACGTAACAACAAAATATTGTCAAGACTTCAACTGAACCCATTCTCCTTTTCTTCCTCTCTCTCTCTCTCTCTCTCTCTCTTTACTACACAGGACAGAATTTTTAAAAACAGAATGCTCTTCTTTTCTGTTGTCATTTTAAACAGGTTATAAAATCAACAAATGCTGTCCTCACATTTCTTTGTGCTCCTGTAGAAGATAAAGAACAGGGTCATTACAGCTGGTTCTCACAAAAGTTTATTTTGACTTGTACGCAAGGCCAGCAATACATTGCTAGCAGCAATGTGAGTTAAGGTAGCTTGTGGGTCTGTGTGGGAATAAATGAACAACTGTTCCTGGCCCAGCTGTATTTGTCCATGTTACAACACCCTGTGAGTCACTGCCTTGCTATGCTGTCACTGGAATGCTATTGTTAGATGAATGTATTCAGAATACCATTGAATGAATTCTGCTCTGCAATACTGCCCTTTATGGCAGAATGTGAAATAGGCAATGATCACTATGTACATTTTTACTCCAATGGCTTGATCCCCTCCCTCCTTACTACCAAATGAACCTTGAACAAGATATTGACTGTAGATAGGAGGATTACATGGAATCGTGTATTGCTTTCAGACTTGGAATCAAAATTATATCTGGGGGATTTTGTGAAACTAAGGGGTGAGATAACATAGACTGCTGATATAAGCTTAGCTATCTCACTATTCCAGCAACTGATGGATTGATTTAAGCCTTTAGTTTTAAAAACACTCTCTGCTTCCAAGAAATATGACTCCATTTGGGAAAATACTTGGTTTGAAGAGGAGTGTAAAAGGTCGAAAAGATAGATGACAAAAATATTGAAGTAATACCATGATAGCAATTCCCTTAGTATTAATTCCTCCTTCCTGTTATGAGCTGTGAAAATCAGATAAGAAATCAATTAATCAAAAGAAAAGAACTTATGCACAAAGGAGGAACATGGGTTTGACCATCTTACAAAAACATCTAGAAAGTTTTTGGCTTTGATATCATAGACCAACACTTGCTGGATATATACTCTTCACAAAATGTCACTTTAAATGGGTATTAAATGATTTGAGCAATCAAGGATTGGTCCCAATGATTATTTTAAATGGGTCCCTGATTGGAATTCAGTTAGTATAGAACATTCCAGAGCATGAACTTCAGGTTTACAAAATAGGTAGACTTCTGGGGAAAAATTAAATTTAAATGAGATTGGCTTTTGCATGACAACGCTAGATGACCTCCTCCTGACAGAAATGACTAGGCATGTCTAGGTCTGCTTTTTTAACTCCTTAATTGTGGAGAATTTTTTGCTTTAGAGTGTAGTGATTATTCTGATATTAAGGAAAGATACATCTTACCATTGTTGACTAGAGTGACAGGATGGTCAAAACTATGCTTTCTTTTGGGAGATTGTAACAAATATGCAATTTTTAGAACACATTTTGCCTCTATGCTTGCATGCAAATGAGATATTTGTGATATATTTGTACAGTGGCTATTTGCTTGTTACAATAAAATTATGATTCACATTGTGTTATTCAAATGAAACTTTGTTCTTGTTGTTGCTGTTTCCTGTCATCAAGTCAGCTTCAACTTATGGCAATCCTAAGAATTAGAGATTTTTAGATGGATAGACTCAATCAAAGAAGTAATAGCCCTTGAAGACTCAAGAATGCCGTATTCCTCTTTTCCTCCTGCCCTCAATCCTTCAGAGGCAGAACTATGTCATAATTTGTACAGAAACATTGTTTAACCTATATGGATATATGCATATACTAGATGAGTAACAGGATTTTGAAATTAGATAAATGCATCCTGCTATCATAACCAGAGAACATTTGGTTCTCTTATTCAAGCAATATTGTACTGTTCTTGGGCCAATAGTCTCATCTGGTTTGGCAGTTCCAGTAGTGCTACCTTGCTATTGCCTCCATTGCAAAACACTGAATATTTCAGAAAACAAGTAATGTTGCTCTGGCCCTACCATGTGATCCAAAACTCCCCAGAATTTTGAAATTCCACTATGATGTTCCATGGAGACACATTCCTCCTAAAATAATTTGCCAGAAAACAACATAAACATGAGATGCTCCTGTAGCATGTCATCAGCATTTGGAAAATGCAAAGATGCTTGTCAGAAGAAATTGATTGTCCATTGCCCTTACAGGAGCTGACTGCATCTTTGTTAATCATCCAGAGGGATGACTGGGTTTGTATTCTTCCCCATCCACCTCCGCCCAACCATCCCCCGAGCTTTTAACCAACTCTGTTTGGATTAAGATGGGCTACTTAATCTTTAAAATATGTGTTTCCATAACAAAGGATGGATCATGCATAAATTCTACATATGTGCCGTGCAAGCCAGAGATTTCTTGGAAATCCCCTGCAAGGTGCTGTCTTTTTCTGCAAACATTATTTCCTTCTTCAGAATTTCCTTTTCTCCCCCACGGTGAAATGCAGCCATTGACAAGAATGCCATGAAAAGCTACTGTGTTAACCACTTCCAGTCCGGAAACGACTGAAACTGCTATATGATCTCTTCTCTGCCTTTATTTGCTTTTAGTCATGGTTGGGCTTTGTGAACTCCCAAAGCTGTGAGGCTGACATAGATTTGGGGGGGGGGGGGGGAGCTAGGAGTATAAGGAAGAACAAGTAAACAAATGTAAAAATTATATAGTAATCCCCACCCCACATAGAATGACTTTTATTTTCACTGGTAATGCACTCATAATTCAGAACTAAAGACATTATGTATCTCAGAGATGTTGTGATCATATTCTTGTTCCTGCATTTGGATTGCTAGGAAAATAAATAAATGTACACCAGCAGTTGAGAATCTGAAGGGTCTCCATTGGTTGTTGTTGTTGTTGTTTTTAGACTATCTTCCTGTGCAATGATGAAAATTAATAGTAATTAGGAGAAGTCAGAGGTTTTTGAAAGCTAGATTGGTATGGCCACCCCTTACTCAAAGCAAACATTTAGAGTAGAAAGATATGATGTTCTGTAGCAGACTGCTAGAGGCATTATTGAGTTTCAACTAGTTTCAATTATTGGCATGAATCTCCCAGTATCAAAACATTAAGGAAATACATACTTCTAAGTGAATTATTAGTTTTTCCTATGGCAAATGAGAGGGGAAGACCTAGGCATCTTACGAGATAGGGATCAGTTGCAGCAGTTATGAATGTATTTACCATGTGTTAGGAAAGTTCACATAGATCACTCCTAGTTGAAATCACAATTCACTTTACACTTCTGCATGCAGCCTGATCTGGAAGGCATTATAAGTATTGATGTCTTCTAATAGGGTCTTCGGCTTTGCTAGATTAGAATACGGTTTCTAGGGAAGAAGCAAGGCTTGATCCAGGACAGCCCAGGCCAAGCCAGAAGCAATTGCCAGAAGATGCAGTTGAATACTGTTTTGTTATTAGAAACATGTACATAGGGACAATCCACATGCTTTTTCCAAACCTCTACCCCAAGTTAGTATTTCTCCACAAAACAGGCAGAAGCATGGAGTGAAATGCAAAATAGATGCGGAAGTCTCTTGTTCCTCATAAATGTCTGATGCACCCAGTTTATTTGCACCCATTTGGAGAGGAAACATACCCATTAGTCAACAAAGATTGTTCTATGTGTTGCACTCACAGTAACTAGCATAAAACCCGTTATTTTCCAAAAGGAGATCCCCCCCCCCCATTTTTAGAAGAAATCCTGAAAAAGTTGTTATATTTAACTATATGAATTTGGGGTTGGTTTTCAAAAAGTATTTCTACAAAAATGCATAATCTTTTATGATGTAATTTCATTTCTTACTAAACAAATCTGGGTATTAAGCATCTCGTACCTGTGCAGTCTGTTTTATCACCCAAAAATAAAATCTTACACTTTGTAAGTTACACATCCAAAACATATGCATAACATAAAACTTCACACTAGGTTTTTGTTTCATCAGTTGTTATCAAATGTTTATTCACCCGTCTGGTCTGACATCATGTAATTTCCATAGATTAAAAATCATTTAATGCATTGTATTGGCATAAAATAAATATTACACTTTTATTTGACCAATCTCAGTCTTCAATCAACACATTCAGCAAAAAAAAATTGTTCTACTGAATCAATTAAATATACTGAAAGAAGTTTTGATCTCTATCTTCTAGAGTCCTTCCAATAACTCTGAGGTCTGCATTGGAATAATATATCATTTAAAAAGAAACACTAGCTGGTAACTGTGGAAAGAACGTCTGTAAAAGGATTTTCTTAACCTTTTCAAATATTCCATTGAACTGTACGTCTAATGTTGACCATTTTTAAGGGTCACTTAGCAGTCAATCTTATGTTTACATGCAAAAAAAAAAAGGTGGTAGGAGCATAGATGTAAGTTTCATTCATGCTTTTGGCATTTCCATATTTTGTCAGTGTGAAGCAGGACTGCTTCAGACTGACATATGCAGCATATGGGGCTGCATTGTAGGCCTGACTGGGATGGCTGGGCCCGGAGGGAGGGGTGCTGGGCACATGCTGGGCAGGGCGAGTCCAGGAGAGGAAGGGCCCCAGAGAGGACAAGCCCATTAGGGGGCAGTGCACGGCTGGGAGGAAAGTGGGACATACAGTGACAACTCCGATCCTCTCCCTCCTTGATCCCCCCCTCCCTGATCCTTCTCTCCATCCTCCTCCCCAATCCTCAGGTTGTCCTCTTGGCATTATGCAAGGAGGAGGGCGAGACAGGTGGTGGCTGAGAGTGCTCCAGAGGACTCTCAGCAACCATGTGCCTTCCTCGAGTCATTCTCCCAGCATATGGTTGGGGCCACTTGCACCATCCTTATACCTGGAGGAGGAGGAGGGCAAGACATACAATGTCTGAGAGCACTCCATAGCGTTCTCAGCTGCTGTGTGCCTTCCTCCCTTGTCTTTTTGGTGGACTGCCATGTCCTTATGCCAAGAGGACAGGGAAAATGAGGAGGGCCTGAGGTAAGTGCCCAGGGGGACGCATCTGGCTCCCGGGCCTTAGTTTTCCCATGCCTGCACTAGATGGACAAGCATCTGAATTATACCCCATGTGTGAACCAATGAAATATTATTCCTATTTGCAAGACAAATCACCCCAAAGAAAGCAAAACAAATCCACCTGTTTCTTGGTAAATAAATCAATGCCTAAATCCAACTGTTCACCTCCATTAAAGTAGACTTAGTGAATCAATGTCAATTGGACAAGTCAACACTAATGAGTCAATGAATCTGCTCTAGTAGTGCTAACAATTAAATTAAGGCTATATTATCATTCCAGATATTATTTTTGTCTGCATTTACTAGATCTGATTTCTCCCATCTCAGAAGAAATCTCTTTTACAAACATTTATGTCAAATGTTCCATTTGATTATATGTCAAACAAAAAAATACTTTATTTCAATATATGTCTGACAATTTTATATTTAAACTTCTCATCCAGAATGTGAAAGGCTGGAAAATTCAATGTATTTTAAATACATAAAGCTTATATCAATTATGTATGCAGACAAGGATTCTGCCTGTGAAAAAGTAATAATAACTATCGGCCAAAGGGTGGTAAACCATCTTTCTTTAGACTTCTATTGAACTTTCCTCCTTATTGAAGTCAACAGTGGATTAAACTTCTGTCCCAAATGTAACTGTATTCATTTTCCTTCACAGATGTCAAATATAGTACATATTTTAGATCTATATTTTTGCATCCAGAACACAACTTATATAAAAATTTTTACAGAGGAAATAGAATAGTTTCTACTCTGTAAAATTCCGTGGCCAAGAAATTGTAAAACATAAAATTTCCAATAAACAGTCCAACTGCTATTGCAAGGTGGGAGTGCAGTGACTTCTTTTTGTATTAGCCATTTTAATTATTAGCAATTATAAATAAAATAAAATAATAATATTATGATATTTGTTATAATGTAGAGCTCTTTCAGCTTCAAAGCTATATTAACTCATATTAGGAACCAAATAAATGCACATCCCAAAAATCTGTCTAGTGTGTGTAAGTTTTACCAGCAGTCCTACCCAGTCAATTTTAAACTGTGAATTTTAAATGGACATGTTTATATGTATGGATTATTTTAATGTGTAATGGTTTGTGAATTAATCCTATGTTTATAAATGTTGATCTAACATTTCTATGTTTTAAATGATATTATATCTTTTAAATTATATATTGTATTTTAGTTTATGTTGTACCCTGCCTTGGGCCATGGGAACAGGTGGATAAGAAATGAAAATGATGAGATAATGATGATGTAAATTGATAACAATGAGTCTTATGATCTGCAGGGGAGGCCCTGTTCTCAGTCCTACCCTCTTTGCAAGTATGACTGATGGGAACAAAAGATAGGGCCTTCTCAGTGGTGGCCCCTCGGCTGTGGAACTCTTTCCCCAGTGACATCAGAATGGCCCCATCCCTCCTGCTGTTCAGGAAAAATTTAAAGACTTCGGAAAAGTTAAATATTTTCAGTGTAGCAACTCAAATAAGGACTATGGGAATAAGGTCTATGGGAAAATCAAAGAGTATGGAAATTAAGACTCAGCACTTTGTACTTTGCAATCTGTCTTAACTGTTGTAATTTGATATGTTATATTTTTACTGTGTGTGTTATGCAGCATTGAATTTTTGCCATGATCTGTGAGCCCTTCGGGGTGAGAAGGGCAGGGTGTATATATATAGTAAATAAACAACTAGTGTTGTAAATAACCTTCTTTTTTGTCAGGATCAGGTAACCGTGTGAGAAGTGGGGGCCATTTCCCCCATAAGCCCCTAGTGTACCTGTTTTGGTATGACCTTTAATATATAACATCATGTCTTTGGATGCTAATATCCCTTTTAAAAAATCCACATACAGAAGTGCAAACTACCATGTTTTACGGTGGTTTGTGCTTTCATGATAAATGCGCTGAAAATCAGCCGATTCCCCTCCCCATCAGAAGTCAGGAAGATTAGGGGAAGAGTGCAAAATTAGGGCCAATCTGAATACATTAACACCTTCTCCAAGTTGTACCCTTACTATCCCAATTTCATATGTGCAGAAGTGGGGAAAATATGTTTAAGCAACAGCATGGGAGTAGTGAGATCACTCATGTTTAATCCTGAACATCAAATGAGCTGTTCATGGTGCTGAACCAATCTTGGGGTTTAAAAAAATGAGAATTTAATCAATCTGGGCTTCCCACCTTGAAGAGCAGAATGGAAATATGATGACACTGTAATAATTTCTCACCATACAGAAAAAATCAAGAAGCCAAATTACTTTCAACTTTGATGGTGGTATAACAGCATAATAACACATGAAATCCAAATTTCTAATACTTCTTTCATAGCTATTCTAGGGGCCCTTCTGAAATGGCAAGAATAATATAAATATATGTAAATAAACAGCTGATATTGTGCTTTTTCGTAATATAATAACTGGTACAAAATGAAAACTTTTAAAGGAACCCACATATCAACACTTTCTTGATTATTATATCATACTTCACTCCCACAAGCTGCCTTAGGAGTGTTTATCAGATTAATCTCTGTTTCAAATTTCCTCTTCCTGTACATAATGTCTGGAGCTATTATGCCATATGTTATTATTTAATTATATTCAGTCCTACATGCGATACAGAATGATCTGTCTGGCTTTCAGAAAAATTTACTTGGAAAAATTAAAAGGGTATAAAATGAAGGTACGGTTAAAATAATGTTATGGAAATTGTTGCATTGTGGCATAGCCAAGAAAACCTTCTCTTTCTAACTTTCACAGGATCATTTACAGGAAACTACAGAAAAGGAGATTCCACCTGAACATGAGGAAGAATGTCCTGACTGTGAGAGCTGTTCAGCAGTGGACTGTGGTGCAGCTAGCTGGGAGTTAGCTGCATTAATATCACTACTGACCAAAAGGTCATGAGTTCGAAGCCAGCCCGGGTCAGGGTGAGCTTCCAACTAATTTGTGTAGCTTTCTGTCAACCTTTGCAGCCCGAAAGACAGTTGCATCTGTCAAGTAGGAAATTTAGGTACTGCGTATGAAGGGAGGCTAATTTAACTAATTTATGATGCCATAAAAATCTCCAGCAAGCATGCAAAGAATGGGGAAGTACTTCATCAGTGTCACAAATGGACAGTGAAGCGACAGCTCCCCTGGTGGCCAGAATACTCTCATCAAAAAGCTGAAATGTTAAGTAGCTTCTGTCTATATATGTTGTGTGTCTATGGCATTCAGTGTTTGCCACGTATATGTATATTGTAATCCGTCATGAGTTCCCTGCGGGGTGAGAAGGGCGGAATATAAATGCTGTAAATAAATAAATAAATAAATAAATAAATAAACTCTCTGCCCCAGAATGTGGTGGAGACTCCTTCTTTGGAAGCTTTTAAGCGGAGGCTGGATGGCCATCTGTCGGGGGTGCTTTGGATGTGATTTTCCTGCTTTTTGGCAGGGGGTTGGTCTGGATGGCCCACAAGGTCTCTTCCAATTCAATGATTTATTCCCTATGGAAGGGGGAGGGGGCAGAGGGTTAGCCAATTTTTGATAATGCTGAGAGGCAGGGCCATTGCCATTACAGATAACTTAAATTGAGCTGTAATGTTATAAATTAGGAAGAAGACACAATGCTGCTGATAGTGGCTACATTATCAAGGTAGTGGAAAATCTTGTGTTTCATGCAGGGAAAGGGAGCCCAATTCTAAAAATCAATAAAAAGAACTATGGACGGAATATTTTGGGCTTATGCGTCCTGAAGATGATCTTCATGACCACCATGCACAGATGTCATGGATATTGCTGTAATCATTTGGCACAGTATGCAGCCCATCCACAATGGCAACAGATAGCATATAAGTGCATCAGCAAGCAAGTTCATCCACAAACATTTTAAACTGGAGTGTGCATCAGTTGTATTGGGACTCCACTTAAACACAAATGTTCTATGTTAGTAATCTGCAAAGCTATCTAGTATCTCCAAGTGCTTCTATTATCTCAAACACAAGGTAGTTATACCTGAGCATATCTTTTTGTCTCATATTCTTCTACAAATAAATTATAAGAACTGAATGAAATAAATAATTTTTAAAATCATCTATTTTTCTATAGAGACACTAGATTCTGATATAACTCTTGCCCCTTGTAGAAGCAATAAAAAGATTCTCCCTTGCTTGAGCATAAATATCACTTTTTTTGTATTAGTGTCAGAGGACTTTCAAGCCAGTGCAAATCATTTCCAACTCGTGGAATAGAAATTATCAAGAATTAATACAGTAGTGCATCCAACCTACAGAAAATGTGATATACAAAATGTTTTTATACCGAAAAACACATTTGACGTGAAACCAAATATAATGCAACACTTGCATAGAGAAGGAATAAATGCTAGTACTTTGCTGCACGTTAGTCAGGGTGTAGGGAGAAAAACCAAGTTGATGTGCAAAACTACTCAAGGTCATTTTTCACAAAATAATGTGGCCATAGTTCATATTTTACAAGTCATTTGTAAATAGTAACTGTGACACCATGCAATAAATCTCCACAATTTAGTGTAATTCAGATCTTGCCACAGTGAGAGTCATGTTAAAAAGAAATGTTCACCATGGGAAAAAATGGCATAAATCACAGCATGGTGAATTCATCATGTGAAAAATGATCTTGAGAATTGCAGTTAGAGAAACGGAACATTCAAAAGCAAAAATACAATTTTCCTAATATGGAAGTTAACTGACACACAGCTTTGATTCTACGTTGTCTCTTAACTTCTACAAAAATAGTCAAAAGCAACACATTTCTTTAAAAAAAACAACCCATATACGTCTTAAAAATACTTTAGGCATAATCCAATAAATAAACATGAACTCACAAAAACATGGCTGGTAACCTGTTGTTTTGGACACAAATTTTTACACTTATTATTGAACTGTATTTATAAATATGTTTCCTGTTTCCTCATGCCTTCTGGTTAAGTTCGTGATGATTCCCACATGCTTCCAGTCTTAGCTTACACAAACCTTTCTACAACTATGCATGCACCAGCCAAACAGGCAATTAACCTGCTCAATATAGATATACCTCTGTTAGGATCAATCCTCTTGATGAGTTTCCTGCTCTCCAAACAATATCGTTTTTATTCTGGGTTGTCACGTGGTGAAGTTGCTCTTCCTTATCAGTTTTCCAGTGACCCATGGAAAGAAAATAACAATGCGACAATACCCCTAATTCAGGAACAAGTTGCTGCTACCACAAATGGAGCATGAGGATAGGGAGATTGATGGGAAATTTGCCAAGCATCTGTGTCAAAAGTAATACATAGACAAAACCCTCACTCAAGAGAAATGATTTCACATCTGCTGCTTAATTCTTCATTCTTCTGCCCAACTTCATTTTACTGTTGCATTCTGTCACAATTTTCCTTTGGTTATGTCCGTGATATGGTTCTATTTATGTAAATCTCTGCTTTTCCGCAAAAAACAAATGGAGTACTGTACAAAACCCCCTTCTATTAGTCCAGAAAAGATCCCTCCAAAGTTTCTTGCCCTATCCTCTGGGACCAGTCTAGTTAAACATGATGGATTCAGGATCTTGATTTGCCATTTGAGCCATGTGCCTTAACACGTCCTTTTTGGTTATAATGCCCAGAAGCCTCCTGGAGAAGAAAGAAAAGGTCATCAATCATAAATCTATCTCATCTGTTTTTCCAGTTCTGCTCCAGGCAGAACTTTGCTACAACCAGGAAACAGGAATTTTGGAGTCATATTCCCACTAATGAATATGCAGGTTGCTGCAGAAAATTCAGCATGGTATATTTCTTATTATAATCATGGTGCTTTCATTTTAGCCTTTTCCCTTCATCTTTGCAAAAATAATAAAAACGTACCACGTTTCCTCTAATCACGTTCCCGAACACTGTCAGTCAAGGTTGGCTCTTGGATAGGAAGTGACTTTTGCCATTTGATGTCATCTCTTCAAAACCATTACAGGAACAAATTGGGTCCTCCTGGCCAAAGCCATGCCATAGAAGACTAATACAATTGTAGCTGAAAGCCTGCATGCTGTGACCCGAGTACTTATGAGTCATTTTAAATGAAATATTTTTAAGTCAACTGAATTTTATATCTTTTTGCTTAGTAATTCATCCCATTTTCCTGTCTAGCTATCCTATTAACTGTTTTAGTCTTCGGATGTCAAACAGAACAAACATGTTTGTAAATATGGCCACATAGAATGCCACTAAGTGCTTCCTTTATCAGATTAATGTATAAAAATTATTTCCCAGCTGTGGTACCAAAACTCACTTAATGGCCACTTTATTGTCTGTTGAGGGACAAAAGAAAATTGCTTTGAAAATCTGTTGTAAATTGATGTTTTATTGGTATTTACTGATGGTTTTTGTATTGTTACGGTTACGCTACAATTATACCTTATACTCTACCCAGCAATTGAAAAAGGATTAAAATCTTCTTAATAAGCAACTTTACATGCTTCCCTTGACAATATGATCATAACAAGACTTAGTTTTATTCTGCATTCCACTACAAGTTCACTGGCACTGGAAAAACAAACTCTAAGAATATAGAACGTGACACAATTAAATTTATTTTAAGGGGGGAAAGTATGGGGGACATGATCACTTTCAATGTCCAAAAGATCTCATAGGCTGATGCATCTCCCCCACTGATTCTTCTCAAACTAAAGAAGATGCTTCCAGCATTTCCATCCTCACGGCATAATTTTGTCATTGGGATCATAGATACTAAACTATAAATCCAAGTTTTTCTAGTATTAGATCAGTAGTAAAAGAAGAAGAACTCCATCTGACTCTCCTACCTTTGATCTGATGACAGAACCCCTACTGCCAGCTCTCCTAGCCTGCCGCTACCTCAAATAAACTGTTTCCTTTTCGAGACCAGGTGGTTTATATTGAACTGAGGTCTGGGTTCTGCTATGGATGAGCTATACCACTTGTCCTAATTTGCTGGTAGACATTAAGCAAGAATGCATGTTTCAGCACATGGGACCTACTCTTTGGTTGCAATTCTTTATAACTCAACTAATTATGGAGTTGCTATTTTAAAACTTCTATCAACATTCATTGATATTCTAAATGTCACACTGATAAAGCAAATGTATTATATAACAGTGTTAGAGCATAGATTTTATTTATTTATTTAAAGTATTTATACACCACCCTTCTCAACCCCAAAGGGGACCCAGAGCGGCCTTCCAAAGGCAACAATACGATGCCATATACACAACAGATGTAAAATAAGCATATACATTAAACATGAATTTAAAATCATATAAAGATTTTATATGTAATATATTTTATATGTTATTAAAATGACATAATCCAAGACCATAGTCAAAACCCCATCCCAATTGTCATTGCACATTTTCCATCATCACTTATTTCACTGCACTATTGTCTAAAGGCTTAGTGCCAAAGCCATGTTTTTACATGCTTTCCGAAGGTTGGGGCGGGGAGCTAACCTGATTTTGCTGGGTAGAGAATTCCATCGCTGAGAGGCTACCAGTGAGAAGGTCCTGTCTCTCATCCCCACCAGTAGCGCCTACAAAAGAGGTGGGACCGAGAACAGGGCCTTCCCAGATGATCTTAACCTCCAAGTTAGGGCTGGTTTTTTGATTCCTTGGCAGCTCAAAAAGCAGATAAGAGTCTGGTTCCAGAAAAGAAAAGTTCAAAAACACTGACAGTTTTAAGTTGAAAACTTCAAGAATCCCTCAACAGCCAGAGTGTTTCCTTGGTATCAGAGAAGTATAAGCTATTAGATTAAGATATGACTCTTTAATACTATTCTGCTTTCTACTTCAACTGTGAAATAAGCACTGAAAGCACCCAACCTTGAAAATATTCTTTCTAACAAGGTACTTTGGTGGTTACACCACTGAAGCTTGGCCTGAATCGTGCCTTCAGTCTGTTTAGAATCCAATTTGAGCTTCTGAGGGACATACTCTGCATTCCTCACAAGGTCACTGTTTCACTTGAGTTAGCTTCTGTCTCTTATTTTTAATTCCTCACCTTCCTGCAGACTCCCAAGTCATAAGCACTTTGAATTTGTAGAAAAATAAACTGCAGCTGGTTAATTCCCTTCATGTGTCATTCACTTCAGGATTTTCATAAGCACTTTTGGTGCATTTAAATCTAGCTAGAAGCTCAAAACACAGCAAAACATTTGCTAACAATGACAGTCGGATGGTACTCCTTCCCAGCAGCAAAATACATTAGGAAGTGATAAATACAAATTTTGCTGTTTGCACAGTTTCATTGCATACATTATGCAACTTTCCCTCAGAACTGTGGGTTAAAAACAAAACTGCATGGCCTTGAATTTGAAAGAAGAGGGGACATTTTCAAAAAAACCCTGATTAAAAATAACCTTTGCCAATCTGTTTACAAATAATACATCAGCCTTTCCATATTCCCCTATCATAACCAAAGAGATCATGAAATCAGGAACTACATGCTAGTGTCTGATCACTTAGAGGTGAAAGTTAAAATGACTACTCTTCTTCCTAAAAAAGGGGGCGGGGGGAGGAGAAATGAATGGATGTGAGGAGAGCACCCGATGGGTTGATCATGCAAATGTCAAGTCATTGCATGTGTCAATACAATGATCATACCTTCCTGGAGCACCTTATGATATCTCATGAGGCTTCTGGTCGGAAGGGATCCGGTGCCAGAATGCTGGACAATCTGCCATAGATCTAAAAAAAGTTTCTGGCTGTCTAACAATAACAAATGAAAGCTACCCACTTCTGTGTTAGGTTGGTGGAAAAACGGGAGTGGAGCTAAGAACACATGGGGTTCATTTTGTTACTGATTCAAATTTATGGGCTTACTCTTTTCCTAAATACTCAGTCCTGTACATATGATTCAAGGTGGTGGTTCCCCAAAATTAAGAGGATAATAGATCCTTGAGGTTTGCTCACCCATTTCTCCCCATATATTTTGAAAACATTCCAAAATTGAATTCAGCTGCAACCAATATCGTCTGTGTTCCAAACGTAATTCTAACACTGTAGCCCACTTTCATATTGATTGATTCATAACTATAGCATAATTTTAGAAAGCATGTCGTAACAATATATCAATGAGGAGCAACAAGTATATCCTCTCTCATTCCAGATCAAAGCATTCAATCCTTGATCCCTGTATGTCCTAACCTATGTCTTCCTCCAACTCTCTCCTGAAATTAAATTGGCCTATAAAAATTAAATGTATTTCCTTTTTATCTTATAGGTCTTCCCGTTAGGCAGTCATATGGATATGAAGCAGCAAAAGTTAAGCACTATTAAGCCCAAGGAATTTATGTGGGAAAATTTTTAAATGTATACTTGAATCTATCCCACTGGAACCAGGAATGGTAAAACATTTGACTTTGGCTGGATCATGTCTGATAGCAGGAGAGAGGTTATCAGACAGAGTGCTTTGGGATGTGTTTCTGTTTATATAAGAAAGAGCACGCAGAAAGGGGAGGACCCCTACATTTTACAAATAAAAATCCAATCTGGCTAACATCTCTGGAGGAAGAGAAACTGTGGCTTGTTTCTTGAAAATTATGAACTTTGCAACTGTATGCATGAAGTTGACAATTTAAAGAAAGGCCAAGCAGTCTGTTTTTTTATTCAGGCACTTAGCTATTTTCCAAGGAACAAGAAAGAGATTGTTTCATCAATCAAAGTAATATGAATCAGACTACATTGTCTGCGGTAGAATCTAAAACAAGTGGTGACTGAAAATACTATGAAAATCCAATTTACCCAATGACCATACATGGATCCTGGTTAGAGGTTGCTTTAGCCTCTATGGGACCACAATAAACCACTTACCCACTCCGTGTGACAAGACACTGCCTGAGTCCAAGTTTTCGGAAAATATCTACCACTGTTTCCATGGGTGTGTGGTCTGTGACAGTAAAGGGACTCAGATTGAGAATGCGTCGTAGCTTCAGTGGATGAGGGCTATTAGCAGGGACTTCCGGAGGCTCTTCAGTGAAATATATAACAGAATTGCTGACTACACCATCCTGGCGTTGCCTTGCATTTTCTGTGCGCCAAAAGAAGGAGAATGAGAGATGTTTACTTTCTAGATCGCATGAAACTATTCTGAACATCAGCATTGTTACTGTAATTTTATGTTTTTATCATTTTTAGGTCTATGTATTGTTTATGGGCAGCACTTTGAAGTGCTTTGTGACTGGCCCTGAGTCCCTTCAAGGAGATGGTGGCGGGTTACAAATAAAATGTATTATTATTGCTATTATTATTACTGTGGCATAGGGCACATTCCAGAGTTTTATAATGTTAATAGAGGACTCATTGCTTATCTGATGAATGTCACGAGTTCAAAATGTAGGATAACCAGTAATTGATAGAAATGGGGAGTTATCATGGAGAAAAGGTGTCTCAACAGAAGCTTTATCACCAATTCTTGTTTCTATAACCCAGATTTTTCAAAATTCAATTATCACAGGGACAGATAGTGTGATGAAATCTTCTGAACTTGAACACAGACAGCCAAACAAACACCACAGGGGTGTTAACCCTTCCCTATGCTATATGAAACGTGTGTGTGTGTGTGTGTGTGCATGTGTGTGGCCAGAGTTACACTTAAAAAATGTACCTGCTCTGACTTACATACAAATTCAACTTAAGAATAAACCTACCGAACATATCTTATTCGTAACTTGGGAACTGCCTATAATCCAACAGGAATGTAACCAAGGCATGTACCACCATGTCTAGATCCGACTCCTCCATGAAAAGGCACAGTTTGAGCATCAGCTTTAATTGTGTAAAAGCACTCCTGATGACTGCTGATACCTGGGCCGCCAGGCTCAGAGCAGAATCCAAGAGTACCCTCAAACTGCGAACCTGCATTTTCAGGGGGAGTATGACCCCCATCTAACACAAGCTGACTTCCTATTCCAAGATCTGTCTTACGTCTGACCAGCAGCACATCTGTCTTGTCTGGATTAAGGACATGACAGAAAGACTTCTCAGCAATGGTACTCCAACTTTTTTAATGCATTTTCATATTTTTAACATTAAATGTTTTGATTTAGAATTTGTTTAATTGTTTTTAATCATATATTTATATTTATATTCTGATATATGCATGGTTTTGAATATGTTGTTAGCCTCCTTGAGTCCTTTTATTGAGGGAGGAGGGAAGCAGGGTGTAAATGAATCAAACAACATTGTTCCACCTTTCTTACAAGATGGGATTCAATGCAGAATGCTCTATCCCTAGAAGCCTGACTGGTACCAATACTCATGTCATTTATGCCCTCAGTTTAAACTTAATTTTTAAAATGTAAAAGTTTAAAGTTATTTGTGAGCCTCCCTGATAAAAGGGGAGGTATAAATATTTTGTTAAATAATTATATAAGTAATGAAAAACTGCCTTGGTGGCCCCTGGCCCACAAATCACACTGTCTGTTCCTAGAGTAGAGCTTCAATGTGGTTCTCAGGAATAAATTGAACCACTTCAGAGGCTTCAAATATTTTTGCAACAGTGCTTGTTTAACTTCTGACTAGTCCTCTTTGAGAAACTGTATCTTAAAATTTGTAAAATGGCTAGTTTAAATAGTTATTGTTATGACCTTCCCATTTTAATGATTGACTAGAAAGCTTCTGAACAATTATTGCTGAAGGGTGGATCAAGAGAGGGTGACGCCCTTAACCCTGACTTTCCCTTTCCTTTCCTTTCCACTGTGTCATGTATGTGCTGAAAGCTTAACAATGTTGACAGATGTTTTAAAAATATCTTGTGTTCAAAAACAACAACAATTTTGAGAGGGGGTCTTCAGCACAAATATCTTTATTTTTGGAGCTTACGTCCATCACTTATTGGCCAGAGTTTTGATATCAACAAAGAAACTATTTCCAGCATATTTCAGATGCATTGTTTTTCTCTTAAGACTCCACTCTTGGAATATTGGGATAATTCAAATTGCCAAGCCTAAAGCTACATTTCCAACCAGCCTTCAAGCCCATATGTTGTAAATTTATTGCAATTTACGGAAACATTATTAACTTTTGTCCTGTCATCCCATGATAAATATGCTGTTCTGCAATTGCAATGTGCTTGCTTTCGTTTATGCCACCATTTTTTGTCCATACATTTGGCACAGTTCATATTAATCTTATTGAGAATTGTTTGGCTGGCTCATATTAGAAAAAGATGTGTACCTGAACGAGAGGGGGAAAAAGTAGAGGAAAAGAAGCTCATACAGAGAATGTATTTCTCTCTTTGATCTAGGCTGTTCTTGAAATATTTCACTACACCTTTCTTACTATAAGTTATCACAGGAGAAAACCATGCTGTGCAGTTATTTCTGAAAAAAATCAATCGTACTCCAAATGCAAAGCTTCAAAGACAGACAGAGGCATGTGGATTCAAGATGGCACATTTGGACAGGGATTTTTTAAACTTGTTTCATACACAATTAACTTCTTAATATATCATATACTTCTATGCTACTTACAAAAATAACCATAACCATAGACATATAACATACTCTCACACACACCAGTGTGGATTAGCTATACACATATAAAAATAACCATATTTCTGAATCAGAAGGAGAAGGAAGGAAGAAATATACCTATGGACTTAATACTCACTTATTGCAAGAATCAACTCCCGCCTTTGTGCAAACCCAATAAGACGCTCAGAGTCTTTAGAAACCACTACTGGGAAGCCATTATAATCTGTCTCCTTGATTAATGTCTCCACATCTTCCACTGTCATGCTGTCTTGGGTCAGGACAGAGAGGGGGGCCTCCCCACGCCTCGGTCTCATGACATCAGTAGCCAGCGTTCTGTGAGTAAATTCATCTTTCACATCCAAAAAGGGATAGCCATTCAAATGGATGTGTGCCTCATAGATCCCTTCTTTACCAAAAGCATCAGCAACCCATTTGCTAGTTACAGCTGCAGCCATCAGAGGCACAATGTATTCTAGTCCTCCCGTCAATTCAAACATGATCACGACAAGAGACACTGTCATTCTGGTTACTCCTCCTGCCAAGAGAAAAAAAAAACACTTCCAAATAGTTGTTTGGCATATTCGAATACACTGATTACCTTTTTCTCTCTCACATGTTTGCACTTGGGCTGTATTCTTCATTTCAGTTCCAACCACAGTAATACTTTTCTATAACCATTGTGATTTGGAGGGGGGGGGGGGGAGATGACAACAATTATTTTATAGGATCCTAGAAGTATTCCTATAGTACAGGCTGCATATGTGTGTTAGGACATAAGGAACATCTCTTGCTTTTCAAGCAGACCTACATCTTCTTATTTCATGGACAGATTAAAAAAATCTTTAATAAAATGATCATATACAATACTGCTGAGACAATGGTTTTGCTGCCATACAGATATTTGAATCAAACAACAAATACTACATTTTAATAACTGAGTAGAACATTTTGGGAGTATTTGCAAAAAACAATGATAATAGTTTTGAGGGTATAGACGGGAGAACAGGTGCCTGATGATCCCAGGATGGATAGATCAGCTTTCTTGGCTGCTGTCTTCCATAAAATTCTGGTAAGATCATTCAGAATTTTATAGAAAATAAAGTTTTTTCTTTATGAACAGAATTTTTAAAAATGTGCAGTTTGTTTCATAAACTGAATATGTGGGTGCTTATTTAGAAGTCAGCACTGCTAAATTCTCTGAAATTTATAATCCAGATGAATATGCTGTGACACGGGCATGCTTAAAAAATATGCAGAAAAGTCAGAGCTTGATATCAGGAATAACAGGAAGCTAGGAAGAGTTATGACACAAATACAGCTTTTCCTCTCACTGAAGATTCTAACACAATCATTTCAAAATCTGGAAGTATACACACTCTGTTTAAGATCCATGCAAAATAGTTGTGTACTATACCATGTGAAAAGTATGGCTATTCTCCCTTGGCATTAAAAGCCAGATGGTCTGTAGCTTCAGTTCATGATAATATGATTATAGCATATCATTTGTCATGCAGACTGTCAGAGGAAGAAGCAAATTAATCATATATTTCAAGTTCCGTAAAGGCACCAGATCCTGTTTGATTTTGGATGCTGAGCATGATTAACACTGGTTAGCATTGGATAGAAGATCACCAATGAATACCAGGTGCTGTAGGCTATATGTATATCTTATAATGATATAGTTATTATAAGTTTATATTGAGGCTGTTTTATTAACTATTTTGATTTGATTTGTCTCCTGTTTGTTTATTATGGCATTATTGTTTGTTACTTCTGCTGGAAGCTGCCCTGAATCTCCCCAGGGAGATAAGATGGGTTACAAATATATTATGATTATGATTATTATTTCAGAGGAAGGAGATGGCAAAACCACTTCTGAGTATCCCTTGTCTTTAAAATCCTATAAAACCTGTGTGGTTGCCAGAAATTGACAGGACTTGAAAACGTATACACAGAATATAGAACAATGACATAGATACTCAACTATCTATATTCTGTGTGTGAAACAGGGGTAGGAATCATGCTCTTCTTCAGATGCTACTGGACTGTAACCCATTGCATTTCTCAACATTGATAGCTGGCTGGTAGGGCTTACAATTCGACAATAATTGGAGGGCTGCATGTTATATGTGCACCAAACTAAGTAGTGCTTCAATTGACAAAATTTCACAGTTGACTTAAACTGGTTGGCTATATTGATAATTAGAGACAGTTATTGTTTCACGATCAAGATGGGGTGAGAGTTAGCATATTGCAGTGGCTTGAGTCTTTCACTAGGACTCTGGGAGACCAACCATGGACACCCATTGGGTGACCTTGGGCAAGTCTCTTGACATTAAAAGAAATCAGTAAGAAATATATCTTATCTAGAAAATCCTGTGATAGTGTTGCTTAATGTCAGAGTTTATTTCAAGGCATGTAACAGCAAACCATGATGGGGTAGTATGTCACAGTTGACTAGTATTTTTTTAAAAAGTTTAGTTGCTATGCTTTGCGTCAAAACTGTGAAGCTTGCAAGTTATTTACTCTACTGCTAAAATAATCACCTGCTATGAAAGGCTAGAATAATCATTGTATCAGAGAGTTGAAAAACATTATATGGTGAACTAAAGTTTTAGGAATCATTTGCCCAGCATAGCAACCTGGAAGTCTAGGAGTTGTAACTTATCCAGTGGTTTTATTTTGGCAATATATAATTTTATCTTATTAAATACTATTTCATTGATTAATCTGGAGTAATCTGAAGGCACTACAGGCAGTCCCAGAGCTACAGACATTCAACTTACAAGTGACTCATAGATACAAACCAGGTTGAGACAACAGGAAGTGAGAGAAATCTATTTCTAGGTAGGGAAATTCACTCCTGAAAGAGTTATCATGGGGAAAAGGTGTCTCAACTGAAGCTTTATCACCAATCCTTGTTTCAACAATAAGTCAAATTTTTCAAAATCCAATTGTTATAGGGACAGAAAGTGAAATCTTCTGAACTGGGACACAGACAGCAACACAAATGCCCCAGGGGTATTAACCCTTCTCTATCTATCTATCTATCTATCTATCTATCTATCTATCTATCTATCCCGAATCACACTTAAAATGTATCTATTCTGACTTACAAACAAATCTACAGAATCTATCTTATTTATAACTTGGGAACTGCCTGTACAGGCAATCACTTGTGGCTGAGTGTGATTGTCTTTCCAAGGGTAAAATCTTGGCGGTGGGTCCGTAAGTGACTGTGGAGACCTATTCTGGATCCACATGGTCTTTTGCAGTGAAGACATAGATTTTGAGATGGAAAGTGGTCATAACAAGGGTTTGCTTGACACACTTTCCTCTTGGAGCACTTATCCCTTTCTACATTGACCAATCAAGTCAGTTTAAAACCAGTATTGAAGAAAGTGAGTTTGCTGTGCAGATCATAGAATCATAGAATCAAAGAGTTGGAAGAAACCTCATGGGCCATCCAGTCCAACCCCCTGCCAAGAAGCTGGAATGTTGCATTCAAATCACCCCTGACAGATGGCCATCCAGCCTCTGTTCAAAAGCTTCCAAAGAAGGAGCCTCCACCACACTCCGGGGCAGAGAGTTCCACTGCTGAACGGCTCTCACAGTCAGGAAGTTCTTCCTCATGTTCAGATGGAATCTCCTCTCTTGTAGTTTGAAGCCATTGTTCCGTGTCCTAGTCTCCAAGGAAGCAGAAAACAAGCTTGCTCCCTCCTTCCTGTGGCTTCCTCTCACATATTTATACATGGCTATCGTATCTCCTCTCAGCCTTCTCTTCTTCAGGCTAAACATGCCCAGGTCCTTAAGCTGCTCCTCATAGGGCTTGTTCTCCAGACCCTTGATCATTTTAGTTGCCCTCCTCTGGACACATTCCAGCTTGTCAATATCTCTCTTGAATTGTGGTGCCCAGAATTGGACACAATATTCCAGGTGTGGTCTAACCAAAGCGGAATAGAGGGGTAGCATTACTTCCCTAGATCTAGACACTATGCTCCTATTGATGCAGGCCAAAATCCCATTGGCTTTTTTTGCCGCCACATCACATTGTTGGCTCATGTTTAACTTGTTGTCCACAAGTTAAACATAATTATGTAGGGAAGTTAAACATGATTATGTAGGGAATTTCTGGACCACCTTGAGGCTCAGATGGTGGTTACATAAACCACAAAACACCCATGCACATTAAGGGCTTTCTTTCATTCACTTTTGTGGGGGTTTGCTGTCTAGCCATCACAATTTCAAGCTAGCTTTAAACTGCAATAAATGGTCAGGGTAGATGATGCCTAAGAAGTAATAAGCATATCAAATGAGCAATGCATTTCAATATCACAGATCACAAAATAATAAATATCCCATATTGTACCTAAACAAGCTGCAGCTCCCACCATGGCGTAAAGTCCTGGAGTAACACAATCGGCTCCTGGTCTACACCAGTTTCTGAAGATGATCCAGTCATGGTGATGGTAGGCCAGCTGCTCCACTGCTATTCCGACTATTCTGCCAGCTATAGCTCCTACTGCCATACTGGGTATAAAGAGACCTGAAGGGATCTTGATATCAAGAAAAGAGGGAAAGTGAGATTCTTAAAAGACATATGGGGACAATTTCAAATCTTCTTGTAAACATACAATTCAATAATCTACAGATTGCTTCTAATGGTTTTCTATGCAATACCAATTATTTCACACTGCTATGTAGATCACAAAATGTTAGGTACTTTTTAAATAGGAAAAGCTTTACTTTACTAGAGTCTGTACAATCTGAAGTTCCTCAAGGGAAGTCTTTCTCTCGGTCCTACCAACATGACAGTCCAATTAGTGACAACATTGAAGAGAGGTTTTTCAGTAGCTGCTCCCTCATTATAGGATTCCTTTAAAAAGCTGACTAGTTTGGCCAGCTCCTAGCATGCAAAATCTAGTTTTAGTTTTTGTATGTTAGTACTTGCATTGGGGATGACAAGAAATACCAGGTGCTATAGGCAACATTTCACGTCAGCTCCACTGCCTTCCTATTAGCTTCTGGGCTCAATTCAAACTGCTGGTTCTCACCTATAAAACCCTAAATGGTTCTGGCCCAGTTTATCTGTCTGAACATAACTCTCCCTATGAACTGTCTAGGACCTTAAGATCATACAGGGAGGCTCTGCTCTCGGTCCCACTGCCATCACAGTCACATTTGGTGGGGATGAGAGACACGGCCTTCCCCATGGTGGCCCCTTGGCTGTGGAACTCCCTCCTGCCCCCTCCCTCCTGACCTTCTGGAAGAAGCTTAAATCCTGGTTATGGGATCAGGCATTCACAGAATAGTTTGTTTACTTGGAAAGACAAGATTTATTGGACTGGACTTGGACTGCTTTGGATGACGACTTTAATTCTGGTGATTTTACTCTGGTGAGCGTGTTCTTAATGTATATTTAGAATTAATTTAATTTAGTGGATGTATTTATTATGTGTTTTATATTGTGTTTGGCATCAAATTGTTGCCTGTTTGGAAGCTGTTCTGAGTCCCTCCATGGAGGTCAAGAAAGATGGAGTATAAATGTTTTAAATAAATAAATAAATACATTTCAGAGGGAAAAATAGCAAAACCAACCCTGAATATTCCTTGCTTAAGAAAAGCCTATTGAATGGGGTTGCCCTATGTTGATGAGTAACTTGAAGGTACAGACATACAGACACATGTGGCAGTTCAGGAATATTGTGTGTTATACTAAAGGAAGCACCATGGTGTCTCGGGGATACCAGAACAGGATTGTGTGTGTGTGTGTGTCAGGAGCAACTTGAGAAATTGCAAGGCGCTTCTGTTATGAGAGAACTGCAAGGCCGTTGCCCAGGGGACGCACAGATGTTTTGATGTTTTACCATCTTTGTGGGAGGCTTCTCTCATGTCCCCGCATGGGGAGCTGGAGCTGACAGAGGGAGCTCATCCATGCTCTCCCCGGATTCGAACCTCCAACCTGTTGGTTTTCCATCCTGCCAGCACAAGGGTTTAACCCATTGTGCTACTGGGGGTTTATACAGATAGGATACTGTTAAAATCTTCTACCAATCACACTGCTGGGAGATTCTAGGAATTCTTATCCAAAAAAGTAACTTTTCCAGTTTGTGGTCATAATTATGCATGCATCTGTCTGCCTCCTGAATCTCCTCTCATCTCTGTCTGGTTAGAACTAATCATTTCTACCTATCTGGTGCATCCCAAATGTGTTTTCTTTTGTATATTCTTAATTTTCATTCTGCCAATCTGACTATATTCCATTACCCATTCATCTATTCTAGACCTGTAACTATAGCAAAGATGCATAATAGTTACTCCATGTTTTTCTGAGTACAATTTTGTATTTACTCAGAGATGTCTGAAAATGTGAGTGTCATATATGAAATTATTTCAATAGCTATGTATTCTAATAACTCCACAAATTATTTTAATATCTATGTAGTGTAATGGCTCCACAAATCCAACAGATTTTTGCAGATCAACTAACAACAACTGATGGTCTGAACAGGCCTAAAGCATGAATTTTTATGATATTAGAAAATTTGCCCATGGAACAGTCTCAGGAGAAATTTAATATGTGGCAATAAATGTTCATAAATGTCAATAAATTCGCACCTTGAGGTTCTGTTCAGACAATCAAACACATGGTAAGTGTATAGTTTCACACTGTTAGGTAACTGTAACATTTCTTGTTACTTTGCCCCCGTGTGTGTGTGTGTGTGTGTGTGTGTGTGTGTGTGTATTAAAAATTTTTCTCTTGATGTGATACATTTGAAAGCAATAGTTTGTTGCCCAACCAATACAAAATAATCCCCTTCGACTAGAAAGATTGCCCAGTATGTTGTGTTAAAAGCATTCACAAACTTTTTCATCAATTGTGGTGAAAAATAAATCCAGCCACATAATAAGGCACATTCATAAGAAAAACATTATCAGAATAACATACTTTAAGTGTCTTTTTTCTGTTAATAAATTCAACCTAAAATTTCCTCACATCATTTCAGACTTTCTTTGACAATTCTAGAAACTGATGGATTAGTCTGTTTTCACATTAAATTGGTGTATATATACTAGAAGTATATTAAATTTGTTTTCTGGTTTTTTTTTTAAAAGGCACAAAAGTGGTATGACCTTTTGGCTAAAATACTTTTTTTTTGTTGCCAAAGGCTTTCATGGCTTGAATCACTGGGTTGCTATGAGTTTTCTGGGCTGTATGGCCATGTTTCAGAAGCATTCTCTCCTGACATTTCACCCACATCTATGGCAGGCATCCTCAGAGGTTGTGAAGTCTGTTGGAAACCAGGCAAGTGAGGTTTATATGTTTGCAGAATGTCCAGGGTAGGAGAAATAACTCTTGTCTGTTCAAGGAAAGTGTGAATGTTGCAATTGGACACCTTGATTAGCATTTAATGGCCTTGCAGCTTCAAAACCTGGCTGCTTCCTGCCTTGGGGAATCCTTTGTTGGGATGTGTTAGCTGGCCCAGATTGTTTCCTGCCTGGAAATTTCCCCCAGGCTGGAGGCAGCCATGCTTTGAAGCTACAAGGCCATTCAATGCTAATCAAGATGGCCAATGGCAACATTCACAATTGCCTCAAACAGACAATAGTTCTTTCTCCCACCCTGGACTTTCTAGATATATAAATCTCAGTTGCCCAGTTTCCACCAGACCTCACAACCTCTGAGGATGCCTGCCATAGATATGGGTGAAACGTCAGGAGAGAATGCTTATAGAACAGCCCAGAAAACCCACAGCAACCCAGACATATTTTTTATGGATTCCTCCTAAAATATGTACTTCTTATAGTATGCATATGTGGGAAACAAGAACTGCATTGCAAAATGTAGAGAAGTGTACCATCTCAAAGATAGCTGTGTTTTATTCCAGTGGTTATTTAAAAGCCATGAAATGCAAAGGAAAAAAAAGTAAGAGATGCACTCAAATTTACCAATTTGCTACTACATTCATTTAAAAGTAGGTCACCCCATAAAATGACATTTCCCAGCATCCCTATACAATTCCCTAGTGCTTTCAGTCTTTGGTATTTCCTTGGTTTTTAAGTAATGTTCCCCTACATATTTGCAATTAAGATTTCCATGAAAATATTTAGCTTTATCTAATCTCATTTGTAAATTGCCACCAAATTTATTCCTCTATACTTATTTAGAGCATATTTTCACATTCTTTTTATAAGACTCCAAATATGCATGCATTTTTCTTTGCTCGTTGGTGGAATCTGCTCATGATTTATGTATTATGGGTAAGAAGAATATATCATCATCTTAAAACATCTAAAAATGAGCCCCTGTCATTGGCACACTTTACAACTCTATTACCACCCGTTTCTCTATAATTTAGATTGGATTTGAATTACATGTCAAACACAGTATAAAAATGTTAACAAGGAGGCTGAGTTTTCACAGGTGAAATCAGGCAGTTCATTCTGGCATTGAAGCTTGTCAAGAGCTTCATGAATTACTGCCTTCCTCGCCTGACGTGCAATCAAACCACCACTCACTAAAGCTATAGGAGAATTGCGTATAGCCTCAGTTTTCATGGGAAACATATATTTTAACAGGAAGAAAATTCAAATTTAGTTGAAAAATAAATATATTTACGTTCATTTCTTTAAGATTTGCAAACTGAGGTAGAAATAGGAGGGAAGTTACAACATGCAAAAGTGGCATGGATCCAAAATTAGCAAAGGAGATTATCACTAATGGGTCGCTGTCTGGATGCGCCTGCCTCATAGCTTTTTACCATGATACTCTGGGACTGGAAGGCATATGTGGAACATAGGCATCTTGTAGAAACATTTGTCTCCATCTAGATCTGGACACTTGTGTAGTCTCTCATCACTCAACAGCACACAAAGGTCTCATAATGCTACTAGCTGATAGGAACTCATCTCTGTGTTGTGAGGACAATGGAAGAGAACTGAAATTTAAATCTGCTTTCTTGTTTCACATTTCCAGCAAAATGTAATGTACTTGCGTATCTTTTGTATAAGAATACTTTTTAACAACTCGATTCAGCATGGCCCAGATGCCTAAAAGATATAAGAACTAATTCTGTGGCATTCTATTTTAATTCACAACGGGCAGGCACTGTTTACATTTTAATTGTCTAATTGTTTAGGATATTTGCTTTTTGTGCAATTATGTTTTATTAGTGGAATTATGTTTTATTTAAGAAGCTGTATTTCGTATTACTTCAATACATTGTGTTGGTTTGGTGCTAAATTAGTAAATATAGCAATTAACCTTAATTCTTTTCTGGTAATTAGTTTATTACTGTCCATTTTGCATTTCTGCTGTGGTGCGATTTTAAATCGTGGCATTGAATGTTTGCCTTTTTATATGTACGCAAACTGCCCTGAGTCGCCTTTGGGGGATATTTATTTATTTATTTTATTTACTTTGCTTGTATACCGCAATTTCTCAGCTTTGTAGGAGACTCAACGCGGTTTACAACAAGAGCAAAAGTCAATCCAACAGCATACAAAATTTAAAAACTATTAACAGCATAATATACAAAATGACACATCAATAACAAAGAGGGTGGTCTTGAAATAAAGTACAGTAGAGTCTTGCTTATCCAATCATCGCTTATCCAACATTCTGTATTATCCAACGCAGTCTGCCTCCCACCCAGATCCACAGCTATTTCAATACATTGTGTTGGTTTGGTGCTAAATTAGTAAATATAGCAATTACTACATAACTTTACCATGTATTGAACTGCTTTTTCTGTCGATTTGTTGTAAAACATGATGTTTTGGTGCTTAATTTGTAAAATCATAATGTAATTTGATGTTTAATAGCCTTTCACTTAATCTCTCCTTATTATCCAACATGTTTGCTTATCCAACATTCTGCCGGCCTGTACAATAAGCGAGACTCTACTGTACGTATTATTATATTATTACTAATTCTTCTTAAAACAAACAGAATTTACTTTTACTTTGACTTCTTCTTTCCTGGTTTTGTCTTAACTCGTGAAAAGCTCACAGTTAACTGAAGTGCTGATCTGATGTGTATTGTTTTTGAAAAAGATACCACAAAAACTGGTCTGGGTGAGAGTTAATCATAATTTTTATCTGGGTTTAGGACTAGTAAACAAAACAATAAAGGCAGCAATAGTGAATGAACCTCCACACTGAATGATCAGAGCCAGATGCCATTATTCCTATTGTTCAGTGCATTACTATGAGGAATACTTGACTACACGCTTTTTATAATAATAATAATCATAATCATAATAATAACTTTATTTTTGTACCCTGCCTCCATCTCTCTGCAGGGACTCTGGACAGCTTACAGGGGGAGAAGCCCAAGATTCCACATAGTTAAAATAAAATATAACAGCAAATATAACAGCAAAATTCATAAAACCATTTCAAACTTTTTCAAATTGATGGGGACACAGCTTTGAGACAAAAAAAGAAACCATTCCAATAGGGCAGTAAGGAAAGGGCCATGATTCTGTATAATAATAAAAAAATTGTCATAATATATGAGACTTCGTGTTCTGTCAAACATTTAGAGCAGCTGTGTCCAACTTTCCAGCCTCTGGACACCACCCAAAACAAAATTAAAATACTTCCAATGTAGTTTTGCCAATGGCATGACAAACTGATTAGGTTGCCATTGGTCAGTAAATGCAACAACTCCACTTCTTGTCAGCAGCTCATACATTTTCTTTTCAATCCAGGAATTTAGCAAAATTTAAGCAGCTAGTAGAAGCGCCTATAAAAGGGCGTCACTGAGCCTCGCCAAAATCCTGCCATCTCATTATGATTAATGAGGAGGTCCTGGATTGTTCATATTACATTATTTGAGAGCAGTGCTCTTTTGCCTCAACTCTAACTCTGCACCTTGGTCAATGGGTACAAAGAAAAGGGGAAAGCTTACAATTGCATTAATACTCCCACAAAGAATGGCCATGACTAAAGGATCCACTTTGAATGCAGAAGGTCACTGCTATCTATTGTTATAGCAAGAAAAAAATCAAGCATGAAACCTGGAAAGCTGCTGCCTGTCCCTTTCAACAGTACTTGGCCAAAAAGATTTATGGTCTGGTTGGGTTTAAGAGAAGTTCCCATATGGCTGCATACCTTACATTCTAGAAATGTATTTTTGCATTGCATCTGGATGACTTGTATTGGTTTGTGTTTTTATTATTCCTTCCCTCTCTGTGTGTATATAAAAAAAAACCTAGGTTGAATGCCTTAGCAGGATCCTCTGGTTTTGGCTATTTACTTGCAAAGTGTCGTCTACATTGATTGCACTATATACATGGATAATGATGAAGGTGGCTGTGAGATGATGATGATGGGAGTTGATTTGGCTGCACATAATGTAACACTCAATACCTTGTACTGGAATGTGTCATGCAACTGCAAACAGTAAGACTGACAGAATATATTTGTACTATATAGCCATAGCAGTAGCGGTAGTGGGGCAGTGAGTTAAACCACTGTGCCGGCAGGACTGAAGACCAACAGGTCGCAGGTTTGAATCCGGGGAGAGGCGGATGAGCTCCCTCTATTAGCTCCAGCTCCTCATGCGGGGACATGAGAGAAGCCTCCCACAAGGATGATAAAAACATCAATTCATCCGGGCGTCCACTGGGCAACGTCCTTTCAGACGGCCAATTCTCTCACACCAAAAGCGACTTGCAGTTTCTCAAGTTGCTCCTGACACGACAGAGAGAGAGAGCCATAGCAGTTTGATACCATGTTGTTTGCCATAGATGCACCCTCACAGAATCCTAGGGTTTGGGGTCTCAACTACAGTGCTTTAACAGAGAATTCTAAATCCCAGAATTTTATAGGATCGAGTCATGACAGTTAAAATGGGATCAAGTTGTTATTGTTGCATAGTGTAGACATATTGAAAGACACTAATGCCAGTATTGACATTACTGATGATTCTATATACTTGAGAGCAAGGCCAGAATTGTGTTGGTGTACTGGTAAAAAATAAAGATTTCCCTTGATATTAAATCTAGTCGTGCCGGACTCTGGGGAGTGGTGCTCACCTCCATTTCTAAGCTGAAGAGCCGGCGTTATCCTTAGACACCTCCTAGGTCATGTGCCCAACATGACTGCATGGAGCACCGTTACCATCCCGCAGAAGCAGTACCTATTGAGCTACACGCATTTGTATGCTTTCTAACTGCTAGGTCGACAGAAACCGGGGCAAACAGGGGGAGTTCACCTTTCGGTCAGCAAGTTCAGCAGCTCAGTGGTTTTTACCCACTGCACCACCAGGGGGCCCTGTTAGTGTATTACACCAGTAGAAATATGCCATCATAGATCGTTCTCACAGGAAGACAAAGGATATGGATTCAGTGGCCATGGAGAAAGTGAGGGAAATAGCCTACTGAGAGCTGGAGAAATTTGTTTTCCTTCCTTCATGCCTACTGTGCAACCTAGAAAATGTGAAATTCCTGGTGTAATGCCGCAATGGAATGTCAGCATCCATTTTTTTTATTCTCCATACATTCAAGAGCACCTCTTTGTCAAAAAAAAAAAGGATTCAATTTAAAAATCCTTTAATCTACCATTCAACAGAAACAATGACTGGAAAGAGATTGCTGAATGTGTGAATGTAGTTACTTCAAGGAGATTAGAATCAAATCTCCTTTCAAGGTTGCTCCAAAAGGACACCTGAAAGACATCCAATTTCAGTAGCTGTGAAATATTAGTTAATTGGAATCCCTGAAAAAAAATGCATCTCAAGTTTCCAAAGCCCTATTGAGTAAGGCTAGTAGTGATTTTTGGAGTTGTGGTTCAGAATGTCTAAGGGGCTAAATATCCCCAATATAGTTGGTCTACTCTGATTTCAGTTGCTATGCAGGGCTTTAAATCAGTTTTGGATGAAAGTCTGTAGTCTATCACAGAATATCAATTCAATACTCTTTCAGATATAACTAGCTTTTTGAGTATGGAGAATGTGTGTGTGTGTGCATGTGTTATACATGTTTTTAAATTAAAACCAAAATTGACCTCTCAACCTCTGAGTCTGCCTGCTATAGATGTGGGTGAAATGTCAGGAAAAAATGCTTCTGGAAAATAGCCATACACTCCAAAAACTCAAAGTAACCCAGTGATTCCGGCCATTAAAGCCTTCAACAACACATAAAACCAAAATTGCAAAAAAACTCAAAATGCTTTGCCACTCCATTCTCTAACTTACCTTCATGCCAAAGGTAAATATCGTGATGATGATTTTGAAAACCAGAGCCAGGGCTAACTGCCACATTGCCATGTACACCCCTATACCAGCTGGTCTGTCAGGAATATCATCCACAGGTCTGGTCATATTGGGGTCATTGATGTAGTCACAGAGCTGGGAGGACTCCAGAGCTCCACAATCATTGAACAGTTCTGAGATGAGCTCACTGGTGCTCCTCCGAGTGTATGGATTCGGATAGGCAATAATAGCAGTGATAGCTGTCACCGCAATGACTTCCAAGACTGGATACTTCCCAAGCCTAGTGGTTTTACGTCTCCTGCACCATGCAATATTGCATCGGATAAAAAGAGTCCCCCACAACCCTCCAAAAACTCCAAGCAGAATGAAAGGGAAAAGTTCAGCCATGTACCAAGGTGTATGATACTCCACATAGAAAAGGACCAGGCGGCTGTTTCCAAATGGATTGATGGATCTCAGAGTAAAGGCTGCAACAAGAGCTGCAAAAAAGGATCTCCAGAGAGTCTTCAAGGGAAAATAATAGCTGACCTGAGAAAAACAATAAATAACAACTGAACCATTTCCATGGACTATACCATGCAGCATAAAATACAGTAGCTTGTAGAACACATCTATCTCCATTATTCACAAAAATAATCACTTGAGATGTATGTAGGAAAAGTGGACTGTCACAAATCTAAACACATTTTCACATTCTGTTGGAGTGTCGGTGGACAAAAAGTACAATGTATTTATGTTGTCAAAGAAAAAGAGAAACTAACACTCCAGATGTTGAAATAGTAAGAAGAGTGAGGAAAAAGCTCCAACATAAATAGAGAAAGTGACAGAGCTGGTTCATATATGTTAGAAATATGCTGCCTTCCATCACTAATATAGGAGGCACACAATTGTACATTAATTACTCCGTCATGGCATATATACTTTGCATGTGTATGATTAGAGTTGGACAATGCAAGGCTTTGGTTTAGATCTATAAATAAAACATTGGATGTAACCAGAGTACCGACAAGCACTGTCAAAAAGACTGTCCTTCCCTGAAGAATCTTAGAATCTTAGAGGTTGGTAATTCAGGTATTTGTTCATACTTTTTATATGACAATGGCACCAAAGTATGACTCTCTAATGTTGGCCTCTGTGTTCTGTATTGCTGATGCTACTCTGTGTTCTGTCATGGCCCCTGCTGCACAGGAAAGGAGCTAGAAATATACAGCCATGACACTATTGGTTCTGTTTCCTGAGTCACCATTTTGTAACCATCCCTGCTCTCTGTTTTATACACTAGTACAGGGGTCTTCAAACTAAGGCCCGGGGGCCAGATACGGCCCTCCAAGGTCATTTACCCAGCCCTCACTCAGGATCAACCTAAGTCTGAAATGACTTGAAAGCACATAACAACAACAACAACAATCCTATCTTATCAGCCAAAAGCAGGCCCACACTTCCCATTGAAATACTAATAAGTTTATATTTGTTAAAATTGTTCTGCCACCTACAGTCTGAAATGAAACGAGCAACCAACAGACATGTCCAGCTGTGCTGTATCAGCAACCCTTTTGGGTCCACAGACTTGGCATTGCTCATTCCTTTATCCAACAAGTGGGTCATACAAAGATCTAAAGTAAACATGCAACTTAAGTGAAGCTGCTCCTAACTTACCTCTTCGAGACTGAAAAGGACACCACCAATTGGTGCTCCAAAAGCAACAGAAACACCCGCAGCGGCAGCAGCTGAAAGCACCTAGTATGGAAACATTGAGACACAATAGTCTAAAAAGTCTGTAGAAAACATACACAGGACTTTATGAGGTATGGGAACTGAGAAATAATCAGTACCTCTCGTCTCTTTCCCTCATTCTTGCTGTACTTTGAGAAGAGGCTGCTGAAGAAGTTACCGCAGCAACAAGCCACATGGACCAGAGGCCCTTCTTTGCCAAGGCTGAGTCCCGAAGAGACCACCAGAACCAACGTGACTGTCTTGATTAGGAGGGTCCACTTGCCCAGGTAACCCCTAATAATGAAGCCACTCAGGATGGTCTTTATCTGGAAGGCAGGAAGAACAACAGGGGTTGACAACTTGACAGCTCTGGTTTTTAGAACTCAGAAATTTTGAAGAGGTCAGAGTTTCTGAAAGTTCATGCACTTTTAATGAGAAAGGGTTCTCCATTTTTAATTCAATTATACCTCCTTTAACAGATACCCCACCACCCTTTTAAAAAAAAAGCATGGGCAAAATACTACATTTCTGTACTCAGTTTCAGCCTTGAGAGTGAATATATACTGAACATTGCAAGATAGAAAATTAATTCCATACACCCCAGTTTCAAAATACATGTCAATCCATACAGAAGAAGAAAAAACTTACCTCTGGAATTCCAGAGCCACAGGCATAGGGAGCAAATACTCTGACAAGGGAGACAGCCAGGAAAGCAAACAGTAATGCCCACAAAATGTAAAGAAAATAATTCAGAATGTAAGCACTTGCACCCTAGGGAAGAGGGGGAAAGAAAACCAAGAACAAACAACCATTAAACCAATCCAGCAAGTGGTGTGTTTCTGCTAGTTACTATATAAATAAAAGATGGTGCAAGGAAAGGTCTCTTCATGGAGCCTAACAACAGGTCATACAGTATATATTTCATTGTATGTTTATTCGGTATTACAAATATTACACTTTGTGGATACTGTGTTCCTGTGTTCACCTATTTCACTCCACCAAATTTGTCAAAAAGCCATCATAGAACTGCTCTGTTGTTAATCAATTTGGCATCCAAAATGGGGCATTTCATATAAAAAATCCAGTAGGAAAATATTTTTTAAAATTGTAAATAAAAACCATGGCACTCTCACAACTATATAAAAATATGGCAAATAATATTAAACAGATACTGGAGCACTGCAAGAATTGGAATGGTGTTGAAAAAAATGTATGTTTACTGCTCTGCTCCTGTTCTTTCCCACCTTCCTATATGTGTATATAAGCCCAAACACACACGTATGTATGTATATAACATATGGCCCCTACCTCAAACCCTTACAAAACAATGAAGTACAATTTAAAGCAGGTACAGGTAGAAAAGGCACTGAAGTGTTCTTTTTTAAATTCATCTAGCTGCAAAAGATGTTTATTCAACAGAACTATTGTGCAAATAACAATGCAAAAAAGTAACTATTTTAAACTCTGGGAAAATGCAGTTCCTGTCAACCAACCTTTGCTCAAATTGGCATCAATCCCTTTCTAAATCTAAATGAAGCCACCAAAACGATGCTCCTTCTATGTCAGCATGCATTGTTCTTTGGGTACATCAATCAGCAACTTCAATCTTCTGGAAGGTTTGAACCAAATATTAAACTGGGTTCACTGTTGCAGGCATGATTTTTTTTTGTTTCACTCCCTTTCTTGCCAATTTGCACAAAATGATTATTGATTGGGTGACTTTCCTACTTATTAATTTTGACAGCTGGATTTGCTTATCCCAGCAAAAACAAAGATTTATGGCATCTCTGCTTTGACACTTATTGATTCAGTGAGCAGTTCTTATTGCTACAGCTGAAGAGCATTTGTTTAAGTATCCAATGAAAGTTTTCGTGTAGCACTCTAAATAAGAGACAGCTATGGAAATATCAGTTATTTCTTTACAGATAGGCTTTGTTTGCAAGTCGAGGTCTCCACCAGTGTGAATTGGGAATACCCTTGGAGAATTTTTGAACTTTGTCACTGAACTGGACACAAGCTGCTTGGTTCCAGTTTCTCCATTAAATGGATAAATGTATCCATGGGTATTAGTCAGCTCATTCTTTCTCTCTTCTCTGGGAAAAATGTGTCAGGGTGAAGCAGCTATGTAGTCACTAAAGACATTAAAAGTGTCCTTAGACTCAGTCCTGAGAGTGAACAATAACTGTATTTGCTTCCAAGTTAAAAAAAAAATCCCAAAAATTATTTTAATGCTCTCCTTCAAATTTTTAAATGGCTTTCATGTAGGACATTTTTACTCTTTATTAGTCTAAATCACACACATCTAATATTACCTGCAAAGAAGATTTTTTTTTTTCATATCAGGAGTGACTTGAAAAACTACAAGTCACTACTGGTGTGAGAGAATTGGCCCTCTGCAAGGATGTTGCCTAGGGGATGCCCAGATGTTTGATGTTTTACCATCTTGTGGAAGGCTTCTCTTATGTTCCCGCATGGGAAGCTAGAGCAGAGACACGAGCTCATCCCGCTCCCCAGCACTAACAACAAATTGCAGATGATGATAATGGGGGTGGCAGTAATGATGATGATAACTTGTAATATCTTTGGCAATGCTGCATGAGAATGCAAGAACAGTCAACTCCGAAGTGTGTCCAGATAATCCCAAACCACATTACATTCTAACACAGCGTTACATTCACAAACAGCCAACCAGGCCACCTAATGATGGTTTGGGTTTGGCTGTGTATTTCCCAACTATAGAATAAACTTGTGCCTAGTGTGGGTGAAATAGCCACTACCTTGATTTTGATATATGATCTAGAGCAAAGATAGTTTTGGAAGCTCAAGGCAATAGGCTGAAACTGACATAACAGTGTAAAGATCCTCTTTCAAGTAGGGCAACTGGCGGCCCTTCAGTTGTTAGGGCTACAACTCCTATGGTTCTTTAGTACAGGACATTCGGGTGGCCAGAGCATCTGTTGGCCATCTCTGCCTTAAAGTGTCCTTTCGCTGGAATAAGCAGTACTGCAGACAATACCAATTCCTGAGAAGAATGAAAAAAACAAAATGAAAGTATGGTATGGTGAATGTCTGACGGGCTTCAAAACTGTTCATATCAAGCATCTGCTTTAGCACATCTTTGGGGCAAAAACAAGATAATTAAAACAATTCTGACATGTGTCAGAATTCATAACTGCAGTGTGATAAGAAGCTCCGAAGCTACAAAAAGGCACAAAACCTCAGGGGAAAAGGGTGCTGCAAAAATACCCAACTATATAGATTCTTCAAATTGTCAAATTCCATCAGCTATGACAAGCAGAATTTATCAGCTGCAAAAAGATCACATCTGAGATACAGTCATCCAAGAATTATCTACATAAAATAGTCTAAGAATTATTCTTAGTGCAAAAAAATCTTTCACAAGACCCATGGAAAAAGGCAGAGTTTCTAACATGGAAGCTGGAAGCTGTGACAAGCATGAGACATCTACGTAATTATATAGCTGAGAAATGATATTTCCAAAATGACTTTTTATTCCACTTTTGTTGGCATGAATCTATTTTATAGAAATCTGGGATTTGCAGTTTTATGACATATTTAGAATACTTTGCCAGAAAGCTGCACTGCTTTATCAATTTTCAAAGAATGCCAGGATTCGATGGGATGTAACTATGGCAATTAAAGCAGCATGAAAGTGCCACGCTTGTGTTGGGTGAAAGAGATTCTTAATGAGAAAGCAAGCACATTTCAGCAGTCCATGTACACAGAGTAAATTGTGAACTTAAGAGAAACATTTAAATGAGAGCTGCCAGGAAAGAACAGTATGAAAATTGCAGTAAAAATGCAATCCTACCTCGGATTTGTTAACGAGAAGTTCAGACCATTTTTGCCACTGAGGGCATTTATCCCTGTCTTCAAAAGTAGTCTCATTAGACGTCCAGCAACACTGCTCGTGGCTATACCAAAACGCTGATAAACAGACACCTTCTTTCAAATCTGTCATCCAGTCCACGGCTAGATCTATAACTCCAGCTAATGTGCCTGGCAGGGAAATAAAACAGATTCACAGAAGGGTGCAAAATATACAGCTTAAGAAATAAGTGTTCAATATTCAATCTCACAGAGGTGTCCCATAAATTTGAGTCAATCCATGAACAAGTGCCATCCACACTCTTTGAATCACCCTGCGGTGATCGAAATAAGGGCTTACAACAGCCCATTCCGGTAAAGCATCTGCAATTTACAACTGAATATCTACAAAACTGCCTCATAGCCACAGGACAGTTTCAGAAGCATGTATCTTTCAAACAGATGTTGGTAGGTTGACACAGATAGGAAGCATCCCCCCTTTTTTCGTTTCCATATGATTTAGTGTGCAATTCAGTGTTTCTTCTTCAACGCCATCTGCTCTGCTTGGCTCACCACTGAGAGTTTTTAAGCAAAATACAAATAAGCAAACTTAGTCATTTAGACAATATGTTTGTGTCAAAAGCAAACATAGTCTCGAATAGACTGCTCTCTCAGCCAATAAAATCAATGAAGTCAACACTGGATATAGTGCTAAACCTGGATATTTTATTTCATGATTGTGTTTATTGTAATGTTATATTATTAATGTATTCATATGTTTTTATGTACTTATGATGTTGTTGCTTGTTGCTTATGTTTTGGTTTTATTTTGCTGTAATATGTTGTCTGGGCTTGGCCTCATGTAAGCCGCCCTGAGTCCCCATTGAGGAGATGGTGGCAGGGTATAAATAAAGATGATGATGATTATTTTCATCATCATCATCATCTCCAGATGAATAAACCAGTGCCATCCATATTATACTGTTTCAATATGCTGGTTTCAAAATTAAAAATGAGTCCATAATGGATTTACTAAGGTTGCATGTGGCTCTTGAATATTCTTGCCTAAATTTTTATTCAATCCTCACAAAATTCTCTCATCTATTTTTATGCGACTTATCTGGTAGCTTTTCCAAACAGCACAGCACCACAGTGACACCAAGTGGTCACCGATAAGAAGGCATATGATATGCTGAAATAATGAAATAAAATCTTTGCCAGTCAAGAGTGGGAAAGACATGAATGGTTGGTTTAATACTTTGCAACACATTCTTTAACCTGTGAGTTCAACTCACCTATGAGACCATTGCAAGTACAGGGCTTTCCATTCACATAATGATCAAATACTAGGTGACAAGTAGAGATGTGCTTTGCGCACCAAAGCTGTAGTTGTGTATAAAAACCATTCCTCGATCAGAGAATTTGGGAAAAATTTGAGTATGTTTCCTTTTTTTTAAAAAAAATTAGTATATTAGTAAAATATTTATTGCCATCTGAGAAAGCAAGTCAAAAACATCACCATGATCAATATGCCCCTCTAGGTTTCGTAGCAAGACAAAAATAAATACTATAATAAAATAAATAAATACTTTAATATATAAATACTTTAATAATATAATTGATCTGATTTTATTGATGGTAAGCTTTATTTTCATACAGAATTACAATGATAGCTACTTCATTATGCAATTGTCCTTACACTTATATGAGTCATTTTCCAGAAGGTATTAAAAGGGCTGCTAGTATATTTGTGGATTTCAATCTATTTAAAAATATACAGTTGCCTTTTTCTGTTTTCATGGCTTTATCTAAGATGTTCTGATCACTAACAGGAACTGCAGTGGCGCAAAGGGTTAAATCCTTGTGCTGCTGAACTGCTAACCTAAACTGTTAGCCCTAGCTCCTGCCAACCTAGCAGTTTGAAAACATGCAGATGTGAGTAGATCAATATGTTCAGCGGGAAAAGGCAAGAAGATGCTCCAAGCAGTCATGTCAGCCACACAACTAGGCGGTGTCTACAGAAGCAGGTTCCTCGGCTTGGAAATCGAGAAAGAGCAAAGATGTGCACTGCCTCCAGAGCCGTAAATGAAAGGAGAAGACATTGCATTTGTCTGTGTATTTGTGTCTCATTGTATGTCATTGTAATAAGGCACTGAATGTTTGCCTGTGTCTGCTTATATACTGTAATCCACTCTGAGTCCCCTTGGGGAGAATAGTGGAATATAAATAAAGTAACATCATCATCATCATCATCTAAAACTCCTGACTCAACCTACATTAAATATAGAACCGTGAATAATTATCTTTATCCTTTTGTGCATATGTTGGTCATTCTTAGATTCCCGTTTTTTTCCTATGCTAGGATCAATATCCACTTGCTAAACTTTACAATCAAGTATGATGAAATAGAAGTGTGCCTATTTTATAAAAATGGGGATACAAATATAGCTGATAGTGACCAGAGGGGTAAGGAATAAAGGCATTAATTCTATTTGGTCATTCATATTATTTCTCTTATTAACAACCATTTCAGTAGCAACAGTATAATCCAGTGCTTTTATTCTTTAATAATATATGTGATAGTGCTTTTCTTGTTAATAACATCTTTTTATGTCAATGCTCAGAATGTTTTACAAATGTATCTGAGAGCAGAAACCATAGCTGTGTCTCTTCTTAGCCATATTGAAAGATCAAGAATCAAACTGCTAAATACCGCATGAGCAGATGCTCCCAGAATGAAGCTCTGAGTATTTATGCTGGTTGAAATGATTTAACAATTTCTTGAGAATACCTGCTAGCAGTCCTATCAGAAGCATCACGACCCATCCTGACCAGGCATCCAGTAAACTTTTGATGAACTCCCATATTGACTCCTTGCTTTTGTTTGTAATCTAGAAGGAAAAATATATACAATTTGTAATAGTCCTATATAAATGGATAGCTTGGAACATTTGTATACATAACAACAACACATTTATTAGCCACCTTTCCAGTGGGGGGAAACTATGAGTTACATTTTCTTACAATGACATTTATGTAAACATAAAACATGCAGCAAGGCATGTGTATGCAGGAACAGTACCTGCAGTTTCATTTACCTGCGTCTGACAAAACATGCTCTCTCTAGATGTTTTTAACTTCTTCAGATGATTGTATGCTATACAGTGGAACCTCTACTTAAGGGTATCCCAATTAAGAGTGTTTGAATTAAGACCAATTGCTCGGACCTGCTTTGCTTTGACATAAGAGCGGCATTTTGAGTTAAGAGCTAGCATGATTTACACATTATTTGCTATTTATAAAGTACATTTTCTTATTTTAAAACACATAACAAAAATGGGGGTTGGGCTCGGGCCCCCAGAATGGATTAATAGCATTTCAATGCATCTCAACTGAACTAAGAGCTTGGTCACAAAACAAATTAAACTCTTAAGTCAAGGTATCACTTGTCTTCTGCCATAGGTTGGCCACAGAGTCATGATGGAGAATGTAGTGATGTCGAGAGATGTGTCCTCTCTAAGCATTTCCTGGGCCCTCCAGTGTCACTCTACAATATGATTTTGATTCCATTTTGATGGAAGTACTTCATTCATTAGGGATCTCTATTACCTGTGGTTTCACATATCCTAAAGAAGTCCTGGAATGCATAGTGTATATCCAAACAGAAGAGAAGTTTGGGCCAGAATTCAAGTTACTTGGGAGTCATTACATTCTGGTTTTGGACCTGAAAAATAGGCTGACTGGAGACTGACATGAGATGACCACAGTGTTATCTTGATTTTTTTATAACAGAATACTAATTTCCTTCTAAAACTAATTTTAGACAAATAAATACAATATACAGTATGATCTGAAATATCTACTAAAATTGAGAATAGCGAGTTGAAGGATTTATACATAGCCAGAAATGAATTTTGAGCTATGTCTGAAATCAGATGGTAGTTATTCACACATCTTCTTTATGTTGTTGAAACTATCAAAAAATCATAACCATTATTGGGAGAAAAGAGGTAATCTATTAATTTAACCGGTTTTGTAAAATAGCGCTCTGCCTTTTCACTTACCTTTCTATGTCTATCTGTGTCACGTGATTTTTCCCTTAACCAATCAATGGTATGAAAGTCTTCATAGGTTCCAACATCAGGGAAAGGTTCGTCCAGAAAATCCATCAGATTCCCAGAGCCATTCATGTTTCCTGCATTAACCATATTAGTATCTACACAGAAGAAAATCAAATATGATACACAATGTTATTTTAAATGAAAACAGGTTTTCTCTAAGGAAGAAGAAGAAGAAGAAGAAGAAGAAGAAGAAGAAGAAGAAGAAGAAGAAGAAGAAGAAGAAGAAGAAGAACAACAACAACAACAACAACAACAACAACAACAACAACAACAACAACAAGACAAAGTACAGGGTTAAAAATGAAAAAATGCACATCTTATGAGGCACTATGTCATCCTGAAAATCATCTCCCTGAAAGGTTCCCAGCTACATGTTTAGTTACACAAAAAAGAAAAGCTCCCCCCACCAAGTTAAGTATGATATTCTCCCATGCAAACCTATCCCTTCTCTCTTTCATCTGGTGGTAACATTAACTGGAGTTCTTGGTGAGTACTCCTAGATTCTCGAATTCCTTTCCCGGAGGATTGACTTCATCACATGGAAGTTTTCTTCTGTTTCCTCTCTGTTTTAGCATGTTGACAAAACTGAGGCACTTGGAGGCCCCTCATGGGAATCCGTCTTGCCAGCATGCTAAAATTGAATGAAGAGTCCATTTTCAGGAGTAATACCCAAGTCCTGATTCGAGAAAGCAGGGGGAAAGGTGAGATGTTTATGGGGAAAGGACATGGGATGGCTGGCCATCCCCGAAGACAGATCTTGCCAGGACAAAACGGGGTAAGACGGATCCCCACTCTTCCCAACACTTCCCTTTTGCCCGTCTGCCAAGGTCCTTAGACTGCAAACAGATGAAGACCTTGTTTCAGCAAGCCCTTAAGTACTGGTCACTTAAGAGGGGGAAAAAACCTTGTATAATATGCTGGATTGTGTATTTATTTTCTTTTTAGTCATTTAGTTGAGTTTTAATTTTTATAGCTTAACTCTTTTTTTAATTGTCAGCTGTGAATTTTAGCTGTTTCAATTGTTATAAGCTGTTTTAGGAAAAGGTGAAATATTAATGATGATGATTATGATTAACAGGCACATTCAGAAGGCATTAAATTAGTAGCAATTATTAAAGGAACAGAAAGACAATACAGAAATTAGAAAGCACTTGTTGGGTTGCATGGTATTTTTAGAGACCAGGACAATCCTGACCCTACTGGTGTTTCCTTAAAGTCATATGTTACTATGTGTTCCAGGAGGTTTTAATAAATAATGTTAAACACCTCTTGTTACACATCATTTACCACATTTACTTGTGGTAGAGGATGTGGTGGTTAGAAAAGGAGGGTGTCTTCCATGTTGAGTATTCATTATTGTGAAGTCTTGGCTCTGCCTTTTCCTCTTCTCTGCTTTAGTTTTCCTGTTTAGGTTTTCTCAGTAGTGTAGATACTTTCCTTTGTATTAGTTTTTGGGTGTCGCTTAACCCCCCCCCCCCCCCCCCCCCCCGCCCCAAAGACCGGCTTTAGTTGGTGTATTTCATTTGACTGTATAGAGTTCTTTTGCTGGATTCCTATTTGTTTGTTTGGTTGGTTTTTTGGTTTTTTTGTTGTTGTTGTTTGCAACAGAGCTACAAAGAATAGTGTCTAGGGAATTGTCTCATAATCCTAAGTCCAAGCAATTCAAAACAGGGATCCTTAGCACCTGCATTCAGCAGTATCCATATACCATCAGTCCAAGAGACAACAGAACCTTTTGATCAGCTTAAGCTTCACAAGAAAGAAGACTGAGACAGTTTATAGCCATCACTTTGCACCAGAGGCAGGAAACTTTGAAAGACTCCAGAAACATGACTCCCACCAGCAAAATCTCCTTTTTTAATGTATTGTTTCAAGTTATCCTATAATAGTCTCGGGTGGAGTTAACCCTTTATTCATCTTGTTTTCAGTAAACTCATTTTGGTTATCTTTTCACCTTGCCTAAAGTACCTCTGTCTACTAAGGGCCTTGATCTTAACAGAAGGTATCAGATAGCCCCCGAGTAAAGCCAGACACTAGAGTTTTTCCCAAAGGCTAGGGTGTGCCATCACAGTTATCTGAAATTATTTGAACTAGAAGAGTTTTAGATTTCTGATTTTCTGGATTTTCCAATATATGTATTTGCATATACATACCGAAATGAGATATCTTGGAGATGGGACCCAAGTTTATATATAAAAATTCATTTGTGTTTCATATATGGTTTATAAACATAGCTTGAAGGTGATTTTGGAACATATTTTTTAATAATTGTGTGCATGTAACAACATTTGTGTATATTGAACTATAATACAGTAAAGATGTCACTTTCTCAGCCATCCTTGTGGACAATTTGGTTCTTGGAGTATTTCATAATTCCAAGTAAGGAATGCTCAACATGTAATAATAGTAACAGGATTAGAAGTCAGGATTTACATGAAGGGACCAATATAAAAATGTAACAATAACCAGAAAAAAAATGGACCAAGATGAGACCTATGGGGTTTTATTTATAGCTTATTCATCTGACCACCTCGGTCTTTGACTGCTGATTGAATTATTGTGTTTTACTCTTCCATATAATCATAGCTTTTCCTGAGGCATTGAATTTGATTACCAAGACAGATCTTTGCAAGGACAGTTCTTCATTACCCTTCAGTCTGTGACTGTGCATTTAAGGCCAACTAAAAACTTTGCGGCTGTCCTTGAAATCATTTGTGACAAAACTTTTAGAATTCTTTTGGCACAGCCTGAAAACCAAACAGCACAGTCTATATGTTTGTTGACAAAGCCCACATACAATGAAGCCCCATTGTTCTTGAAAGCGTTCTGTATTTGTGCCAGAAGAAATGCCTGTGCTACTTGCTGTTTCTTATCCGGCCATACATTTCACATCAGTAGAGGCTGATACTTGTTGGAGCTTGAGGTGCTGTCTCTTTCTTACTCCATTTCATTCAAATACCTCCATATATTAAACAATCTCAATGCCATAAGTAGTTCTCATTGAGGCTCAGCTGGAGGTTTCTTTCAGTCCTAGGTTCATATCTTGTTATGTCAGCGAGAAGGTTGGGGAAATATTTTCCTGTCTCAGCTAATATTTTTATAAGGTCTTAATTCACACACAGTTGGAGTGAAACACTTCAAAAGCAGTTCACATTGTTGTTGCTGGTGAGTTTGAGGGAAAAAGAAAATGCAGCCTGTCTGAATAAAAATCATTTTTTGCATAAAGTGGGGTGTAAAGTCAGATTAAATCCTGCCACTGCTCAAAGAATTCTGTCACTAAAACTTTTTAGGCTTTGTTTCTTTCTCAATCCTGTTTTATCTTATCTTCCCCAATCCTGTCTTAAATATGTCTCAGTCCCTTTCAATCCTCCAGTTTTCTCAAGTCAATTTAAAAGAGAATGTGAATAGTTTCAATATAACAAATGGATAAACTCACAAATCAATAAAGTTGAAATAACCTATAAGAAAAACATACAAATCCAAATATTCTGAAACAAACAAACAAACAAAAGCTTCTGTAATAAAATCTACCAGTAAAAAGCTTGAGACAACAAACAAGTTTTTCAAAGCCCTCTTAAAATGACAGTGAATGAAGCATGTAGCTGTTAAAAAATAAAGGTTTTCTCTTGACATTAAGTCTAGTCGTGTCCGGCTCTGTGGGGTGGTGCTCACCTCCATTTCTAAGCCAAAAAGCCGGCATTGTCTGTTGACACCTGTTAGGTCATGCGGCTGGCATGACTGCATGGAGTGCCATTACCTTCCCGCCAAAGCGGTGCCTATTGATCTACTCACATTTGCAGAATTTTGAACTGCTAGGTTGGCAGAAGTATGTATATGTTATAGTAAGAAATATGTAAGGGACCTCTATTGAGAAGGAGTAAGGTCGGGGGGGGGGGGAAGCATCCAATATAGCCCCCGGGACCCCCAAAGTCACTAACTTTGTTGTTGAATATATTTCAATTATTTGCAACTTATGATGACCCTAAGGCAAGCCTACCATTGTTTCTTTTTGGGAGTGGAGAATGACATGATTTATTCAGAAAGGGTTTGCCATTGCTGTTTTCTGTGCCTAGGAAAATGTGACTTGCCCAAAGTCACCCAATGGGTTTCCATTGCTGGGTGGGACTTCAAACCCTAATCTCCGAGAGTGCCAGGCAATCACCCAAAGCGCTACACTATACTCCTTATTCACAAATGTTATGCACTAAATAAAATGGTTTGGGATTTATTTATAAAAATAACAAGCTCTTAAAACTGTAAAATATAGTAGTGGGATTCATTTTTTTCACCTTGAAACAACCCACCAACCCAAAATGGTCTCAAAGGTGATTATGAGTGATGCATTGCTACTTGTAATATGGTGTCCATGATGAGGTCCTGCAGTTCTGTAGTACTCATGAGTGTTACAGATTTTTGTGCAGCAGACTAGAAGTATGGCACCTGAAAATGTGAGCTGTTAGGCAGCCCTTCTAAAAACCTGTGTCCAAGCCATTAAAAGCACCAGAAGTAAAAAATAACACTTTAATTACTTTTGAAATTACATTAAGAATCATAGATGTGTGACTGACTTCCCCATGGAATGTTTGAAATTAATGCAGGAGGACTACAACATTGCAAAATGTCTAAGATCACAAAGATTTAATCTGACAAGAGATTTCAATTTAGACAATAATGGGGTAGATGAACCATCCATAAGTATAATCCATGATCAAGTGGCAGGAACAGTGTGGTGTATTCAGTTGGGTCCCCTCACAGAAAGTTCTTTGGTCCACTGAGAAATTGATGGAGATTGCACAGAGCCTAAAGATGTTGCTTTGTCTTTAGCCCTTTTTTATGCAATTCTTTATGCAAACTCCCAGTATCCCAAAGATGATAAGTCTACATAGGGACCACCAAATGCAGCACCCAAACATGAATCAAGGAACAGGAAAGGCACTCCAGACTAATTCAACCTGAGAAGTCAGCCATAACAGAGAACCTGATGAACCAACCTGGACGCAGCATATTATTTGAGTACACAGAAATGCTGGACCATTTTAACAACTACTATGTCAAACTACACAGAGAACTTCAAATATGATGTCATATGACAGGTTTATTACTTATATACACAATAAAGAGGAACAACTTCTCTTTGTAATGGATAAATGTCCATATGCATGCAGGGTTGTTGTAGTTTTTTTCGGGCTATATGGCCATGGTCTAGAGGCATTCTCTCCTGACGTTTCGCCTGCATCTATGGCAAGCATCCTCAGAGGTAGTGAGGTCTGTTGGAACTAGGAAAAAGGGTTTATATATCTGTGGAATGACCAGTGTGATGGCATGCTGGGAAGGTCTGATGAGAAAACTATATGTGTCCGGCTATTTCCCAGTGACCATCGGTAAGCCCTATAAGTACTTTAATACCTCCAAAATAAAACTCTACAGACGAGACTAAATTCAACCAATTAAGTTTACTGAACAATCAAGGTGAATCAAAACAAGGTATACAAAGGTGCAATTTGATTTTTGATGGTATAGAATTAGAATAGTAAGGAACAGGTATGAGGTATAACTAAGGTAAATATAGATAACAGGAGGCTATGAGATATTATGGTGGTATGTGCTCTGAGGTAACGACAACTATATTTTGTATGAGGTAAGCACTCTCTATAAACTCTGGGGCATGTACTATCTATGTTCTATAAGGCATGTACTGCTCTGATCTATGGCATGTACATGTACTATCTAATCTATAAGGCAAATACTATGGCATATACAGCTATTAACTATGACATGTGCATCTATATTCTTTGGGCAAATACGTGCTAAGGATTGCCTGTTCCAGACCGCAAGCCAGACCAGACACTTTCTGGCTAACTACTATAAGCTTTGTCCAAAAGGAATGGAATAAAAGGTCCTTCCACCTTCCACCAAGCTCTGAGCCAGAATGAGCTGAACCAACAGAGCTCGGCCTCTAGGGGGATCCTAGGCTCCTACTCTAAAACTTAGCAGAATGGAACAGTCCACCTCCAGGGAGCAAACAGAGGGGGGAAAAACTAGGCCGAGACTTCACAACCAGGGTGAGACAAAGGACTGCTGGAGCTAGGTGTGAATGTTTCAACTGACCACCTTGACAATACATATTAATGTAGATAAACGTAATAGCCCAATCCGTCTGATGATTTAAAGAGTCACTTATAGATATTTCGAAGGAGTATTTGTGGCATCCAAAGTTTTGCCAGAGAAGAGTTCTACATGGTGACCAGGCTACAACAAGGTATCCTGGGTGTAGTTCCTTGTTTTGGTGTTGGTGATGAAAGCACCTTCTTCAGGTAATGCATTCTTCTTAATATTTCAACAGGGGACAAGTCTCTGCCACTACAATTACATGTATGAAAAGAACAACATACATAAAATAGATATGTTGTTCTTTTCATACATGTAACTCTATTGAACTAAAGATGGTGGATAGTAGATGTGCAACAGGCTCTAAAGTAGTGGTTCTCAACCTGTGGATCCCCAGATGTTTTGGCCTTCAACTCCCAGAAATCCTAACAGCTGGTAAACTGGCTGGGATGTCTGGGAGTTGTAGGCAAAAACACCTGGGGACCCACAGGTTGAGAAACACTGTCTAAAAGAACGTGGAAAACCAGAAAAACAATTTTTCTCCTGCTTTCCACACTTAGGACTTTTTATAGGATAAGACTTCAGATGGGAGTTTGGTGGAAATGTGATATAGGGCCTTCTCAGGGCTCCCTCCCTAAAGCAGTGGTTCTCAACCATCAAAATGCCATGACCCATTAATAGAGTTCCGCATGTTGTGGTGACCCTCAACCACAAAATTATTTTTGTTGCTACTTCATAACTGTAAGTTTACTACTATTATGGATCGTAATGTAAATATCTGATATGCTGGATGTATTTTCATTCACTGGACCAAATTTGGCACAAATACTCAATAGGCCCAAATCTGAATACTGGTGGGGGTTTTTTTTGGGGGGGGGGTTGATTTTGTAATTTGAGAGTTCTAGTTGCTGGGATTTATAGTTCACCTACAATCAAAGAGCATTCTGAACTACACCAACGATAGAATTGAACCAAATTTGGCACACAAAACTCCCATGACCAACAGAAAATACTAGAAGGGTTTAGTGGGCACTGACCTTCAGTTTTGGAGTTGTAGTTCACCTACATCCAGAGAGCACTGTGCACTCAAACAATGATGGATCTGGACCAAACTTGGCACGAAAACTCAATATGCCCAAATGTGAAGACTGGTGGAGTTTGGGAAAAATAGACCTTGACATTTGGGAGTTGTAGTTGCTGGGATTTATAGTTCACCTACAATCAAAGAGCATTCTGAATCCCACCTATGATAGAATTGGACCAGACTTCCTACATGGAACCCCTATGGTTAACAGAAAATACTGTGTTTTCTGATGGTTTTGGCAACCCTCTGATACCTCCTTGCAACACCCCCCCCCCAGGGGTCCTGACCCTCAGGTTGAGAATAGAATCATAGAGTTGGAAGAGACCTCATGGGCCATCCAGTCCAACCCTCTGTGATGAAGCAGGAAAATTGCATTCAAAGCAACCTTGACAGATGGCCATCCAGACTCTGTTTAAAAGCCTCCAAAGAAGGAGCCTCCACCACACTCCGGGGCAGAGAGTTCCACTGTCAAACAGCTCTCACAGTCAGGAAGTTCTTCCTAATGTTCAGATGGAATCTCCTTTCTTGTAGTTTAAAGCCATTGTTCCGCGTCTTAGTCTCCAGGGCAGCAGAAAACAAGCTTGCTCCCTTCTCCCTATGACTTCCTCTCACATATTTATACATGGCTATCATGTCTCCTCTCAGCCTTCTCTTCTGAAGGCTAAACATGCCCAGCTCCTTAAGCTGCTCCTCATAGGATTGTTCTCCAGACCCTTGATCATTTTAGTCGCCCTCCTCTGGACACATTCCAGCTTGTCAACATCTCTCTTCAACTGCGGAGCCCAGAATTGGACACAGTATTCCAGGTGTGGTCTAACCAAAGCAGAATAGAGGGGGAGCATGACTTCCCTGAATCTAGACACTATTGATGCAGGCCAATATCCTTTTGGCTTTTTTTGCCGCCACATCACATTGTTGGCTCATGTTTAACTTGTTGTCCACAAGAACTCCAAGATCCTTTTCACACGTACTGCTCTGATCTAAAAATGCTGATCTAAAAAGTCCGCTGGATTATGTTGTTACACAAGGCAGAAAAATCCCCATGTCAATGAAAATATGCAATTAAAAATAGATAACACTTTTACCATACTTTTACGACACTTGGCTCTGCCCAATGGTAGTCACAATTGTTTTGTCTCATTTGGAGATAGAGATAAAATGAAAACCCACTTTAAATTTAGCAATTTTTTCTAACAACATTTTACAACTAAAAACAACAAGGCAATCACTGGAAGCACAAACAATTTGAGGGAAAAGTCTTTATTAACCCAATAAATAACTATGCAAATTTGCTCAAGAACTGCCTGTGCTCTAAATTTAACTGTGCTCTTAAAGCTGAGTCATCCTTTTCACTCCCATACCGGCAGGTTTCTTGATGGCCTTTTAAAGGGAGTGGAAATCAAAGCCTGTTCTGGCATTTTTAAAAAATCAACTTCCACATTCAAATCTCTTTAACAAATCCCACCACAAATTATCAGAACGTCACCAATGCAAAATTAATACATCCCCTAATTCCTGACAAATGAAAAAGATACTCATTCAGATCAGATCATACAAACCTATTTTGTAGTGGAGAGAAACTGAAAACCAAAAAGGATTTAGATATAATCCCCATCTTACTATAAAGAGCATGCTGTTTACGCGCACACCTTTGGCATAAAATATGCCCTGCTTATGTCATTAATCAATTCCTCACAAAGATAGAAGAATTGTGCAAAGAAATAGGAAAAATATGCACCTCTCTCAAATGTTTCAAGAAACAAATAGCTGTATATTTAAGAGGCCATAACCTTTACAAATAAAGCATGTCATTCCTGCATGGTGGTGCTCTTGTGTCCCCATTATTTTCAAATACTAATAGAAATGTAGCCTGTTGTTTACCAAAACTAGGATGCATTTTAATTAACTATCTTCATTTGGCTTCCCAATACACCAGCATCAAGTAAACAGGATCTTGCACCTGCAAGACTCACATAGGCCCTGCAATGATGGTTAAGATTAGTATATAAGCTCCCAATTGGCAAAGCATCATTTCAGAATACACTCACAGGCAAGGTCTTGCAAATTCAGGCTTCGAAGCATGGTTTCCTCTTACCTGCAATGCAACATCCTTTAGTTCAGCCTCCAAAATCCCGACAGCATCCTTTCTTCCCTGGAACGGCTGCAAAGGCAATGATGTCATATGGAGGAAGCAGTAACCGTCACATGACTCTGAATACTCTCTATTTAGAGACCTGCTTCCTAGAGAGACAGGCAGCAACTGGCCTCTGATCCTGTAGGATTAAACCAGCCTCTTAAAGCATCCTTGTATCTTTTTGCAGTGCACCCTGCAATGCCTTGCTGTTATTGTTGTTTGACAGCTAAGCTATGAATTGCATGGGTCTATCATACCCGGGAGAGTGTATTGCCTGAAATGAGCCAAGCTTGCATTCTGTGTTCATTCATTGTTGGGCGGGCTTCCTGGTCAAAAGAATAAAAGAAGGGAAGCTGCACTCTGCAGGGGGCTTTCTGCTCAAACTAGATTTTGATAATCACAAAGGGAAAGGTGTAGACTCGGTTAATCAAAACTCAAGCAAATGGCAAAAACGTTTTTAACTAAAATTTCACACTGCAGTCACAAAGCTGTTTTGATAATACAGGAAAACTGTGTTACATTCAGTTTAGCTTTATTTGCTTTTAATTATTTTATTTCAATATTAATATCAAGTCAACACAGAGTTTGGCAAAAGTATGATAGATGGGACCCAGTGCTTATAACGCTATGCTGGTTGCGTAACGTGGCTCTAAATTAGAGACGGGAACACGTGCGCCAGACATAGCACCACGTGCACGAGAGACTGCACGCAGTGAGGGACACAGCTACGACAGAGTCGACAAGGGCGTTCAGTAGAAAGGGGGGGGCAGCCAAGAATACTGATGTAGGCTATCCGGAGATCGTATGCAAACACGTTTAAAAAACATTGTTGCATTGGAAGGAAGGATGGAAAGGAGGGGAGAAATACAAGCAGTGTTGAAAAATGAATAAAATCCAGTCACTCTTACATTACTGCATTGTTATCTTGTCCCACCTACATTACATTACTTTACTGGTATCCTGCCGCAGCTGCATCTCTCACTCGGTGCACTGTCTCACACATGTGCTCCCTTCTCTAATTCAGAGCCACGTTGCGCTACCAGCACTGGGTCCCAGCTATCAAACGTTTGCCCAGAGTTTATGGTATGGTTTTGGGCCCTTCCAGACAGGACATATATCCCAGGATCTGATCCCAGGTATTCTGCTTTAAACTGGATTATATGAGTAAGCACTACAAAATAATCTGAGATAAACAGAAAACCTGGGATCAGATCCTGGGATACAGGGCCTGTCTGGAAGGGGCCATAATATGGGGTAGGACTGTTTTTAATAGTAACTCTTATTTATTATTTATTTATTTACAGCTTTTGTATTCCGCCCTTCTCACCTGGCAGGGGACTCAGCAACACAGTGCCTCTGGTGGCACAGTGGGTTAAACCGCTGAGCTGCTGAACTTGCTAACCGAAAGATCGCAGGTTGAAATCCAGAGAGCAGCATGAGCTCCCACTGTTAGTCCCAGCTTCTGCCAATCTAGCAGTTTGAAAATATGCAAATGTAAGTAGATCGATAAGTACTGCTCTGGCGGGAAGGTAATGGCGCTCCATGCAGTCATGCTGACCATATGAGCTTGGTGGTATCTACAGACAATGCCGGTTCTTTGGCTTAGAAATGGAGATGAGCACCAACCCAGTCAGACACAACTGGACTTAATGTCGTGGGGAAACCTTTACCTTTTCTTTAAGCAACCAGAAACTACACTTACCTGACATCTACCAACCCCATGGATACTGGTTAATTGAGAGTCTAGTGTAGATACATTGATAGATCAATAGAGGGTAGATAAACACATTTATTTGGGAGAGCCTTTGAAAATCCAATGCATTGTTACATCTGTTGCAGGATGAGCAGGATTGTTTCTGTGAGTTGGAAAGAAAGAAAGAGCTGCTCTTCTCTCTTCTCCACTTGCAGCAATGTATTCAACTTTTGGGTCTTTTTAGAGCATGGAAAGGACAGAATGGAGGTGGCTAAGCACTTCCCATTTCCCTGGCAGAGGCTGAGTTTGCACAAAGAGAAGAAAATATGACTATTGAGCCCTCAGTGCGTAGACATTTCTTTGTATGGGGAAGGATTCTCCCTTAAGTCAATGGTAACTTTGGAATTCTCATAGCCATTTTATCCAATAATTTATTCTCGCCAAGTTGTAAATTCAAAAGTCTATTCAAAGGTAACTATTCAAAGCCACATATATCTTGGGTGATGTAATTTACATACTCTTTCACATTCTAAGATTCTGTATGAGACTATATTATTTTTGTGCTTTTAGGAAATTCAATTTTAAAGGTAAGATGCCTTTTCTTTCACCCTTCTCTTTTAAATTTTTCTGCCTTTTGTCTCAGTTTAGACTGTCTTCTGCCTTCATGAAGATTCCCTCCAGAACAACTTAACTAGAACAAAAACAACGCCTGATACACCTGAAGGCTTTTTAAAACACCTTTTGCCTTGTGAAGAAGCCAGTGAAGCTTTGAAAGCTTGCTTGATGTTTTGTGGGTTTTGATTGGTCAACAAAAATATTGCTCTTTTATGGATTTTGTATTTTGTTTTATTGTATTGTTCCCAGAGAAGTTCTTGCTTTACCTTACAAGGAATAAAGTTCTTTGGAAATATAAGTACAGTAGAGTCTTGCTTATCCAACCTTCGCTCATCCAATGTTCTGTATTATCCAATGCAGTCTGCCTCCAATCCGGATCCAAAGCTGTTTCAATACATTGCGATGTTTTGGTGCTAAATTCATAAATACAGTAATTACTACATAACGTTACCATGAATTGAACTTCTTTTTCTTTCAATTTGGTGTAAAACATGACGTTTTGGTGCTTAATTTGTAAAATCATAATGTCATTTGATGTTTAATAGGCTTTTCCTTAGTCCCTCCTTATTATCCAACATTTTCGCTTATCCAACATTCTGCCGGCCCATTTATATTAGATAAGCGAGACTCTACTGTATGTCTCAGCAGATGCATTCCTGAGTATTACTTCCTTTACAGAACATTTGGTACCAGAAGTAGAAATAACATGAATAGTTCAATATACTGTAATTCAGGGGATGTTTGATCAAAACTAGCAATATGTCCATGAGAATTGAAACAATTTGGTTAGGTAAGCCTGGCACAAGCAAGCAGGAAAATATCGAAGCACCTAGAGCATGGGCCGTGATCCCAAATGGGTTGTGAAGGGTCTTCTGTGGGGCAGTGGTGACGTATGAAAAATTTAAAAAGGGAAAACAAAATTGCACCACAGAGATTTGTTTGTGTAAACGTGTAACCATCTTTCGTTCATCGGGTTAGCTTGTTGTTAGGTTCATGAAACTTCATGTTCAGTTAGGTTTTTAATTTTTAAGCTTGTTAATGAGTTAAAATTTCAGTTTCACATTACATAAAGATATAAGTTAACATTATTTTGAATTATATTATACTGAAAAACCAATTTTTGATGAGTTTTCATTTACCCTATTAAAAAGCCTATTTTTAATGTATCAGGGTTGCAACTTGAAAAAGGTATGGAACCACTAGTCTAGAGACTTCGTGAAGGCTCCTTCAAAATGTATCCCAGGATAATGTTTATTTTCACAGTCTTCAATTTTCTTACAATTTCCATGTTGGTGGCCAAACTAAAAGGTCTATGCTTTTTTAAAGCACATTAAAGGCAACTGACAAAGCAGCTCTTCCTTTTGCTGTCTCCCCTTTCCATGTTCAGCAAGGGATTCTGGAAGCAGCTCTTGTTTTCCTTGCCTGTTGTAGACAGGAGCTCCTTGCAGCAGAATGATGAACTAAAATTGAATTCCATTCTTTCTCGGCTAAAGCTTCATCACAGTTTCCTGCAGATACACTGTTGGAATCTGACAGCAAAAGTATATTTCTCCAGCCCTCATTCACCATCTTGCCATCCTTCCAATGCTGCTGAAAATTACCCAGCTAAAGAGAGCAAGGAAGAAAAGGAAAGACTGCGTATCTACAAAACGACTTTACAAGAAGCTTTTTTATATTGGGGTAAATTATTCAATAATTCTGTAAAGTAAGACAGCTATTATCATCTCCCTATTTCTTATTGGATGGTTTGGGATGACGGAAAAGAAGACCCATTTGCAGGCATTTCAGATTGAAGCTTTTGACAGCTTTTTTGTGCAAAACCCCCCAACAATAACAGGTGAGATCACATTTGGTCATTAAGTTTGAGAAATGATATTTTCTGTGTAAGAATATTGCCAGATGTTGAAGTTTTATCTATTTAGAATATTACCATTCCCATTACAATCCTTCAGCTTGCATGGCAAATTATAACAATATGAAGTTATAAGATAAGATTGCAAGCAACAATAAAAACAGTTGGAACCTCTTCAGTCCAAATTGAATGTTCTACACAAAGAAATGGGACCAATTTTTTTTCCTGTATGAACTGCATGACCTGACAATATCTCTGAAACTGCAGCATTGCATAAATGTGCTTTCTTCACATGATCACTATTGCATTTGATGTGAAAATCTTGGGCAGTGCTGTACCTATGAATCTTTTAGAAACCAAAAGAGAAGCTATCACAATTCCAAACACATGAGATAGCTTTAAAAGTAAAACTTGCAAAAGAACATAGCAAATCCATAATTAATGAAATTGTTTTACACAAGTACTATTTTCAATACAGGCAGTCCCCAAGTTACAAACATCCAACTTACAAATGGGAGTGAGACAACAGAAAGTGAAAGAAATCTACCCAATCAAAGAGGAAATTCACCCCTGAAAGAGTGAATCTGGGGAAAAATTATATTCACTGAAGCTTTATTACCAATTCTTGTTTCCACAGCAAGCTAAATTTTTCAAAATCCAATTCTTACAGGGACAGGAAGTCAGGTGAAATCTTCTGAACGGGCACAGATAGCAAAACAAACATCACAGGGTGTTAACCCTTCCCAATGCTACCCAAAGCATGCATGCATGCATGCGAGCACATGCACACACACACACAATCTTGGGTTGCTGTGAGTTTTCCGGGCTGTATGGCCATGTTCCAGAAGCATTCTCTCCTGATTTTTCGCCCACATCTATGGCAGGAAATCTTAGCAACCTCTGAGGATGCCTTCCATAGATGTGGGCGAAACATCAGTAGAGAATACTTCTGGAACATGGTCATACAACCTGGAAAACTCAGTGATTCTGGCCATGAAAGCCTCCAAAAACCATAGAACATTTCTTGTTCATAACTTGGGGACTGCCTGTAATTGAAAAGTTCTTAAACATCGCTTAAGTATAGCCCATAATCAATTACAATACTGGTTAATTTTAAATTGATACACAAAACAATGGTAATTATGCCAAGTTTTTATTTATTTGATTATTTTGCAGAATACTTTTCAAATACAAATGACACAATTGTTTAGAAACTTTGACAAACACAAGAAATGAATACTGAGGAGTAAAGTATATTACTTTTTGACACACTAAAATAGTACTCATTCGACAGTTTTTTACCTTGCTTAAATACTGTGACCACACAACACAGACTTGCTACCAGTACAAACCAAGACACATTGTCTTCTCAAGGAGCCCTACGCTGCTGGACTTCACAATCAGAAACTGATCCTAATTTGTCAGAACATTGTTTATACTGACTGCCCTTTATCACAATTAGTATATGCTACAGATGATTGAAAGTGCTCTGCATAAAAAGGATCGTTCTTTAGACTGAAACAAAACATACAGGGAAGATCTACTACTTCTCCAAGTGTGCTGAACTTGCTGAATTGTTCCTGAAACGGACCCCATTTTGGAATATAACAGGCCACAACAAACACAAATCTGACTCTTGTTCACTTTTTGATAAATACTTTAAATTACAACCATGCATGCAAATAACATGAGAATAACTGTAACTGGGTGACCACCATTTTTCTTTTTGGCTCCCATTGCACTTCCAGCTCTTTCTTCCTTCTGCATTTCTGTGATCCTTTTTCTTGACAAGAAACACATTCTCAGTCTTCTTATACGTCAAAATTCTACAGAGCAGTCCGTGACGATAATGACAAACATTCTCACTTCTGTTACAACATACAGCAAGTGTGACCCTACACAATTCATGTTGATTTGATGGCTTTTGGCTGCAATCCTATGCATATGATAGTTAATCAAATGCACTGAATTCAGTGATCTTACTTCTGAATAGACATAGCTAGGACTGCACTGTGCGTCTTTGTTCTAGATTTAACTATCCATACTATGTAAGGTTTACAAACAGTACTCCAAAACACAGACCGTGGAAAACAATGTAATGGATAGGTTCTCATGATCTTAACACAATACTCGAATTCTGTAAATTGCAGGGGGATGTTGATTGGTTTCCAGCTTAACAACCACTTTCTTTGGTATTGGGCCTCTCTAAGGCACTATTTCATATTTAAATTAAATCAAAATGTGACCTAAGTGTCCTATATTTTAAAAATGTTGTGTTCTTATTGATGCTCCTGAAAGGTAGTTTCACTTTTGGTAGGACATAAATCTTTGGGTAACTGAAGCTGAATATAATAACATAACACAGAATATTATCATATATTTCAAAGACACAAAAAGTGGCACTCTCGGGAATTTAAGGTGACAGTTGAAATCTAACAAAAGCAACAGGTTGATTTATACTCAAACAGATTTCTTCTAAAGCTAGGGAATCCAACTAAAGAATCCATCTCTTTTAACTGTTTCACCACACAGTTCTGTCTTACTCCTATCTTAATTGTAAACCTTTTAATGGTAACAGTGTCTCTGTTCCATGACAAAGGATATCCTAATTCAATAGTTCAAAGTTTTAGCAGTGGCAAGAGGAAATGCATTTAGAATTATGCACAAAATGCAAGGCCAGAAGAGGCTGCCAGAACTTGGGAGTTTAGGGTTTGCTGTGACATGATTTATCTGAAAAACTAAAGAATGTACCACTGCCTAGACTGAAGCATTTTGAGGAACATTTAAAATATTCCGTATAGTTGAATTTTGCATTGTGGCAGATGAGGAATCCTGGAAAACTCTGGTTTTATTTTTGTTTATTTTAAAAAAAAACACACACAGTCTGTAGTCTTTCTGCAAAGCAATGGAAACAAAATAAAATCTGCAGAGGTGATATCTGCTACTGCAGTGGTTCTCACCCTGTGGGTCCCCAGATGTTTTGGCCTTCAATTCCCAGAAATCCTAACTGCTGGTAAACTGGCTGGCATTTCTGGGAGTTGTTGACCAAAACACCTGGAGACCCACAGGTTGAGAACCATTGTGCTAATGGCTCAGTAACTGGAGAAATTTCAGACTGATGCTAAATTTGGATCACTGTATTTCTGCAGTAATAAAAGCTTTGGTTGAATCACCACAAAGGGTTGAATTCCCTCAAAAGAACTTGCTACTTGTTAATGGACCCACTGAAACTATGGCATCTACTCTACATATGAGACATGATTCAGTATGCTTGGCCTTAGGATCAAGCACCAGATGGGGTATGATTTTAGTGGGTTATTTTTTTCCTCCATACAGATATAGTTCATTAAAGGTAATGAAATTTGGAATGCAAAACATATGAGGATACTGAAAAAATCATCATGATATGATAACTGGTGATTTCTGACCCAATTTCTGGAGCATGTCACTAGTCAAACTGATAAATATTATTAGTTCAGTTAACTCATAAGCACTTTCTCTAAAACAATAGCTAAAGCGAAACCTGTCACCTTCTTCCTTCCCTCGTTAAACAGAAAAGCTATTTAAAATTATAAAAGACATATTTGACAAAACTGAAATGAGATAAATCTATTAGTGCACAGCTACAAACAAGCAGTTTTTCCCTGCGATGTTTCATTGCATCTTAATGGCACTTTTTAAAACAAAACAAAACATTGCAGGGGTGATATCAAGGCAGTGCCAAAATACTTGTTACATTATAAGAGGCAGACAGTAATGCTGATTTCAAAAACAACAACTTTAGAAGATACTATTTTCACTTCAGCTATCAGAAACAAAACCAGCTCAATGGTTTCATTCTACTGTATGACAAATACTGCGTAACAAAATGTATGTCTTTTAAAATACATCTTAAAAGTAAAGATTTTCCTTCAAGGAAAATTAGTTACTATAAATAAATTAGAATACAGTGAATTTACCTGAACTCACTTTGTTTCTGTCTTCCAGCCTTTTAAGTCAAATAATACCGCATAAAAACTGTACACACTCTAATAGGATAGTTGATTTTTTTTCTTTAATATAAAATAAGTCGTCTTCAGCGACATCAGTTTCACAACAAGGAAAAACCAAGCCTTGCTGTAGTCACCATTATAAAATATATATATGTATATATTTATATGTTTTTGTTTATTTTAAACGTTTTTTTACAAAATGAGAATATTAATAGTTTTTACACAAAGATTTTAAAAAATAAACTTAACTGGTTTAGTAACTTCATTTTAAAACAAGAAAGAGGCAGATAAATACTTCATGTTGATAAAGTAACATGTCATACATCGTCAGCTGGCAGAGGAGGTATGTTGATCCTTGGCCTTGTAAAGAATGCCATCTTCTCCCTGTCACAATTTGCAGGAAAAAGATTGCACAAATATTTAATTGCACAATTTTGATTGCTTATTTAACTGCAGTTGATATGAGTACTTTTCACACGTGTGGTTCTAAGAATCTAATTTATCAAGTAAATTCTCACCACAGTTAAAACGGCTTTGGTACAATTTGTGAACATCCAGGGTTTTAAAAGATGTTTTCTGCTGCTGAAAGGGCAATTATTTATTTCCGTACTACATCTAATCTTGGACAGAATATTCAAGGAGGTGACTTTAAAAAAAACCTTAATTCTCAAAAGGGAACTGAATTTTAATATCTTTCAGTAAATGTAATCCTCCAAGAGGAATTTTAAAATTTCAATCAAATGCAATGTCACATAGAAAACCAGGATAGTGTAATATTTTCAGTGTACTAGATCACTGAAAAACCAAGATTTGAATCTCTAATCAGCTATGAAAATGTATTATGTGAACTGCTCTCAACCTCAGAGGAAGACAATCCCCTCTCAACAAAACTGGTTGAGAAAACCATGTGATAGGCCTTTCTTAGGGTAGCTATAAGTGGGAAACAACTTGAAGGCAAACACAGAGATACAGAGCACATGCTTGTGGTAGTAAAAAGTAGAAGTTTCCCCTGACATTGTCTAGTTGTGTCTGACTCTGGGGATGGTGCTAATCACAATTTCTAAGCAGAAGAGCCGGCGTTGTCCATAGACACCTCCAAGGTCATGTGGCCAGCATGACTGCACGTGGTACAAACTTGCAAATAAATGTAGGAAAAACAAAATTAAGCCACATTTAAAATCTCTGAACCTCAAATCACAGGAGTTCTGGAATTTCTGTACTCCAGTGATATGTGATTTCCCTTAGGGTTACTCCTTACAAAAATGGCAAACCAGTGTTGAGGGATTTTCTACATCTCACTAGAAAAAGGGAGGGTGGTGGTGGTTACATAATGGTTTCTCCTTTATTTTTTCCTATAAGGAATACTGGACATCATAGAGAGGTCAAGACTGGGGGGAGGGGGGGGGGCGACAAAAGGCTCCCAATAAGCAGAAGCATTCAATCCAGTGAGTCCTCAGGTAAAAACCTTTTAAGTGGTGCAACTCATGACCAGCAAACCTACCAGAATAAGTAAACTGCTCTCCTTTCTAAATGTTTAGGGACATGACTATTCACTTACTGAAGCCTGGTAAGTCCACATGAAAATTACTTTTTATTATCACCATGTAGTACAGAGAGAAGGTTAATGTCATCAAACTCCCTAAAATGATGCAAATGCATAGGAATATGCTGTCATGTGGAGAAGGAATATCAAATAATGGAAGCACAGAGGGCAGTTACACCTTGTCTAGGATTTTCAATAACCATGCTATCTGTAAGCATGAATACACTAGCATGTATTTGAAGGGCATCAGGACAATTATTCAATCTATCTTGAACTCCATACCGGAAGGTCTGCACTTGAATGGGTTCCTTCTGATTTTGTCCACGCAGCTGATAGACTTCTTTGGATGCTTTTTTAAGCAATTTTTCAGCTGCTTGTTGCTGACGATGCTCAAATTTGGTCTGTCTTGTCTAAAGGGAAAATATACAAAAAAAAAGAGAAGACTTTTGAATGTATCACTGGTTTTACTCTAAAAACTGTTCACAAGTCTCTTCAGTGGAACAGGCAATCCTGAAATGTGTTCTCCAGCTTGTTTCAAAGACAGCGATAAACACATTTCCTTTTGCTCCTTTAGGTGGAAGAAGACATAATTAGCAGCGATAGCTAAGAACTACTTGCTATACATAAATACATACATACATATATATAGAGAGAGAGAAAGAGAGAGCATGTCACCACTCTCACTTAGAGCCATAATACCCAGAATAAAGCCAATTTTATCTGATTTTGGACATTGATAGCTATTGGTGTGGAAGACCAAAAACTTCCCATTTCAACATCTGCAGTGCATCTGCAAATCAGCAATGACAATACTGGACCAATCATCTGACAGTGAAATGCAGTTTCCAACATTCCCCAGTTCCTAACTAAACAAGGAAGCAAGTAAAACATATAAGGAAACAACAACAAAGTGGGTTTTAAAAAAAATAGTGCCACACTCAAGATCAGACTTTTCCAACATCCAGAAAGATTAACTTCTTTTTTCACAAAAACAGGTACTTGAAAGACATATAAGTCTGTCATATAGGCCTAATAAAATTGAGATTTCTAAGGGAAGTCCTTATCTTGGTTTCTTCTCCACTTCCATAGGTACATTTGGTAGGGAAGTAAAAGAAGTCATTCTCAGTTATTGTTGCCAAGCTGTCTACTTTCCTTCTTCTAGTATATGGAGACTTTCTTTAAAGACTGGCTTTAGATTACTGACTGACTGCTGAAGAACATCCAAAGGCATCCAAATTTAACCTTATTAATTTTCCTGTTATCTAGCAAGGTTCACACTACCTTCTTGGAATGGCAGAGATTAGAATAGAAGCAGCAAAACAGTGACAACTCTAATATGAGGACAGCAGGAAATGGAGGAGTTGACAGTATAATGACATTTGGATATGAACCCAACACAGTAAGTTCCATGTACTGTTCCTCATCCTTTGTCTTTTTCTTCTGTTAATGGAAGGCTAGTCAAAAGCTTCAGACAGATTTTAGAAGCCATTCTCTGAAATTTGAGCCAATGCTGCAGCAGAGCTAGTGTGTGGCTCCTCTTCTAAGACAATAGCTGCAACAATTGGAACTGAAGATACTGCAGCCTCTGCCTATCAGAAAGTCAAGTCCAAAGAATAAGATTTAGCCAATATATCTGAATCCTGCAAATAAGTTATTGCCATATTTGTGGATGATATCTTGTGGAAAAGTACTCAAAAAAAGAGGAACACTTCTAAGACATTGCTCTCACTGAAGGGACATTAGAGTGGAAAAATATCAGATAAGACTAAGCAGAGAAGAGGTAAGATTTGGAGAAAATAGCCTGTGTGTATGATCAAAGTTTTGACTGTAAAGCTAAGCTTGCATTCCAGTTTTTGTGTGGCATGTTTTTTCCTTGTTCACCCAGCAGGGTGATTTGGCCAAATAAACCTGTTCAACATTTTTTTTTGCTTCTGAGATGCTGGAGGTTTTGGGCCATAAAGAAAAGAGGGACATGGAAGTGCCTCAACATCATGACAAATGAAGAAAAGCAGTAGTGTTGACTGAACTTTTAAAAATCTATGTACATGAAAAGGGAGGCAAATGTGCTTGGTTTACCACATAGATAGAGCTTATAAACAAATAGTTATCAAAGTGGTGAGTTGGTATGTCTGATTATCAAAGTGATAATCACTTGAATAATATCTCTGCATTTAAGTGCATCTGAATGTATTTCCTATGTCTCTAGAGCAGGCATGGGCAAACTTTTGCCCTTAAGGTGATTTGGACTTCAATACCCACAATTTCTAACAGCTGGTGGGAGTCCAAAACACCAGGAGGACCAAATTAATATTTCACATTACCTAGGTAATCTGGATGTATGGTTGTACTGAAATATTATTTGAACTCCTTAGACAAACAGGAACTTAAACAAACAAGAACCCTGATGCATGACAATTCTGGGTTTTTTAAAGACCTCAATTATTTCCTGAACAAATTCCTTCAGTATCTTCTACGAAATCATGGGGAAAACTATTTCTCAGAAGCAAAGAGTTTTTCAACCCACTGAAATTCTCTTTAACCTTTCAGTAGTAAAAGCATGAACTTTCTGTACCTGAAAATCAGATTGACAAAACTCTTTAGTACTCAGTACTACAATGAACTTACAGATTAATTTTTTCATTATTTAACGGTGGAAAAGTACTTTTATGTACAATGTACTACCACTTTATTAGAACCTGATGCGCATCCCAATATGTCATACCTGCCTTTCCGCTTCCTTCAGCAAATTTCGGAATCGTTCATCCCGAAGGACCCAATGAGGCAGGTCAGTTTGACCAGTAAGCTGGGCATCCTCCAGTCGTTGCCGCAACTCTCTCAGGACAGATAACTCTTCATTCAAGTGCCTCTGCTTTGTTCTGGAAGCCTGAAGATCCAGCTCCAGGTCTAGTGATGTCCTTTCCATAAGATCAGCCAAAGATGATCTACATGATTGCTGAGAGAGTTTGAAATAAAAATGGGGCAGTATTATAATATTATAAAACAGCATGTTAAAAACACAACCTAATTCAGCTCCTATCTCTACAAAAGGTAGATTTTTATTGTATGTTTGAACGATACATGACAAAAACTAAAATAGCATGAACTGATACCTGTCATTGTAAATGTGAAAAATATATCAGTCTAATGAATTTGAAATAGGGATACTACAAAACCATGGTCTGCAACAACATGGATTTCATATTTTCTTGCTAACCCTTCTTCTGTGCAAATTAATTGCTCCCTAAATCATGTTTGCTTTAACCTTGACTTAGAACCTAAATCTGTCAGTGCTGCATTTCTGGCAGCACTGACAGAAACACAATTATGACTAATGGCCTTGAAAATTAAGTTCCAAAACAATATTTTAATTGTGTTTATAGAAAATGAAAAAAGAATAATTCTGGTTAATGTCAGGCACATTTATTGTAACGTCAGCAAAAAGATAAACAATTTTCTTAAAAGAAATATGGGCTCAAAAAAAAAAAAACAACAGCTTTGCAGAAATGTATGAAGTAGAACACACACAAACCATTAAATTGACACAGTAATTACATTTTCTACAAAAGTGGAAACCTAATAATAATGGTTTGGTTTTTTTAAAAAAACAAACCCAAGTTTAAGAAAGGCCTATTTTTAATTCTGGGATGAAGGGCAATCAGAAATTAACAATGCGAACCTATACCTGCATAAGCAAGTGAGCTGAATTTAAGAGACTTACTCCCAGGCAAAAACTGAAAGGGAGGTGACAGAGGCAACGTTATTTTGACAATTTTGACAAAGGTGAAGAGTGTTAATTTCCCAAGGGAGATAGGGGGGGAATATAAATAAAGTATTATTATTATTATTATTCATTTCTCAAAACAATTCATTATTTATATATTGGTCAGATCATTACTTTTTCCTCACAGTAGTCATAATGACATGCTAATGAAATCAAAACACATATTTTCTACAGAAATACTTCAGCCATGCAAAGCACGGTCTTTGAAGGCTCACCCTCACACATATACCTGCTTATATCGCAGCGTACGCCTTTCCAAAGTATTTCGGATGAAAGGTGACTTTCTTGGAAGTGTGGAACTGTCACTATCACTACGATACAGCTGGAAGAAAACACATTAAAACTGATACTTTAAAAATAATTTAACACAATTCTGAATAGTATCTTGATTGTATCAATGTCACTAATAGTTATCAATCTTAACTGAAAGTGTTTTATTTGCAGCGAATGAAGCCCCCTTCCCAATGGTTAAAACTATAGCAATATCCTCTGAAAAGTGCAAACAACAAACAAAACAGAAACCAATCAAACTAGTTGACCTAGAATAGCTGACCATATAGCTACTTTCACCTCCAGAAACCGCATATTCCTTCTAATCAAGATCAGTTGGGGGGAAAAAATCTATTGCTTGCCAGGCAGGATTTTGGTAAACAAAGGCAATACTTATGGCCAAAAAAATGGTGCTGGTCCCAAGGCTACAATTGTGGTTTCCAAAATCTTCTGGTAGCTGTTGGGCCTGGTAGTTTCAATAATGAACAAAACAAACAGAGATGCACCGATTAAATCTGGATGGGAAAAGTACAGAGTACAGATCACATATTGTCTCACGGGGTTACTTTTATGATCCTCAGAGTGCCTCAAGGATAAAAGGCTTTGCCCCAAAATACACTTTGAAAGAATGGGGTAGGGGAGAAAATTTTGTCCACATATCCATTTTCTATGATGAACCATTCTTGAGATCTATGGCATTTTTTTAAAAGGGGGTGAACAGAAAATAATTTCTTGCCAAAACCCTAAAATGGCCTAAGGAAGCCGTATGTATTGCAAAAATACCTCTCATGCCTCTGGAGTTTATGAGTTCTTAACTTCAGATATTGGAACTACAAGATAAAAAATATGCAAAAAGGTGCATTCTACTGGTAAGATATAAGCCCAAATATTAGTCAAAACAATACAGCATTTCAAAGCCACTAATCCCAGTTATGTGTTTATATATAATTTCTACTCACACGGCAGACATACTGACTTCGTGCACCAGGCGAGAATGTCTGTGAGCGAACAAGAGTGCTGCTACGAACAAATGCAGACCCTCTGGATCGACGGCCAGTTCTGGCATGAAGCAAAATGGCTTCTTCTGGGAAGGAATCTTCTGTGTTGGTCTCCTTATCCACCTATATGAAGAATTTTTTAAAAAATCACAAGTTTTACAAGACTCATCTTCCCTTCAAAAAATGTGATGACTGTTCCCTCAGCTTGATAAATGTTTCAAGAACATTAAAAAAATCTAGCAATATAATCATTATAAAAGCAAGTACCTATATGCTCAAGTATAAGCTGACCCAAATATAAGCCGAGGCACCTAATTTTACAACAAAAACTGGGGAAATTGATTGATTTGAGTTTAAGCCAAGAGTGGGAAGTGCAGCAGCTACAGGTAAATTTCTAAATAAAAATAGATACCAATACAATTATATTCATTGAGGCATCTGTAGGTTAAATGTTTTTGAATATTTACATAAAACTAATTTAATAGCAGACTGTCCAACTCCGCTTGAATCTTTATTCTAACCTTCTTCAATGTATCCTTCCAATAATAATAGAGTAAAATAATAAATGTAAATAATAATAGAGTAAAATACATTTAATGTTAACAATAATAAAGTAAAATAACCCTTCGGGGTAAGAAGGGCAGGGTATAAATATAGTAAATAAATAAATAAATAAATAAAATGATAAATGTAATAATAATAATAATAATAAATAGACTAAAATAATAAATGTAATAAAAATAATAATAGAGTACAATAACAAATAACCTTGACTCGAGTACAAGTCGAGGGAGACTTTTTCAGCATAAAAAGGGGGCTGACAAACGAGGCTTATACTCAAGTATATACAGTAATTCAAAAGTTATACACTCTATTATAACATGTTGCAAACTTTCAGCATGATACCAAAAAGTTGCCAGAAATTTAACCAGTTCCACTATTTTTTTCCATGTCAGGAGCTAGTTGAGAAACTGCAAGCCTCTTTTGGTGTGAGAGAATTGGCTGTCTGCAAGGACGCTGCCCAGGGGACGACCGAATGTTTGGATGTTTTACCATCCTTGTGGGAGGCTTCTCTCATGTCCCTCGTGGGGAGCTGGAACTGACAGAGAGCCTAAACCGCTCTCCCCGGATTTGAGTCCTGCCAGCACAAGAGTTTATTAAGAGCACAGATATGAAGATCTCCATAAGAACTCAGATTAGTTAAGAGCTGAACAAACAGGATGGTCTGCAGGTTGTTCCATTGCAAGATAAACGAAAGTATTGCAGACAAGGGTCTAGAAAGAAGTAATCCAAGGGTATATGACTTGGGAAGAAATCCCAGATACAACCCAGCTAAGGATGAGCCAAAACTGGAACACAGGCTACCACTATCTCTACTTGCCTTTAGAGGTGGAGACTGGACTTTTCCAGAGGGATATTGATCGGTCTGAGCAGCAAATGCATGACTATGTAGTGATTCACCACAATAGGATTCTGGGTGAGGACTTGTCTGCATGCAGTTACTGCATCCACTGTCAACTGACTCTGCTTGCCAGCTCCTGCAGACGAAGTGTTTACTATTAGTTTTTAAACTATTAATATTTTAGACCAGGACTTCTTAAACTTTTGGCCCAATAAATTTTTACAAAACCCTAGGTACATATGTATATACAGTAAGTATAAAAAAAATCCAGGATTTACTGATAACAAATCAGCATATGCAAGTTTTGGTAAACAGGATGATTCTTCTTTTTATGAAGTATAGCTGAAGCATCTTCTGCAGATTCCACTGTAAACACAGATTTGTGTAAATGTCTAAAACAGCCACTAGGTGACATTCGGAATACTTTTCCTGTTGCCAAATTCTTCAGGATCCCAACACTTAGCTAAGGGGCCCCATTTAGTATTGGATCCACGCTTTAAGAAGACCTGTTTTAAACAACAGAATAATTGGAGTTTTCTGGGCAGTATAAAATAATACCCAAAAGGGTAAACAATGATCATAAGGACATTTTACAAAACTTGCAGCAAGGAGTAAACATTAAATTTTATTATTTACAGCATTTATATACCGCTTTTCTCACCCCTAGGGGGACTCAAAGCAGTTACTAGGGGGACTCAAATCGGTATATCCAGAAAATTATTTAAACACCAGACAATAGTCCATTAAAGCAGTTCGATTATTTAAATATATTAGAGAAAAAGATCTTCCCTTGGAGTAAAAGAGACTCTAATGAAGATGCCAGGTGAGGTTTTGTATGGAGGGCATTCCACAAAAGAGGTTGTAACCAAAGAGAAGTCTCTCTCTTTCTCTGGTAGCCTCTCATCTTGCTTTATTTGGTAAAAGTAATGAGATGAAGGACCTCAGGGTCCAGGTTGGTACATATGAATGGATAGTCAAAACAAATCATGAGACAAAGCTCCACAGACACTTGCTTTGTTTGTTTTTAAAAGCCCAGTGTGTTTCAGCCACTAACAAAGTTGGCCTTTCTCAGAAACTCCACTTTAAACAAAGTTGTATAATGCATTCTCCAAAGGAACGGACCATTAGGAAAAGAGAAGTGGATTATGAAATACAGAAGAAAAGTAAATAAGCATTACACAGCTCTCTATTTATCTGAATAAGTAAACAAGGCAAATGCCTTAACACATTAAGACCTGTTTATTGTCTTAAAATCTATATGCCTAGTTTTACTCCTTCTAAAAATGTACCTTTCTGACACAGCTTCTAGCTGATCTTCCTTTTGTTCCATCTCCAGAATTTCCTCCTCTGTGTACTCCAATTTCACTCTCTCCTCTGCCAGCTCTCTCTCCACAGCCTCCAGCTGGGCTGTGGTCCTCGCTAAAAGGGCAGACACAGCATCCTAAAATGGGAAGAAAAGCTCAAATCAAGAGCTGCTCAGCTATTTGAAAAGGTTAACTGAAGTTAACTTTTCAAAAGAACGACAGTAACAGTGATTTTTTTAAATAAATGCTCACAATATTTAGAATGGTGCAGGAGAGAATATATGTTCTCCATTTTTAATTTCTGTGAACCAATACATAACTTTTTTTTCTTCCATTCTTCCATTGAAACTCATTTTAACCTTCTCCCAATAATTTAACTGACTGTACTGGCTCGGTTTACTGGGGCTCACAATCCAAGTGACTTCGTCATTATAATAAATGAAACTTTTATTAATGTGCCTTCATAACGGCACCTGTGCAAATAACACACATACATACAGTTTCCTCCAACTTATTCACAAGGCTACCTACAAATCAGTTAAGAGCGCTATAGTTTCGCTAAGCATTTACCCACCCCCTCCCTTAAGTACTTGACCTATGTATGCATTCCAGTAAACATATGTGAGAAATATGTTTTGAAAGTTCATATATATGATCTTACCATTTTCACTGTACTTTTGTTTTCAAAAATCTGAGAAATGCTTTCTTCAGATTTCAGTTTCTCTTTTTTCTGATCATGATCTGAACCAGTGAAGAGCTGGACAGGGTACCAATGAAGTTGCAGCTCACCACAACTTTCATAATCAGCTAGGCTAATTTGAGCAATTCCCTGCAAAGATATTAAGGGAAAATATGCAAATATAGCACCACTACAAAAGCAAAACTTGGAACAAACATTTAAATCTAGCAATAATCTGAAGCAACATGTGTGACTATAATGCAGTTGTTCCTTATACATTTGCATTGTTGACTTTTGTGGATTTGATTATTCAAGAATTTGACTTAAAATGGTCTATCTAGGAACCTCTAGAACCTCAAGTGTGACTATGGTCAATTTCTTCCAGTAACACTGGATGATAGAGATATGCTTAGAACACCTTTTAGAAATCTCTAGGACCTCCAATGCAATTCTACAGTAAGAGGAAGTTAAACATTTAGTCATGCTGGAAGATCTGGGCATTCCTAGAGAGGGGTTATGTTCGGTATAAAAACAGCAATTTTTTTGTGGACTTTCATTTTCACAGGGCTCCTGTGTCCTGACCCTAGTGAATGTGGAGTGCTAACCGTATTGTGATTATTGCTGCAAGTATCGTTTTTCATTCTAGTACAGGTTTTGTGTGGAATTTTTTAATAATATTTTGTTGTAGCAAGATTATCAGTGTAATCCCAAAAGAGGAATGCATCACATTTTGTATTTCCTCAGAACTATTTTTTTCTGATTGGATTTTATTTCCTCTGCTTTTTGAATAAAGGCCTAAGTATGTGTTGTTTTTTTTACTTGTCTGACAAGTTGCAAAAGATTTTCAAATGGGAAAACAATACATTTATTTTATCCCTTAGGATATTTCCTCACTGAAAAGATAATGGAGATAAATCTTTGCAGTGTTCCAAAACTTGCTGTGGAATTGGGGTGGATGGTTGAGTTATTCTTTCTGATACCATCAATTCTGGCATGAAGAACTCCAAATAACATTTTTTTAAAACGGCTGTTAAAGGTTTGTGCTTTACTGAAAGTTTAAGCATCTATGCAATTTATAATTGTTCAGTAGATATCTTCCAACTAGATATTTTCGAATTTAACTAGATTTAAAAAAAATTATTGAAAAATGCTAAAAAAATATTTGATATTTTAGTTATCTTTCAGCAGAGAAACTCAGTGATTTGAGTTCTAAAATGTGTGCACATTTTACCACAATGCTATAGAATAAATGTTTCTTGTTACTGTGTGCCTTCAAGTAGTTTCTGACCTTTGGAAACCCTAAGGGAGTGATATCATAAGGTGATTCTTGACAAGATTTGATAAGAAAGGATTTGCCTTTTTCTGAGGCTGAGAAAGTGCGACGTGCCTAAGATTTTCATGGCAAAGTCCTGAGTCATAGTCCAATACTCAAACCACTCATGTTGGCTAAAATACATGTAAAATATTTCCTGTCATGTAGTTCAGGAAATAATATTCCCTGAAAAAAGGCAGAGGCAGCATAAGAGACATGGACTTCTAAATCCTAAAATTATACTGACAGTGGAATTAAATTTCACTTCCTTTCTACATATGACAAAACAAGAAACCATATCATTCATTTTCAATATCACAATTTCACAAAATAACATCCCTTACCAACAATTCTTCTTGTTGCTGCTGGCCAATTGAACAGATATAAAGCTGCAAGGATTTTAATTTCAAGATATTTGAATGAACAGGGATCTGGAAGACTTCGTTAAATATTAAAGGAGTTTTGAATTCCAAAGCTCTGGAGCAGTAGGTGGTTGATGTACTTGAATCAAGAGATGGTAAGTATATCCTCACATGTCTGGAAAAAAAATTAAAAACAACCCAAAAAACATCAAGATGACCTTTATTTTTAAAAGGATCAAATCTATCATTTTTGTTGGTGCATCCCAAAATACCCATTACACAATTGCTATGTCAAAAAGGAATGTGACTCTTTATATAGATGTTGGTTATGTGAATGTTAATGATTTCAGACAAACAAATGTTGAAATACAAATATATCTATATTTCCACTTTTTAGGCATACACAAATTCCTATTAGCAAGTATAATGGATATCAACATGCACCAGTCTTTTTCCTGCATTTGCTTCAAATTGTCAATGTTCGAGTCCTCCCGGGGAGAGAGGGTGGGATAGAAATAAATCATTATTGTTATTGTTGTTGTTGTTTCATCTATTCATTAATATACATAACTAAAAATCTTCTGTATTTTGTGCAATTGTTTGCTTTACTGGGTTTTCGTGGTTTAGACTTTTGCCTTTTTTCATTCAGTGGAGACTCACACTAAATCAAGAAGAGTGGAACATGGTGTAAATGCCTCAACATCACACACACTTTTAAGACCTTTTTATTAATATAACTTTTTTCTAATGTTTTATGAAAACCGACAGACCTATCTCCATGAAAAGCTGTATGAAAAGCTGTAAATCAAACCAAGACAGATGTGTCTGCTTTTGTCATCTGAAGAAAAGACAAGCTATTATGGGAAGGATGCAGGTATTTCAACTTACATTTTACAGCCCTCTTTCATAGGAAAACCAGAAAAATTCTTTAGCTGCAACACATGGACCAGGAGACATTCACTTCCACTGTCATGCCTGAAAAAGTAATAGTCAAATGAACTGTCAACATAAACTAGGGGACATAATCTGCACTAATGAAGCACAAGTAGAAACATACTAGTTCAGTGGTTCTCAACCTGTGGATCCCCAGATGTTTTGGCCTTCAACTCCCAGAAATCCTAAAAGCTGGTAAACTGGCTGGGATTTCTGGGAGTTGTAGGCCAAAACACCTGGGGACCCACAGGTTGAGAACCACTGTACTAGTTGATTTTTTAAAATATTAAAAAACATTATTTGATTTTTTAAAATATTTAAAAACATTTAGAGCCCCCAAAAGAGTTTTAAGGTGGACAGATGCAAGATAATGACAATTTTACTTATTTTACAGCTACTTTAAATTTTTGGCAGAGTGGGTAAAGGTGGTGGTTAATGCCTCCCTTCGGGAAGGCAACATTCCAGCCAGCTTAAAACAAGCTGTCATCAAACCGCTGTTGAAAAAACCATCACTAGACCCCACTCAATTTGTCAACTTTCGGCCAGTTTCCAATCTCCCCTACTTGGGCAAAGTCCTGGAATGTGTGGTGACCTCACAGCTCCAGGAATTCCTGGTGGACACGGACTATCTAGATCCGTCACAGTCTGGCTTTAGGCCAGGACATGGTACTGAGACAGCCTTGGTCGCCTTAGTTGATGATCTGCGCCGGGAACTGGACAGGGGAAGTGTGTCCCTGCTGGTTCTGCTGGACCTCTCTTCGGCCTTCGATACCGTCGACCACGGTATCCTTCTGGGACGCCTCGCGGGAATGGGTCTTGGGGGTACTGCATTGCAGTGGCTCCAGTCGTTCCTCGAGGGTCGATCTCAGAAGGTGTCTTCAGGGGGCACCTGCTCGACTCCGCGGCCATTGTACTATGGAGTCCCGCAGGGTTCAGTTTTGTCCCCTATGCTGTTTAACATATACATGAAGCCATTGGGAGAGATCATCCGGAGTTTTGGGGTGCGATGTCATCTGTACGCAGATGATGTCCAACTCTATCACTCTTTTCCACCTGCCACTAAGGAGGCTGTTCAGGTCATGAACCGGTGCTTGGCCGCTGTCACGGACTGGATGAGGGACAACAGATTGAAACTAAATCCAGACAAGACAGAGGTACTCCTGGTCAGTCGTAAGACCGAACAGGGTACGGGGTTACAGCCTGTGCTGGACGGGGTCACACTTTTTTTTTTTTTTTTTTTTCCTTTTTTTTTTTATTTTCCCTTTTTGTTTCTTTTTTCTCTTCTCCCTTTTTTTTTTTTTTTTTTTATAGTGTGTTTTCCTTTTTTCCTTTCCTTCTTTTTTCTTTCTTTTTTCTTTTTTTTTTTTCCTTTTTTTTTCTTTTTTATTTTTTTTTTCCTTTTGGGGTCACCCTCCCTCTAAAAACACAGGTACGCAGTCTGGGAGTTCTCCTGGATTCATCGCTGAGTCTGGAACCCCAGGTTTCAGCGGTGGTCAGGGGAGCATTCGCACAATTAAAACTTGTGCGCCAGCTGCGTCCGTACCTTGGGAAGGCTGACTTGGCCACGGTAGTACACGCTTTGGTTACATCCCGCTTAGATTACTGCAACGCTCTCTACGTGGGGTTGCCTCTGAAGACTGCCCGGAAGCTGCAGCAAGTACAACGCGCGGCAGCCAGATTACTAACGGGGGCTGGGTACAGGGAGCACACCACTCCGCTGTTACTCGAACTCCACTGGCTGCCGATTAGCTTCCGAGCACAATTCAAAGTGCTGGTGTTAACCTATAAAGCCCTAAACGACTCCGGCCCTGTTTACCTCTCCGAACGTATTCTCCCCTACGAACCATCAAGACCACTAAGATCGTCTGGAGGGGCCCTGCTCTCGGTCCCACCGCCTGCACAAGCACGGCTGGTGGGGACGAGGGACAGGGCCTTCTCGATGGTGGCCCCTCAACTTTGGAACTCCCTGCCATTAGAGATCAGATCTGCCCCCTCCCTCATGACGTTCAGAAAACTAACAAAGACCTGGTTGTGGAACGCGGCATTTGACAACTGATTTAATTCTTTGCCCACATGAAAGGAGGATGATGAATGGGATTGTGATGGTGTCGGAAGATTTGGCTCTTTTAACTGTGATGATAATGTTTTAATGCGTATAGTGCTGATATTTTAATTGTGTTATGAAGTGGCATTGTGTTGTTATTGTATATTCTTTGTATGTTTAACACATGTTGTGAACCGGTCCGAATCCCTCTTTGAAGATGAGAGGGTCGGTATATAAAACCTCTAAATAAATAAATAAAATAGCTAATAAATAAAATTGTAAGATCTCATACTGTTAGAGTTTGGTTATCACAGCTACATAATCTCAAAAATAAAAAAACTGTATTTAAAAATAGCAGTTTTGATTCCCAAGGAAAGAGGTAGACTGAGGTTGGATCTACACTGCCATATAATTCAGTTTCAGAATGCAGATTAACTGCACTGAATAGACTCGTATAAACCTGCATTCTCAAACTGCAATATATGGCAGACTAGATCCAGCAGCCTGAGAAGGGATGACTTAGCCTCCCCAGGAAGTAAATTATCATTCTGAGACAATGTCTTTCTGATATTCCCTCAGATTCTGGATCAATGAATCTGGTCTCTTAAAAAAGCACTAACAAAATGCTCTCATTTTATTTATTTATTTATTTCAAATATTTATATCCCGTCCTTCTCAACCCCGCCCCCCCAGCCCCCGGGGGGGATGGGACTCAGGGCAGCTTACAGGGACCATTAGATGCCAAGAACAAAACAAAACAAAATCAATATCACATATTATACATTAAATTATAAAATAATCCATTAAAACATTATAAACACAACCAAGTTCAAATCCAACTCAGCGTCCATAGCCCCAGTCCAAGGCCTGTACATTGTTAATTCTAATGAGTCATTACATTATTGCTGCTAGGCCTGCTGTTCAAATGCTTCGTCCCACAGCCATGATTTGAGCTTTTTTCTAAATGAGAGAGGGATAACCTAATTTCACTGAGGAGTGTGTTCCACAGACGGGTGGCCACCACCAAGAAGGCCCTTATCCCTGCCAATCGTGCTTGCGAGGGTGGTGGGATCGAGAGCCACCCTCGCAAGCACGAAGGTGATAGATTGCTTATGTTTCCTACCTACAATTAATAATTGTGGATAACTTATATAGAACATGTTAATATAGTTCACCACAAGGAGTCTTTAATTTTCTCTCTATCATTAGAGACCATAAGAGCAAATTGAAGTCAAGCAGTTCTTCAGTATTTCCAATAAGTCAAAGTTGCTTAACATCTGGGGACTGTGGAGATAGTAGCAGAGCAATGAATGCTGATGGAGGAAGAAAATACTCACAGGAATCCAACTTGCATTTTTGGTTCTTCGCAGCTGACAGTATCACTATAAAGTGATTCTTCCACATCCTCATTCCTATAAAGATAGTAAGTAAAGCAAATAATAAAACCTCTCAGAACTAGAATGTTTTGCTGTAATAAAAACTATAGATGTTAAATTTTGCGTAAAAGTTAAATCTGAATTTCAAGAAGCTATTGAACTCTATAACGTTCCAGTCAATACACAATCCAACCATTTATTATAATCATGTGCTAGCACATAGTCCTAGAGTGTCATACATTAAATCATAAGATGTTGCTATTCACCATAAATCTGTTCCAAGTGTTCACACCTGAACAATTTCTACCAAGTTTCTAAATGTCTGTTAATTTTGAATCCGACAAGGAGAGCTTCACTTTGCTGACAGAACAGTTTAATCCTTTCAAGTATTTATCCTTGAAAATAGTAATGCTATCAAATATGTCTCTGACACTTTGAAGAATGGCTGTTACTCAATGTGGATCCATCACCAGTCAATATAGACAAGACTGATATAGGACAAATAATGATTTGATTTGATATAAAGCAGTTTCCTGGGTTTCTAACGTGGATCATGCCTATTCTTGATATACTGTAGCTGCCAGATATTGAGACTGTTAATAGCTTAATGGTGGTACACTGCATCAATCTGAGTGGCCAGTAACACATTTCCCCTTGATAATTGAATCTGCAGGTGTGAGATGGGATTGACTCCAAACATGTCTCTCTGCTCAATCAAAGCCTTTCCGGCTTACACAAAAGCTGTTTCCAGCCTACTTACCAAATGTTGTACATGAAATGTGAACTAAAATGTTCTCTGATTTATAAAACAGTTGCACAGGTATTTCCCAAATAAGGTATACTATTTTCTTTCTAGGGTCTATATCATTAACTGTTTGTTAAACCAGGTATGCAAAACTCTGTATGCAACATCCCAAAACACTGGAACACAAGCTGTACTCCGGTACAAAGTACTTGAAAATTCACTTGAAAGAGGTTTAAGTCCCAAATCTCCCAGTGGAAAATAAACCTTGCTTCAAAATAGAGGACACTCCTGCCAGGAGGCTGTTTGTCAAAGAAAAACTGCATGCACATGTAATTTTGTGATTTCTCTTTTCTATTGTGAGAAAGGCTCACAGTATCTGTTCTACAAAATTTTATACAAGACCTTGTGCAATAGACTGCCAGTTTTATGAGGATTTCATGGGCATCCCCAGAAAAGTGGGAAAAGCGTGAATAAAAAATTACTTTTTTAATGTGAAAAGTATCTCTCTATGAATCTCTTGGCCCTCCAACACAAGTCTATGGTCAACTTCCACAAAATCACACCGAAGGTCCTACAAATACAGACATAAATGTTCTTTTCTAAGGATCCCTAGGTCCTCTAAAACGACACAATGGCCAATTCCCAGTGTAAGTTTTCTAAGGAGACTATAATAATAAAAAACCATGAATACTCAAATCCGAAAGTTAAACCTATGCTCTTATTCTTATTTTATTTAAATCCCTCCTTTCTCCCAAGTGAACTCAAAATCCATAAATGTGAAATAGCACTAATCATTATTTTTGTTTTCTTTTAAGAATTCTAATTTAAAATAAATAAATAACCAAGTTAAAGAGTTATGTGAAATAGCATAGAAAAGTTAAAGGTGTTTGCAAGATATAAGCAGAGGGAAAAGGGTATAGGGGAAAATCCATGAACAGCAGCCAAAGTGATATAGAATCAGCTAATAATACCTTCTGGTAAAGCATGTATTAGTCATATTCTGTGGTAGATAGGAGTAAGACCTTTTACCACATATTTTTGAAGCTTTTAAAGTAATGATATCAAACACATTTCCAGTTTATAACACATTTTATACAACCTGACCTTTTGGTTAAAGCTTCAAACACGCCACTGTCACTAGCCAGTGAATAATTGGACAGACATGCTGAGACTCGCCTGGCTCTCCTCTCCGACCTTCTAGCACTGTCTTCACGTAGGGTCACAGCTATAACATGAGAGCATAAGAAAGGCATGATTACACTGAAGGCTTATGCATCTGTTCACAAGGGAGGCAAACACAGCATTTCATGGAAGCAGTCAATACAAGTGTAAGATAAAATGCATGATGGTATTTAAATCTTAAGATACTGTAATGCTATTTTCACAGAAAAAGTCATTGGTTGGCTTCAACCAACTCAATTAACATTTTAAAGCCCCAAAGACTTCATTTAAAGAGACAATTCCATTTTTATTTTTGCTTACACAGTGCAATAGTGCAACTTGAGTCTTTCAAGTCAAGTTACAAACAAACACAACAAGCACAGTTTACTACAAGCTGAAGAAAGAGCAAGAATAAATGTTGACGAATTTAACATGACACAAATCCAGTAGCTAGTCCCAACCAGAGTATATCATTGAATCAATTAGCCAATACCTTTAATGCAATGCGTCTATTCTAATTAGGACTATGTATAGAAGGCAATATACTACCAATTTAAATTGCCATGTTTTACTTATATTCACAATATGGCATTCAAATCATTGAATGAATTTTTATTTATTTTTAGTCAATGTGCTTCAGCAAGTAAAGCAAATTCATTCAATAAGACTAAAGCCAGTTTTAACTATACCACTTTGCTTCAAAGAACTAATCATGTATTAATTAGTGTTTTAGGTACCTGAATGGTGAAAAATTTATGTAACTGGAAATTCTGTGAACACAAATGATTATGCTGTAAAAACCTGCAATGTACTTTCATGCACATTAAAAAATATCAGGAGTGGATGAAATCTAGATTAAATTGGTTCAATTACTTTACCACTGAAATGAATGGGACTTAAATTAAGTTATCTGTTTATTTCGGATTGGAATATACTCTGATAAAACATTCAACATTTTTCATACAACAGTAGGAACATATAATCTACATGAGGCACTTCAATCTTCAATTAAGATTACTGAGATGTATTTCAAATGATCTATGGCAGAGCAATAGACTTGTACGGCTTGAATCTGTTGAGATGTTAAGATCCTGAGAAGAGCCCCCCGGACAATCTTCTCACCTGTAGAGAACCCCTTAAAAAGCCTATAGAAGAATTTGTCCTTTTGTGTTATTCCACACTGCGATTTATTTTATTATTTATTTATTTATTTGCAGGTTTTTTTCAGTTTGTTTTTAATTATATAGTTAGATGCCCTGAACATAATTTTGGGTGAATGGTGTGATACAAATGTACCAGTACAAAATAACAACAACAACAAAAATATGCACCAATAATTATTTGTAACAAGTTCATTCCACGGGGTCGATTTCAAGTAATTTTTCATATGACTGCAAAGGTTAATCAAATGAAGAAGCATATAATTCCCAAATTAATTACATATTGCAACATAATGAGGAGAGAAGAAAACACATGAGTGAAAAACCATCAGAGCAGAAATGGTTAATTGGCTCCATGCTACAGACCAGTGCATTGTGGAGATATTAAATATAATCTGGCACAATAACAACAACATGGAAGTGTTACAAAATTCAATCACATTACACACATTTCAGTTTATTATTGTGCTGTATATTTGCAAGGCATGTGAGCAGGGAAATGACAATCATTAAAGTAGATTCCAGCAGAGCATGCCTTTTAAAAAATATCAGCAAGCACAAAGGTTGAGGATTAAAAAACAAAGCAAAGGTTTACATGCAGCAAGCAAACCAAGACAGTCGGTAGAACATTTTTCCTAAAATAAAATGTTTTGCAAACCCACCTTCTACCCCATAAAATGTATTTCTTTACTGTGGATAAGTGATCAACAAATAAATAGAAAGACCTTATTAAGTGAGAGAGCAGTGAGTGATGTGTGGTATTTGTACAACTACGCCACAATCAGTTTTGCCATTTTGAACACCATGTTTGCTCTGAATTGTCATTACATTCTGAGAGACCACTAAGCAGAAAGAAAAATTACCATGAAGACAAATCATTTTGATTACACAAACTACAGAGGCAATTTCACTGACAAGTATGAGGGGCTATTGAGCTCGTATTTTCAGCTTCAAATGATTTAGTGACATTTTGAACCTTCCAATGTCTTTTTTATTAAAAATATATATGCTGCAACAAACTAATAAATCATTACCCACAGCTTAACAGACACATTTAGGACAGCAACAGAAGCATCAAACAGAACCTTAAGATAGTCAACACCAAATACTGAGCAGACAGTATTCAGTTAACACCAGTGGTATAGTGAAGGAAGAAAGTGGGAAGAGCAGAGCGCTGGTATTTTTTTATAGCTAATACTAATAAACTTGATACTACACTAGTTAGTCCTGATATAAAAAATATCAGCCTCTACCAACACAGCTGCCTATAGATTTGGACTGTTCTTGAACATGTAGTTGTAATGGCTGTCATAATACGCTCCCCCATTTCAGAATTTACCGCTACACCACTGGTTAAAATTACAGCAACAAGAAAGAGTGATAACAGAGATCTGAATGAAACCAATGAAGCACACATTCAGTCCTTTCAACATGCATGCAGTAACAGAACAAACAAAAAACTACACACACATAGGGCTTACAAGCAGGAAGGAAAAACCCACAAGAAATTCTAGGTTCACTTACAGCCATTTTTTCTGTTGTGCCACGTAAGAGATAAAATACAAGAATATTTTAAGTAAACAATGAGATCAATGGTCAAATTTCTATTTTTTGTTAAAAAGTAACAAATCTTTAAGAATAACCTGAAAGCTCTGAAGTTGAAGAAAATATATGTGGTGTTGGGTGGAAAGTTTAGATCCAATAATCTGCAATGTTTATTCCCGGCCCAACATCCCACAGAAATAAACAGCTCTCTAGAAAAGGAAAAATCAAGTGTTTTAGACTCGGTGACTTAATTAGGCACTATGTTCATATAGAAATATGTTCTGGGTACCCAAAGTGGGCTTATATCTCAACAAACATATATACACTTGCAGGCTTAAGTAAAATAATTTATTCACATTTGCGGGGTTGACTTTTGCAGATTTGATTAATCCATTGTCTCTAGGAAGTTGATCATATAGTCGCACTAGAAGAGCTAGGGATTCCCAGAGTGGGGTATTCTCAAGTAAAACATGTGTGGGTTATTTTATTTGCAGTCTTCCACTTTTGTGGGGATCCTGTATTGCTAGCCCCACCGTATCTTACTTTCTTGGAAATGCACTCAATGCATAATCTTCCAAGCTTACAGTATTTCTACACAAGTATACTGATTAGAAAATGGACCTCGTGCTTATTCTTTCATTTTAAATGTGAAGAAGGAGAAAGATGGGCACCTTGTGTGGCTGTTCAAAAACCTTTTTACAATTTTCTGATGGTCCCCTTAAAAAAAAAAGGAAACATTGCTTCTTATGTTTCTGTGGCATCAAGTTATCTGCTAAACTATATTACCGTACATACAAAAAACTGGAAAAACTTATTGACTCCATTATAAAAAGGGGGTGGGAAATGCTACTGGTAAATTTCAAAAACAAAAACAAAAATAGATACCAATAAAATTACATTAATTGAGGCATCAGTAAGTTAAATGTTTTTGAATATTCACATAAAACTGTTATTTAAGATAAGATTGTCCAACTCTGATTAAATAATTATTATAACCTTCTTCAATGTAAATGTGCTTACGTATCCCTCCAATAATAATAGAGTAAAATAATAAGTGTTAACAAAATAATAGTAAAGTAAAATAATAAAGGTAGTAATAATAGAGTAGAAAAATAACTGTAATAATAGAAGAGTAAAATAATAAATGTAATAATAACAATAATACATAGAGTAAAATATAAATGTAATAACATCAACAACAATAATCCAATAATCATCACAGTTTATTTTAACTACAGTATACATTTTGGGGAAAATGCGGTATGTATATGAATAAAGAAAAGTGGGAAAGATTGGCTTGTGAAGGGGATGAGAAATGACTGGAAACTGGAAAAAGTTGGAATGGAAAGGTGTGGTTGAAAAAGTGGGAAAATAAGGTGGAAAAGGACGGATTGGGGTAGGAAGGGGGCAACTGGGGAAGGGGAAACAACTGAAGTGTGAAGGAGGGCTGGAAACTGGGAAAGGTTGGGCTGGAAAAGTAAGAAAGACTCCGGTCTAGAGGGTGTGTGTGTGGGGGAAGGGGGGTAGAATAAAACCACTAATAATACAAGGGAGATGGAGGGAAAGGTGCAAAAATTGCTGATTTCCCAATATACTAGGTAAAGGTACATATGAAAAACTGTCAATGGTAGCAGTAATCCACTTACACACAACAGATTAAGAAACAAATCTATCACAAGTGCTAGAACATACAGTACAACCTCCACAGGTGATACAATCCCAGACTTCACAGACTATGCAAAACTGAGGTTGACGGAAAACTCAATTGAAATTAAAGACTTCTAATGCATGAAAATTATAGAATCATGCCTGATGACATAGAAAATGCCTAGAGCAGGTATATTTGTGGATAAATGAAACAGTTTTGTATTGGTCCCATGGAAAGAGGGGTCATATTATGTAGAGAAGAACTTCAGGAAGAATACAAAAATTAGAAATCAAGACTTGCAAATAAAAAAATAACTAGCATAAGAAGAAAACACTGAGGTATTTTGAATGATTAAAGTAATGTCAGAACGAAGATGTTGAAAAACTCACCCCAAAGTTTGAAAAAGTTACATTTTCATTGTTATGATACCTAAAATAATGGCAGTGAATTTGTACTATTGATTTCAATGCCACTTAAGCATAATTAATTTTACTTCCATTAAGCAATGGACAGAATAAACGATACAGTGTTAATAAGGTTATTTTCCTCCCAAAATGAGTTGAAAAGCTTTTAGCTCTAACATGATACTGTTTATATTGTGAGAAGTAAACAATGACGTAACCTATAAAATCCAAACATGAAATGTAACTATTTTAACTGATGTCTCCCTCTACAGTTCTTTCAATCCTGAAAAACTGCACATGTTGTAAACATTTTAGAGATTTTGTTGTTTTGAAAATTCAACAAGACAAAATATTTAGGTAAATTTAACTTGCCTCCTGAAGTTGGAATATTTGTTAGCTGGACCCCTGCTTCCCGTGGTCCTTCTCTGCCTGTAGAATATTCCAGAGCTTTCGATGAAACAGTTTCCTGTGCTTTATCTTCACCCAAAGTAGAGACCTGAGCCCGGAGAACTTCTAAGGCACCAGTGCCCATTATTTCTTCATATCCTTCTGACCTCTGGGCCAGAGGAGAATCCCTAGAAGCAGGTAGGTAGGGAGTGTCCAGGGGTGAACTCGGAGGAGATAATGAGGACAAAGAAGATCGTGACGACAGAGATGCCAAGGACAGTGGTGTATCCAAAGATCTTCTTTGTTTACTGCTACCTGAAGGTCCAACAGATTCAAGATAATGAAGATCTTTGCTATAGGTGTCAACTGGCACTGGATCATAGCGCAAATGTTGCCCATATTCTGTCACACTGTCTGGTTTTTCATATTGAGGAAGACCATAGATGTCTGTAAAACTAACAGAACTAAGAGAACCCCTACTGGATGCCAACGAGCCGCGGCTGGATGCCAGTGATCCCCGACTGCTGCCAGAGGATATTGTCAAGGTACTGGCAGACAAGCTAGAAGACAAAGATGTACATATATTAAAAACCACAGTAAATTAACCTTTGCTGCAATGGGAAGGTTTTATACCTTTTTTTTAAAAAAAAAACAAAAACAAAAAAACCCATTTCATTTATCTTTCAAAATACCATAAAAGGGCATGCCAGAAAAAATGGGTTAGAAAGATGAGAGAATAAATGTTTCTTTTTAAATGCATGCTGAGAACTGAACTGAGATTACACAAAATAAAATGGTTCAAACATGGAAACCAACATGTTCCCTTTTCTGTTCAAATTCTCCCACATTTCTGCTGTCATGACAAACCAAGTATCTTGACTGGTAGCCTACGTTTTATGCTTGCATACTAAAACAGAATTGCAAATCACTGTCAAACTTTGCAATGCTAGGTTGAAGAACAAGAACAAATCATGCGTTCGAAACTTTGATATGATGGGCAAATTTGCCCAAACGAAGTGAAACAGAATTTTTAAAATTATGATTTTGAGCATATTAGTCTGAAACCTATTTGATAATACAGGTCAATAACCCACCCATACTACTACTAATAATAATAACAACAGAAACTTTATTTTTGTACTCTGTCTCCATCTCCCCAAAGGGTCTCAGGGCAGCTTACATATGGCACAATGTGCCTAGAACAACACATAAAATAAACACACAATACAATAAAAGATAAAACCACTAGAACATAAAACAATAATTTAAACTCAAAACAGCACCCAATAACCTATGGTGAGAACTGTTGTAAAAAATGGGCAATCACACCCAGGAACAAGGGAAGAGGGTAGTGCAAGCTGTAGCACATGAACTAGGGCATGGGACGAAAGTACAGTGCTCTGTCATTTATTGTGGATCATTGGGGTTAGACATTCTCCAAGGCTTGTCCAAACATCCAAGTCTTCAATTCCTTCCGGAAGGAGGACAGTATGGGAGCCTGCTTAATCTCCCTAGGGAAGGCGTTCAAAAGCTGGGCGGCCACCACTGACAAGGCCCTCTCCCTCGTCCCCAATAACCGCACTTGTGATGGTGGCAGGACCACGAGGAGGGCCTCCATGGCAGATTTTAATGCTCATGCAGGAGCACAGGGGGGATGCGGACACAAAGATAGACATGACCCGAACGGTTTAGGGCTTTGTTGGTGATGACCTGCACTTTGATTCGGGACTGGAAATTTATCAGCAAGCAGTGGAGCTGTTTCCGCTGTTGTCCGCTCCCTGGAATTAGCTCCAGTTAGCAATCTGGCTGACAAGCTTTGTACCAATTGCAGTTTCCAGGCTGTCTTCAAAGGCAGCCCCATGTAGAGTGCATTGCAGTAATCCAACCTGGAAGTAACTAAGGTGTGGACCACTGTGGCCAAGTCAGGCTTCTCAAGCTACAGTCGCAGCTGTCAGATATTTTATTTTCAAAAGCAGTGACATTTTCTACTTCTCTGCTTTCTGTTCCTCTCAATTCAGAGGCTGTCCTCTCAGAGATCTTTCAGTTAGAAACTTAATACTTCAGGGTATTATTTATTCTTCCAAGATTCACTTTCTTTGGCCATCAACTAAGTAAAGGCTGACCTAAGACTGCCTACAATTCATGACACTTCATATTAACTGTTTGTAACAAATACTGTTACTTCCAATGCATGGACAGATGAAATACATTATAAATATTGGTTTTCTGTTGTTTCTACATGTTTTTGAAAGTACAGTTTTAAACTACTGGATCTCCCAGATGTAACTGTAAAAAGCCAAGGAATAAATGAACACATGTTCTATCTCAGAGCAATCTTATTCCACAATTCACTGCATAGAAGACGTTATGAGTAGCCAGAAATGTTCCTCTACTGAGGACAAGACATGTGAAGGGAAAATAGTCATGTTTCCCTGCACCTCTCCGGATGCACAAGGACATCTCCAGGGGAAGACATCTACCACTAGAAGAAATACCCAGAATAGGACATTAAGTGTGTAAGGGAAAGCTCTGCTGGATTCGAGGTTTTCTCCTTTCTCAAAAAATCTCAAGGACTGAGCCTTTCAAATGCATCTACCGAGAGTACATGTAAGTGACCTCTCTCCCACAAAAATGTGAGGGGAAAAATTAGAACTCTGGAGGAAAGAAATAAAGCAAGATTCTCCCTTCCTCCAACTCATTAATGTCAGCTGTGACAGACTTTAGAAATGGGGTTAATCCACCATTTGTCTTTTTTTTCTAGGATTTCTCCATTCAAAACAATTGGCCATAAATACACAGTTCAGTTTCTTTTATGTACTAACCTTTTCAACTGGGAGTATAAATAAGATGTTAAACGAGTTGCTTCTTCCAACTGCATGAATAAACAATTCTTTTTCTCTTGTAACAATAGCCTGGGAGAATAAAATCAACTTTTACTTTACAGAAACAAACACTATAGAAAATAACCCTGAGGCCAGAGTAAAAACTCTTTGTGGCGATCCGTGGCCTCAGGAGAACTTTGCAAGCCACAGGATATTTTACCCATAATTTCGCTACTTTACATTGTCTAGCTCAGTTTACCGTTTATTATCCCAATCCTCAAGAATCTCACAGTACAATCAATGAAATTCTCAAACCTTTCAGCAGCACCATGAGAAGAAGTGGCTCGTGCCTGCTGGATCTCATTCTCCAAGCGCCGTTTATCTTCCTCTAAACGTTCAATGTCTTCTGGTAGTTTCTGTTGTTGACTTATCAACTGCAGATCCTGCAAGAGGGCTTCTTTCTCCTTGATGAGCTGAAGACGGTCCCTGTCTGCCTCCACCATTCCTGGCCAAGATTCATGATCCTGTAGAGCCAGCTGCTGCTGAATACTAAAAACCCTTAATTGCAAAGAGTCACAAAGAAAGAAAGAAGTAACCAAAGATGAAAACTGAAATGAAAATTTCTTTAACAATATAAATATTTAGCAATGATAGTCCTTGAGAGAACAAGACAGACTCAGAGTTCATACTAGCAGATATCACTTAACAAAAATGTGAATAAACAAAAAATGATCCCTATATTGTCATGAGGACAGTTACGAGGAGGAGGAATAGATAAGTCCCTTTGGGGAGATAGGGTGGTCTACAAATAAAGATGATGATGGTGATTATTATTATTATTATTATTATTATTATTATTATTATTATTATTCTGACTAATATCTGTCATCCATATCCGGGCCTAGTTTGCCCCACTAGCTCAGTTGACATCTTGACCAATGATCAACTTATATGCCACCAAGGAACTCTGTTGGCCCTGGGAAATGGGTGCTTCTGAATGGTGTTTTGTTTTATGTTTAGTATGATAGCTTGCATTTAAATTAATTTTTAGTTGTTGAGTTACAATTTGCTTTTATATGTTGAGTTGTCAATTTTCGTTATTACGTGTGTATTTATTGCTGAGTTTAGGCATTGAATATTTGCCGTTTTGTGACTGGAATCTGCTCTGAGTCCCTTCAGGGAGATAGGGTGGAATATAAATAAGATTTTTTAATTAGTATTTATTATGAATAGACACAAAAATATTCATAATAAGCAAATTACTAAATATGTATTGGGGTCTAGCCACTGAATTAAAATGGAGCCTGTGGCTATTCACTCTCCATAAATAAATATCCTTGTATGCTAAAGTGTTTTCACAATTTTCAAATGCAGTCTTACATAGAATATGTTGTTGCAATGCATCTAGGATAATATTGACTATATCAAACAAATTATGGCAGTAAGATTACAATTACTATGACATGGTAACAGTTATTTATTATTATTTATTTATTTAAAACACTTATATTCTGCCCTTCTCACCCCAAAGGGGACTCAGAGCGGAGCACAACATATACATGGCAAACATTCAATGCCTGGGTACAATACATAAACATTAAAAAGTTAGGTTAGCAGATAAAAGTTCTGTCCATTCCTCCACTCCTCTCCCTCCATCTCTTTTTCTCCATTTTTTACTACTTTAGATATATCAAAGTTTTATTCTAAATAATAAGGGTCTAATACAGGAACACTCCCAGAATAAACACTGTACTGTACAAAATGTGCTCTCTTGGACATAATAAATAATGATTGGTCCCAATCAGAAAACCGAGAAACTATGTTTCATTTCTAGTTGACCAATCTATGAGACATGGGCTGCTTATGTAACAAGCCCTTTATCTTTTAATATTGGCAGGTTTGTGAAAATACTTCTTGACTGTAAAACCCCTAAAATATTCCATATATCCATGTATCTACATGTTGAACAGAGAAAACAAGAAAATATGTGTGATATTTCTGTAGCTTTGAAAATATTCCTTAGGAGTTCCACTAAAATGTGTGAACTTCTATTAGCATCACGTGGGGAGAAAAGAAAACTATTGTGATCCAAACAATTGGCTTATATTCCCAGCTACATTCCCATATAGAAAATGGACGATATTTGGATTTACATCCAAATTAAGAATGTGAAATCTGGTCTAAAATAGATCATCTCTGTTAAGCACATTAGAGCTTTCTTAAAATTAATAGTGGTGGTAGCAATAAATAAGCATTCACCATCTTTCTACCACCTGCCATGCAGATAAGAACAACACAGAATTACAATGGGAGCAAGCACTGCCGAAATGGTCCACAATTTAACATAGACATTAAAACTGATCCGTATTATTTTAAGACAATGAATCTCCTAATTCAAATGCTTTGCTGTTGTTCACAGTCAAGTGCTACAGCAAATATGCATGAATTCTTAACAAGGTCTCTAAAGTAGGCATAGTCAAGTTTACATTTGTTAAAAGATCTGTTAATATTCAATGGTTATATATATACTTTGATAGATGTCTTCCATACTGGCGAAACAAATAATTCGTGATCAAACCTTTCAATATATCACTTTGATTTTGTCAAGTGTCGGTTTAAACCAAACACAGCACATTCCTACACCACCCACATCGATCAACTGCAGTAGATGCTTCATGAGCATGCTGAAGCTGAACACAGAAATATTTTTGTGGAGACAAAAGCCCTACAGAAACGCCAGCAAGCTATAAAGGAATGGAATGCATGATAAATGAAGAATGCTACCACAGAGATAGCTAGAAGAAGCAAATGTGTTTTACATTTTTAGATTTTTCAAACATTACTATTGATATACATTTAATACACAATTAACAGTTTTTCAAAGCAAAAGAGAATAATGAAATCACATTTAAAATAATCTACATATTTCAGCATGAAAACAATACATTTATAAATCATAGATAACAGTAGTATATGAAGGAATGATCTAGCCTAATGTTTATGCTATGTTAATGTCTAATGTTTGGCACTCATTTAAATGTACTAAAAACCAAAGTTGCTTGATATAGATTATTACAGCATTCTCCAAACTGTTGCCTTTCACATTTGTTAGTCTACACCTTTCACCAAGCAAACAATTGGATTGACCACTAAAGTCCAACACATCTAAAGGGCACCATGTTGGAGGCTTATTGCATATTACAAAGCAAGGTATCCATGGCATAAACTGATTAAAACTGTGCCATATAACGACTGGTTCAAGCACAAAATGGTTATGAGGGTCAACATTAGACTTCAGTGCACCTACCTTTTTTTGGCTTCTTCATACTGCCAGCTCAATTTTATTCTGTCAGCATGTCTTGTTTTATCATCAAATCCAAACTGAGCCAAGAAAAACAACAAAATTAAGAATTTAGAAATACATTAACATCATGTATATAGAGGGTACAAAGGAAGTTTAAAATAGCATTTGGATTTCATTCAAAGCTGTTTTGACACATCTACTAATTTGGCTCGAGATGCTAAGGCCTACATCAATTTAAATGGTAGAGGAATGAAAATTCCAAGTGTGGTGGTTACACTAAATCAAACTTGATGCAAAACTGGCTGTATGATAGCTTGTGGAACAAAAACTGAAATGGGTATTATCCTTGCTCTAATTCTGAAATGTGTCACTGTTAATGCAAAAGGCCTTTTACTATTTATTTATTTATTTATTATTTATTTGATATACTTGTATACCGCTAATATCTCAGTCTAAATCGGCGACTCATTGCGGTTTACAGTAATTAAAAACAATCTCCAATTTAAAAACATATACACATACAATAACAAATTATTGGGCCACCAATAATAATCCCATATATCTCGAGTTGAAATCACAATCCAGAATTCGTTGTCCATGTTTTCTGTCCTTAGTCATCAGGATTCGAGTTGCCACAGATTAGTACCTCTATAGGGAGGGTGTTCCAAAGCCGGGGGGCCACCACAGAGAAGGCCCTATCTCTCGTTCCCGCCAGCCGCACTTCTGAAGCTGGAGGGATAGAGAGAGGGACTCTCCGGAAGATCTTAGGGTCCTGGTGGGCTGATAGGCTGAGATACGTTCGGATAGATAAGTTGGGACAGAACCGTTTAGGGCTTTAAAGGCCAACGCCAGCACTTTGAATTGAGCCCGGTAGCATATCGGCAGCCAGTGGAGCTGGTTCAGCAAGGGAGTTGTATGCTCCCTGCGCCCCGCTCCTGTTAGAATCATGGCTGCCGCCCGTTGGACTAACTGGAGCTTCCGGACTGTCTTCAAAGGCAACCCCACGTAGAGGGGTTTTACTAGTGAATAGTTTTACTAGTTAATAGTTTTAATAGTTTTACTAGTGAAATAACACCACTATATATAGCCCAGAAAGATTAAATCCACTATTCTTCAGCGCCCATATATGTAACTAACTATAGTGATTGTTTATGAGTATAACCAAAGAACTTGGGTTTATGCTAAAAATATAAGGAGAAATATATGATTTTTTTTGAAGCTGAAATTCTTTGCTGCATCATATTTTGGTGCTTTTAAAAATAGAAGTTTAGAAGCATTTCACATTTATTTCATATTTCAAAGAGAGTAATGACAAGACAAGTAGGTACTAGACTGAATCATTAAACATTTCTGTGGAAGGTATTTGAATTCTGCCAAAGTAATTACAGCTCCCTTCATATGATTAGTCTCTTGAACATACTACTCAACATCTATGCACAATAAATGAAAATTCTATTGGAAGAAAAATAAAAAGAGCTGAGATTTGTTTGTTTATTTCTAATTTATATGTCACCTTTCTCCGAGAAGTGGCTTGTTGTGTAAGAAACACTAAAACTGCTTTTTAAATTAAGTTACATTGTTTGATTGTACAAATCTTTCTTTATACATACCATACTGGAGAAATTTGTCCACTCCTGCAAAAAAGAAAAGGAAGACATAAAATACGCTTTGGAACAAACACTGGAAAAATGAAAGAATTTACATATATGTTGTAGACAAAAAAATAGACGAAGAGTTGTTTAAGTACTCCAAATTTCAGTCACCAAGGGAAATTCCTACTTACTACCCAACTACTTAACTAAGAGAATGAGCTGAGCAAGTGTCCTTTCTATTTATCCATATGTGAAATACAATCTGCACTTGGCAATTTAAGTTCAATGACAAACATCTGGAACACATCTTGACATTAATTAGATGTTTTAAAGTGTCAGTCCAGATTTAACATTAAACCATTTTTTCATCGAAGTGTACCAGATTTATTACTTGAAAATAAAATTCCTGGGGGGATTACTAAATATTGTAATTTCTTGATCCACAGAAAGGATTCATAATCTATTCACTCAACAGTATAACAATTAAGAATTAAAACAACATCAAACAAAAATTTACTTCCTTCTTGTCCACAAAGTTGTAAAGTGTAGCAAAAATGCTTCGTGGCAAACATGTGAGCAAGAAAAGCAGCTTTCCAAAAGCATGGTGACAATGGAGTGAATAATGTACTGAGATAAAAACAAAATGTATGAGCTGCCAATAATTTAATATGATTTCCAAGAAACTTAGGAATTACCATTTTATATTCTCAAAAATACATTATCTTTCTAACTGCTATAACCAATTTCAAGTAATTTATTGAACATATTTTCCCCTAAACAAGGCAAGAATTCATTCCCAATTTGCCAAGGAAAATTCTAAGTGAGCTTATTGTTTGGATTCTAAATGTGCTCTCTAATTTCTTATTAATTAAGAGACTAAAGCTAAACAATGTCCTTGAGAATGTTTTGGGGGGAATTTTTTCCATGTATGGAGACCTGAAGTCACCCTTCTTGGGTGTGTGTGTGATAAATTCTGTTTCAACAATGGTATTCCCCAAAGTATAGTTCTTAACATTCTGCCATATTATTCTGATAATACAGATTATATCTGATTTTAGAACTAAATAAGACCAGAGCTTGTAAATACTTAGACCATTGGATAATACCAGGGGACTCCAGGTGGGTAGGAAAGAATCCTGGCTGAAACCCAAGAAAACTGCTATCATTTACAACTGACAGTAGTGGGCTTGATGAACTAATGTTCTGGTTCAGTGTAAAATTGGTAGCTTCTCATGCTCCACTGAAAGTTTGTTTTAAAAAATATGATTTAGGAGTATCAAGTCAAACATTTTACTAACCTATAAAGCAGATATGAATAGTATAGTTTAGAATGGACAACATCTCTGATTATATTACCTCTATTGAGAACTTTCAACACCATTATCTTGCTTAAAGAAAAGATCAAAAGATCTTTGAGTATGCTATTCTCTTTTAAAGAGAACTTGAAAATGTATTTAAACAATGTTGTCATCCAAAAGTAACAAAAGCTGCCTCTTTTTAAATAGCAAACATATTGCACTATATAATACAGACATACCTCTCCAATGATGTCAGTCTGAGAACAGGCATCACAGTGTTGTTGAGGTAAACTGGAGTTACTGAGTGAGCTGGAATTACGCTGAAGATCCTGCTGAGATTGTGTGATACAGCAGCTATTCCGGAATCCATCTGTCAGTTTGACCAGACTCTATTTTTTAAAGGAAGTTGAGAAAGAAAAGGCATATAAAAAGATCTATTTGTGGTTTTGTAATTATTATTATTTTTAAATATAGAATCACTTAATAGCCCACAAAGATTTATCTTAGATTGTGACAAGATAATCGTAGTGAATGAATCACTACTTGCACCGAAAGTTTAATTTTAAAAAGAGCTTATTTATACAGAAATGAATGTATATGTAATGCATACAGCGGGGAAAATATTGCAAATTCACTTAGTCTAGACAGATTTTAAAAAATAACTCCAGCACAAAAAAGGTTTCCAAGACGGTATGCATAAAGATATACTGACAAAATTAAAGCTCAGGAGCATAAACACTATGCTAGAAATATCTATAAAGACCCCATTACTATACATAACCCAAACTTTAGCTGAAAACAACTGTTCCCCCGATAATGGCATGAGAATGTAAGCAGCAATACTTCAGCAGACGTATTAAAGACCCAGTAATATTTTTTATATTCTGGAGCCCCTTTAATCTCAACAGCTTCACTAACTGGGACATCAACAAAGATCTCCAGCTCCAAAATCCTATACATCAAAGATAACCTAAAAGTGATGATTGACTTTTAAAAGAAATGGTGCTAGCTTCCTAATTTTCTATAAGAATAGTATATAAGCCTTAACTTATCTATGTTTTTATGGCCAAGTATTATTATCTAAGTAACTGCATTCCTTTAACTAATTTGTGTGTTTCATACAGGCTAGAAGTGCATGGACCATTTTGATTTTCTTTTCATTTAAAGAATCCTGCATGATTTGAGATTGTCTCTACATTAAAAAACAAAAACAAAAACAAAACAGAAACCCATAAAAATATCCTACATAAGTCCACATAATGTAGAAAACTGTAGTATCAATTAAACGTGTGGAGGAAACAAGAGGTAAAAAATTACTTCTCCCCTAAAAGATAAAGGAGAATATCCACAATGATTTAACCTCAATTTCTCTCTCCCCAGAATATCCCAGTTTACATATGAAGTATTCAGGTTTGCCATTGACATTTTAAAGGACTATGGGAAATTGTAATGATTTTGTCAGTATATACCTCTAGTTCAGAATGTGTATGAGTTCTCTCTCCATTTATTATGAGTGGAAAAAATCATTTTCTTTAAAATAGCTATGTTGCTTGTAATTTAAGACCAAAAAGAGTATACCATTTCTCATGTCCATCTTAAGCAAACTACCAGAAACTGAAAATTGAGAGGTAGCATTCCATTCTTTGTTCCTTTATTTAATTACAATAATATATTTTCAATATAATATATCTAAGCTAACAGCATTAATGTATTGATAACTCTAAATTTCTAAGACAACACAATGGCAAACTTCACATTCTTCCTTCAAACTTATACAGAACAACAATATCTGGTGGAGTTGGGAAAAAGCATAGCAGAAACAGAAAATGCGGAGGAAGCAGAATCAAAATACACACAACTTACCGATGAATTAATTGTCTCAGGGAAAAATTTAGAAGGCAGACTTAGGATCCAAAACCAAGGAGAGAGGGCCTCAGACACACAGAAAGAATGCTCAAAGCTAAGAAAGAAGCTAATTCAAATATATCAATCTTATAGAGCAGAAAACTCCCGGAATCTCCCCAAATTGTACTACACTACCAAAGAACAATACAAAGCCATGTTAGTGAGAAACAAGAGGGAAAAAATAAATAGAAAATGGAATGCCCTGGTTGATGCTTCCCTAAATAACAACTCCAAGCAATTCTGGGCCCTGGTCACGGGAATGCTGGGATCTGGGAAAACATCTCCCAAATGCCATATACCAGCACAGGTGTGGGAAACATACTTCACTTTACTATATGGATCAAATGAAGAAACAGTCAGAAGGGAGGGGAAAGAAAATGCAGTCATCTCTATTGGTACCATAGACACACCACAATGGCCCCCAGTGGCTAGTGGGGAGATAAAAACTCTGATCTCATCACTTAAAAATGGTAAGGCCCCAGGGCCAGATCAAATACCCCCCGAATTTCTAAAAAATAACATCTCGTGGAGGACGGCCTTCCTAGCCCCCCTCTTCACACACATCAACCGCACAGCCTTAATTCCTGCCGCATGGTCAAAATCTACTTTAATCCCGATATTTAAAAAAGGGGATAAAAACGATCCAGGGAACTACCGCCCTATCAGTTTACTCTCGGTGGTGGGCAAACTTTATGCTCGCCATTTATATAGCAAGCTTCTAGACTGGTTAGACTCAGAAAAAGTAATAGGTGAGGAACAGGCAGGCTTTAGAAAAGGGAGGTCTACCATAGACCATTGTATTGTGTTAAGCCACCTAGCAGAAAAATACCAAGCCCCTCCCTACAAAGGACTATTTATCGCGTTTATAGATCTAAAAGCTGCCTTCGAATCTATTCCAAGAAATTTACTATGGCAAAAACTACAGAAGACCACAATTGACAAAAGATTGCTCTGGTTAATTAAGAGCTTATATTCAAGCACTTCAACACAAGTAAGATGTGGAGTACAAGGCAACCTCTCAAAACCAATAGCAGTAAATAGGAGGGTGCGCCAGGGATGCATCCTGGCCCCTATTCTGTTTAACCTATATCTGAATGACCTAGCCACCCATGTTTCACTACCAAATGGACATCCCCCTAAAATCTCATCCACCAATATACCGCTATTGTTATATGCAGATGATGCTGCCCTCATATCCTACACCAAGGTAGGACTCAAGCAAGTGCTGAGTGCATTCTACCAATACTGTGAGAAAAACCAGCTAAAGTTAAACTATAGTAAAACAAAAATCATGGTCTTCTCAAAGAAGCGGGCCAGGCATAACTGGTACATAGGAAAGAACTTAATTGAACAAGCTTCCAGTTTTAAATATCTAGGGGTTACCTTTCAAGCCTCAGGTTCCTGGGGATGCCATCAAAAATGGCAGTTCAAAATGCCCTATCCAGTAGTAAAGCAATAATTCGCTTTTTTTACACCAAAGGTGGCCAGTATATACCAGCAGCAACAAAGGTCTTCCAAGCAAAGGTAACGGCCCAATTATTATACGCAATTCCAGTATGGATCACAGGCTTCACATCTAAAGTAGAACAAGTTCAATCAGGGTTTCTTAGAAAACTGTTTGCTGTCCCCAGTTGTGTTCCATCTGCTGTTTTAAGACTAGAATCAGGAACAGCCTCACTCGAATCACTGGCTTGGAGAAGGGCCCTAGGATTCTGGATGGAGAGGGTGCACAAAGGGCCTGAAGCGGGATATACATATCTGATTCAAAAAGACCTCTTTAAATCCCACCAAATCAAAGCGCTAAATCAGAAACTCAGGCAGATGGGCCTCTCAGAGAATATATTGAGCGGTTTTGAGCATAAAAAGATAATGCAGATCTTAGCGGAACGAGTCAGTGACATAGACAAACAGGACTCAATGACACTGGCGTGCTCCACATGCTCTTCATTGAGTTTAGGCCTAACATTTAATTCTTTGGGAGGTGCCAAATACTTAGAAAATTTAAACATCCCAAAATTTCGCCTTGCTTTCAGTTGGGCCAGATTTAATGCCCTCAAATCAGCCATACTAGAGGGTAGATACAAAGGGATTGATTACGAACACAGAGTTTGCCCATGCGAGGAGGGTAAAATTGAAACTGTAATACATGTACTTTTTATTTGCACAATATAGACTAAGGTTAATATCCCCTCTACTCACCAAGTGGCCAGGAAGATCCCTAAGTTGGTACTGCACTTATTTACTGTCTGATCTTGATAAAAGGGTAATGGAACAGGTGGCCAAATTTCTGTTTGGAGCGGCAAAAAGCCGCAAGTTCTTCATGAATAACCTGTAAAGGCTGAGTGTAACAAAGAGTACTCGGGAGACTTATTATTAATTTGCAATCAGTTCCTGTTTTAGATTATATAGACAGTCACTCACCCGATAGCGAATGGTGATACTTGTTTTTATTAATTATAAGCCAAATGTGATGTTATTAATTGTTAATTGTTGTATTTCATCATTCTACTTTCACTTGACTTAGCAGATGGTTTGTTGACCGAAATAAAGGCTACTGACTGACTGACAGAACAACGATAATATTATTGCACATATGACATCACTTTAACCACCATACTCTATTTAGACCAGAAGAGACCAGCCCTTCCTGCCCTGTCTCTCACCTATACCCCCCTCAATCTGACATAAAATTTAGCAACAGTGAAGTTTCCAAAACCTACCCAGGAATGAGTCATGGCCATCTATTCCAACACAATTTGCTACATTGGGAATATCTAAATTGCAGGGTATCTGTTTCATTTTACTACGGCAGTTCTGTCCACTTTACTACACTTACCAATTACCATGCTGAGTTTCAATAACTTCCAACATTTTTTATTCTGAATCTGATGGGGACAATGTGTGCTCTGACCATTATTCAACAATAAATTAATAAGAGTGAATAAATATCCCAATTCTGCACAAAAGTGCGGGCAATTCCATTTTTTTTTTTTAAAAATGAGTAAATGAACAAGATGTAATTTAAACTATTCCCAGCATTCAATTTTATTAGATTAGAATGTAATTCAAAACAGTTAGTATGTTGTGAAGTAGTTTGTTAAATTCTGGAAACACTTTAAATCCATTATCTTCATAAAATTTACAATTTATTGATTGATATAATTTCTGTACAAAAGGTTAATATTATCTTTATGAGAAAGCAAATGAGATGAAAATATACTGTATATACTCGAGTATAAGCCTAGTTTATCAGACCTTTTTTTTTGGGGGGGGGGGCTGAAAAAGTCCCCCTCGACTTATACTCGAGTCAAGGTTATTTATTATTTTACTCTGTTATAAATACGTAATAAATGTATTATTATTATTATTACATTTATTATTTTACTTTATTATTGTTGTTACTATTACATTTATTGTTTTACTCTATTATTGTTGTTATTATTACATTTATTATTTTACTCTATTTATTTTTATTGGAAGGGTATGAAAGTTCTATGTAAATATTACAGTTTTATGTAAATATTCAAAAACATTTAACCTCCTGATGCCTCAATTAATATAATTTTATTAGTATCTATTTTTATTTTGAAATTTACCAGTATCTGTTGCATTTCCCATCCTTGAGTCAATCTGTTTTCGCAAGTTTTTGTGGTAAAATTAAGTGACTCGGCTTATATTCGGGTCGGCTTATACTCTAGTATATACGGTATGTTTTTAACCCTACTATGCATTCACTGTTAAGCTATGACTCAGGGCCATGGATCAAGACATTATTTGCCACTCCAGGGCTCCTACTCTTTGGACTGCTTTGGACAACTCTAGTAGTTCCTATTCTGTGCTACAGGGGAAAATAAATATCCCTCCATATTATTCTATTTATATTCAGATGTTCAAAAATGTTGCAGATGAATTCTTCTATAGAGAAAAGTATGTAGATTTCCTGTGCAAAAAACACTGTATCCTTGTCAGCAACTTATTTTTCTCTAATTTCTCCGTAATAATTCAGCATATCAAATAGCATGAAAAAAATGTGCAAAATTTTCCCTGGTCTTTTATTTATTTATTTACGACATTTATATGCCGCCCTACTCACCTCGAAGGGGACTCAGAGCAGCTATTACTATTCTTTCCAGAGGGATTTCCTCTGGTTCAGTCTAGGATCAAATAATGATGAGTATCTTTCCCACCATTAATGCTTACCTGCATTAGATCTTGCCTTTCTCTTTCACCCATACAGATAGCCTTCCTGATGCTTCGAAGCTCATTCATTATTGCTTGGGCTTCATCCAATTTATAATTCATGTGAGCATTTGATATCTTACGGTCAATCCTTTTGTATAAAAACATAAAGCAAAAAGATTTTTTCAGTTTAGGAAATACAAGCAGCCCCGAGTTACAAGTATCCGACTTACAAACAACTCATAGTTAAGAACAGGGGTGAGACACCAGAAAATCAGAGAACTCTATCCCAGGAAGGAAAATTCACTGGTGAAAGAGTTATCATGGGGAAAAGGTGTCTCCACTGAAGCTTTATCACCTCAACAACCTATCTTGTTCACAATGTGGGGACTGCCTGTAGTCAGTTTCAAATCAATTTTGACACTTGAAGTCAAAATGAGTGAGTCTTTCTTTTATTGATGCCAAGGTGGCTTTGCTCAGTAGTGGGAAAGGCCATCATTTCCCACCTTCTACCAATGTCTTCCCCTTATTTTATCTCTTTGACATCGGAATAATACCAGACCAAATACAGTATGCGCCTGTCAGGCAAAACATTCTCCACTTGTGGTCTGGATGAAAAAAAAAAGCAGTAGATGGTAAAAGAGAAGACATGCTAGCCTCCTGTGTTGAAGAGTGGACAAAGAAGATAATTTAAAGGCTGTCAAGGATTGCTTTATGAAAATGCAGCTATAATCATACTGAGATGAACTATACCTTGTATAAATACTATGCCCCCAATAAACCTGTCAGAAAAAATGTAACTATTACATGCAGCATTTTGGCCAAGGCACAAAGGTTATTGCACTATTGATTGACTTGCTATTTTTTTTTGTATCTATACTACCATGAATAAAGCAGTATACTGATTATTCTGCAGGATTTCAACTCACTCTTGCAACGTCTCTACTCCTTTCTCTTTGTACTGAAGTTCTTGCTTCATCTGTGTCAACTCTCGTTTTAACCTAGAAAGCTTGAGAGAGAAATACAGTTTTGAAAAGTATGCACCAGCACACTAAACTGCTGCAATTCATTGTTCATATTTTCTTTATGCTATAATTCAGTTCCCAGGTTATGGTACAGAGCTTCCCAGATGTGTTTAGCTCCCTAACATGAAACTTACTGTATACAGAAATTACACACAATATACAAATTATATACTCGACTGCATACACACATTGAAAAAAATCAAAACTATTTCTTGCTTTAATTGACTTTTTAGTAATTAAATTATTCATGAAAACACAACTGTTACTCAAAAATTACATGATATATAATGGCCCCGTGTGTTTCCTACTTCAATTTTACCCAGCTTTATAATAAGAGGAATTGCCATAGAGATTCTAACTTTCCTTGTGACCTGACCACTGCATTAAACTCTTCCAGTTGTCAGTCGCTTCTAAATATCTATTTCTTGTTATACAACTACTAATATATTTATTTATTCCAATCTGCTAGGTTGCATAGAAACATAAAAACAACACTGTCTTTCCCCACAAGATTTACTAATATGTTCATCACATCAGATGGCATTTCATGATTTACTAGAGGAAGAACACCACTTTCAGGAAATGTCTGGCACATCTCAGAATACATTCCTCTCATAGTGCTTAAGCAAGAGCAGAATGTGCCCACATTATTTTAATATTTTTCATGCCATAGAAACACAGCTCCACACTAATAGTAAAGGAGCCACAGAAAAAGAGTTGATATCAGTATGGAGTATATATTTAAAAGACAAAGATCCTGGGTTCATTTTTAGCAAATCCAAATAAAACCAGAGAACTACTGCCTAGTACAGAAATACAAATTTCTTCTCAAACCTTTCAAAATATTTAATCTATTTATTTTTAAAGGTTGTATCATTTTTGCAAGATAAACAAAGATATTAACATGATCTGATAAATTTAAAAAGTGTGCAACTTTTCCTAACAGAGCATTTTAGGAACACCAATATTATTGTGCCAGTTGTAGCTAATATTCCTAATTAGTTGCCTCAACAGATAAGACAGAAGGACATTTGGTTTAAAGTAAAAAATGAGATTTACTCACTCTGTCCCTTCGACTTGCTATTTCCGCTTTGATCTGACATGGATCATATTTGGTATTGGTCGAAAATCCCGAAAATGCTGAACAAATGGAAATGTCATAATGTTAAAATTAAAGCCTAGAACACACTTGTTGTGTGTATTATATTTAGTGTTTTTTCATAGGAACCCCTTATTCTAAAGCTAAGATAGTGAATTAGAATCAAGCTGCTAAAGCATCACAATCATTTCTTAGACCCTTCAATACTCAAAAACATTTTATAATTTAAACATGGGGAAAAATCTAAAATGTAATTACTTGGAGATTAGAAAAAACAAATTAGAGTAAGTTCATTAGAGTAGGTTGAAAGACTTATAGGAATCATAGAATTAAAAGACCGTTTTGTAGGATGGAAGTCCTATATTCAGAAACCTTGATAAACAAATTAGAAAATGCAACGGCCTTTCGTTTACAAAGTCTACTAACAGTTACAGACATACTAGTAGATTTCATAAATAGTGGGATCTTTTAATACCATTATCACTCAATTCTAGAAATGTCACAGTAACCTCTCTCTGTGTGTGTACAGTGTACCATGATCTCTCACTATTTACAAACTCTACTGGGATGAAAATGGCATTAAAACAAAAGTACAAATTTACAGGATATTAATACTGATTTAATTGATTTTTTTTACTATATATATATCCCACCTTTCTCCCTGAGAGACTCAAGATGACCAATCATCACATACTTTGATCAGTTTAAAACAAAGCAAATACAAAAATTTATTTATTTATTTGGAGCTTTTATATTCCGCCCTTCTCACCCCGCAGGGGACTCAGAACGGATTACAGTATACACATATATGGCAAACATTCAATGCCAATTTTGACATACAACATATACAGACATAGACAGAGGCTATTTAACTTTTTCTGACCGCCAAGGGAGCTGTCGCTTTCATCGTCCATCTGCGACACTGATGAAGTACTTCCGCATTCCCCACATGCTTTTGCTGGAGTCTTTTTTATGGCCTCATAAATTAGTTAATTTAGCCTCCCCACACTTTAAGGTGGTACCTTATTTTCCTACTTGACAGATGCAACTGTCTTTCGGGTTGCAAAGGTCGACAACAGGTTACACAATTGGTTGGAAACCTACTCCAACCTTTTGGTCAGAGTGATCTTAATGCAGCTGACACTCAGCCAGCTGCGCCACAGCATTACATAGTATTGTCTGTCTGGTTAAAAATACAATAAAATAGATGTTGAGTCAAAACTACAGTGGGAGACTATCTTAAGCAAGGATCTTACTGAGTTTCAATGGCATAAAATCTAGCATGCAACACCATGCAGATCAATTTTAACAATCCCAAAGGAATGTAGAATCTGATTAATCATAATACTGTTTCATTATGCTACCACAATTGATCAATTTAGTATTCCTGCATGCAAAATATTGTCTACCCTTGGAAAATATTTCATCCAGTGACAGAGTAATATTACAGGGAAAGGGGGAAAGTTACTGTAATACAATTCAAAAATTCACCTGTGTATCTTTACTCAGGTTTACTTAAAAAATAAATTGGGAAAAATATAAAAACTAAAGGATTTTAAGAGAATAGAGTAAAATACAGGTAAAGAGGAATAATCAAGCAGAACTGAATCGAATACCATTAATGTATTCTAGAATGTCTATTTATTAACATTCTTCATGAAACACCAAGTCCTGAACATGGATCACTTGATGAGGTTTGCTAAAAAGAGTGGCACCAGTACTATTGGTGCAGCCTAGAATTGCATTAGACTTCTCAGCTGACACACTGTACTATTCTCTTATTTGCAGTTTGTTTCTTCTAAGATCTTTCTGAAATGTATTCAAACCATGTCTAAATTATATCTTTGGGCACTGTACAAAGTATTATGGTAATCTTGAAACTTCTGTCTCTCATTCAAGACATCAACTGAAACTCTTATGAGCACCCTTTCTGTTCCTTCATGCAAATCAATATACAGAACAAAACTGGGCTGAGTAGAAAACACAATAGCGTTCCGCATGACTTTTGTCCAGGTGAAGGACAAGACACTGAGTACAGTCTACTAATCCATCTAGAAACAAAAGCACTTTAAGTTCACAATTTACCATCTTGACAGGAAGAATACTGCAGAGGACCATACTATTCTTTGTAGCTACAGCTGAACACATGAAACTATTTAAGCAAAGTGAGAAATGCATGTACGGTTTCCAAACAAATTATAATATTGTGCTTAATAGTGAGATGTTATATTTCAGTAAATTATATTCTATTTGCACTACACTCTTATAATAAACTACACATTATTTCCCAGTATGTTTATAGTGGGCAGACAGTTATGGCATGCTAAAAGCCATTTCGAACAAACACAGTAAACTTAAATAAACATTGTTTCCATTAGCCTGGACTAATTAACAGAATAAAATTTTACACAGGTAATCACATGGTAACAATGATTTCCCTCATCTAGCTGGGATGACCATATATTCTTGTCTGGAGCTCCTCACATATGCCCTATGAAATCCGAAAAGTTGGGGAAAGACACTGGAATGCTATGATTTAATATGGAACCCCTGGCGGTGCAATGAGTTAAACCGTTGTGCCAGCAGAACTGCTGACTGACAGGTCAGTGATTTGAATCTGGGGAGAGCAGGTTGAGCTCCCTCTGTCAGCTCCAGCTCTCCATGCAGGGACATGAAAGAAGACTCCCACAAGAATGGTAAAACATCAAACATCTGGGTGTCCCTTGGGCAACGTCCTTGCAGGAGGACAATTCTCTCACATCAGAAGCAACTTCTTCTTTTAGGGGCTTTTGGAGGGGGTTGGGATGGCATCTAGACATTCCACCGGAAAAGCCTGGTTTTGGGGGGGGGGGGTGAACCCAAATCCAGGCGAAAACAGGTTTTTTTAACTAGCTTTGGCACAAATTTGAGTGCTGTCTGGAGGCGCCCAGAGAAAACAGCCATGGGCAGAAATATCTATAAAAATGAAGAATATTAAAATTTGAAGGCAAAATTTCCATAATCCAAATATATATGAAATTCCAAATAATGTTTAGAATTAAATGTGATGTGATCCTAACTGAAATAAACTTTGTTGATCTCAGAGGTACTTGCTTATGAACAAATATCCATAGATCAAACTGTTAATTGCAAAATTATTCTAAAATTCCATAATTTCTAAAAATACTTTCCATGTTGGCATTTTGAAAAGAGTTAATTGCAACCTGGCTGTCACAAAATGTAAGCAGAACCAGAAGGATTATTCTGTGCAAAACTGCTATTTGAGATGCACTTTTCTAGGCTGAAGGACTGCAACAGGCCAATCAAATTAAGGAAAGACAGACCTTGGCTCTTTCATATTTCTGCCAAATAAATAAAGAACTGTCCTTGTTCAAAACAAGCGCTAAATGCCAGTCTTAAGAGGGCTACTGACAGTTTTAAAAACTATGGAAAAACATTTTATAAAAACAGAATGACTCACATTGTAAAGCATCAATTATAACTAAACTGTTTTTCCTGGTTCTATTTCTGACATTTTTGGTGCCATTTACATCTCATAAGAGAAGGAACACAACTTCCTTAGAAAATGTGCAGCAGCAACATAGGGCACATGCACGAAGAGAACAGAAGTTCATACAGATTTTTCAACATCTTGTCTATGAATGTGAATATATTTCTCAAATTACAGCAAACAATGAATAGCCGTTTTTAAATATAAATAAAATATGCATTCTGAATGGTTGTAGCCTTAGATTTTGGAGCCTTTCTCTTTTGTCTTCACCCACCTAGAACACTATCAAATTCTATGCTGCATAGACACACATAAATATGAAGGGATTCTTGGTGCTGCTCTAAGTCTTGCAGTCTTGGCCTTTCAGGCCTGTGGAAGTCCTGAAATTTTAACCTTTAGTTTCACTTCATTATCAGATAGTCTATGGTTCCAAACCATTGAGGAACATGGGAAAGAGAGCTATATGAAAACGAAAGATATTAACCTGCGTTTGTTAAATTAAAACCACACCTCCCTGCAATACAGAACTGCCTGCTATTTAAAATCCCAGTTAGAAAGAAGACTGCACTTCTATGCTAGGAGCATGCTGTTAAACTAAGTAAAATAAACAACTCCTGCACTTATGCATTTTCCCTGCAAGCGTAACACACAAACCAAGCTTGGCAATCTATGTTCACCAAAATTACATGATTCGAGTTCGCCAGAGCTGGATCTCACTGAATCACTGAGGAATATTTACTTCATTTCCAATTTATTTTTACTGAACTATCACAATGTTCTGAATTCCACAGAATTAATAAAAAGTAAGTTTGGAAAAAAGGTGGGATATAAATTAGGTAAGTGAATACAAATAAATAACAAAGTCTTGTCTGTGGTGAACTAAAAAAACAAAGCAATAAATCATTTAAAAGAAGTAGCAGTAAAGTAAAGCTTTCCAAAGATAGCTGCGTGAAGCCGCTCTTTATTCAGCAAAAATATATTGAGGAATGTGTTTCTCTGTATAACATTTGCTTGGCCCTTCATTCTGTAAAACTGTTCAGGCAAACAAAAAACGTTAATATTCTACTACCAAAAAAAGATGAAACGTTGACTTTTTAAAATGCAGAATAACTGAAATAATAAAGATTTCAGTAGCTACATAAATAACCATCAAAATGAAAATATTGTACATCTTACATCAGTTTATGCAAGCCATAAGTTTTAATGTTTTACACAGGAGACCCCGGAACCCTTACAGTTGGTCAATCTGGCTGGGACTTTTGGGAGCTCAAGTCCAGTACATCTGGAGGACCAAAGATTCTCTGTTTGCTTTACATAACGCAGAGCTCTTGGATAAGTGACAGCACTCCAAATAAACACAACAGCGGCAAAGTCTCACATTCCAACCCAACACAATATGCATAGACCCCTTTAAAGAAATGACAGTCTCAACAATTATCTGCTTTATGGAAAATAGAGGGAAAGCAGAAGGAAATCAAATTCCCCACTTCTTGTATCAGTGAAATTTTGGTTTGTTTGGGTTTTTTTTTAAATGTGGTCTGCAGCCCCAGTCACAAAGATTGGGGGAGGGATCAGGAAGGAAAATTGTGATCCTCCAAAGATAATTTGCCTGTGCAGTTCTTCATGCTGTTATGAATACACATGAAGAAATGTGGGCTATTTGAAAAGGAAAAGTAAACTTACAGCTGGCGTAAGAGCGGCTGTCATCCTCACACATTTTATGCAGTTGCTGGTATTCTTCTTGTGCCAGCTCAAAACGCTGCTGCTTGATTTGGTAAATTTCCTTTTTGGCATTAAGTGCTTCTTGGGCAACAATCAAATATTCCTTTAACATGCGCTCCTGCTCTCTTCTCCACTGCTCTCTTGGATCTTCAATTTGTGTGAGCTCTGATGAGAGAGAAAAAAATATCACATACACTAAGCAAACATATCTAAAAAAGACATGCCACATTAACTATATAAATTTTCTGACAAAAATATAACAGATCTCCAGATTCTTCAGTTAATGATAAGATACATATTGTATATACTCGAGTATAAGCCAAACCAAATATAAGCCGAGGCACCTAATTTTACCACAAAAAACTGGGAAAGCTTATTAACTTGATTATAAGCCAAGAGTGGGAAATGCAGCAGCTACTGGTAAATCTATATAAATAAAAATGTAATGTTCGTTTGTGGGATTAACATAACTCAAAAACCACTGGACGAATTGACACTAAATTTGGACATAATACACCTATCAAGCCAATGAGTGATCATCACTCATATAAACACTGAAAAACACAGCAGAAGAGACTTAAAAGTAAAAAAAATACATTACAACACATGCATAAAACCATATACACATATACACAAATATATACCCACACATATACACACACAAAGCACATATACACAGACTAGGCCACAGCAACGCGAGGCAGGAGACAGCTAGTTTCAACATAAAAATAGATATTAATAAAATTACATTAACTGCAGCATCAGTAGGTTATATGTTTTTAAATTTTTACATAAAACTGTAATGTAAGATAAGACTGTCCAACTTTGATTAAACCATTATTCTAACCTTCTTCAATGTAAATGTGGTTACGTATCCTTCCAATAATAGAGTAAAATAATAAATGTAATAAAATAATAATAGAGTAAAATAATTGAAATGTAATAAAAATGTAATAACAATAGAGTAAAATAATAAATGTAATAATAATATATTAAATAATGTAAATGTAATACTACTAATAATAGAGCAAAATAATAAATGTAATAATAATAATAATAATAATAATAATAATAATAATAATAATAATAAACAGAGTCAAATAATAAATAATTTTGATTCGAGTATAAGCCAAGAGGAGCTTTTTCAGCCAAAAAAGGGCCAAAAAACTCGGCTTAAACTCGACTTAATTACTGACTTAATTCAAATGTAATTGATTGTAAAGTGTGTATCTTATCATTCACTGAAGGATTTCAGAGAACAAAACTCTTTGTTTTTCAGCAAACAGGACAGGAAAACTAAGCCCTGGACTAATGTTGAGGCCTTGAACCCCCTTTCTACTTATTATTATTATTATTATTATTAAACTTTATTTGTACCCCGCTAGCATCTCCCGAAGGACTCGATGCGGCTTACAAAGGCCAAGGCCTCAATACACAACATAACAATACACTTAAAGCAAATTAAAAACAATTAAAGCAGTATTAAACAACAAAGAACCACAAGCAATAAACAATACATCAAAAAAGATAAAAACTGGGCCGGGCCAGAGTAAAGGGTACAGGATTAAAAAGTGCTGACAGGTGATATGTAAGGATTATGTTGTTGTTGTTGTTCATTCGTTCAGTCGTCTCCGACTCTTCGTGACCTCATGGACCAGCCCACGCCAGAGCTCCCTGTCGGCCGTTACCACCCCCAGCTCCTTCAAGGTCAGTCCAGTCACTTCAAGGATGCCATCCATCCATCTTGCCCTTGGTCGGCCCCTCTTCCTTTTGCCTTCCACTTTCCCCAGCATATGTCTTCTCTAGGCTTTCCTGTCTCCTCATGATGTGGCCAAAGTACTTCAACTTTGTCTCTAGTATCTTTCCCTCCAAAGAGCAGTCGGGCTTTATTTCCTGGAGGATGGACTGGTTGGATCTTCTCGCAGTCCAAGGCACTCTCAGAACTTTCCTCCAACACCACAGTTCAAAAGCATCGATCTTCCTTCGCTCAGCCTTCCCTAAGGTCCAGCTCTCACATCCGTAGGTGACTACAGGGAATACCATGGCTTTGACTAGGCGGATCTTTGTTGTCAGTAAGGATTATAGGGCAGTGCAATGTGCAGTGTGCAGCAGTCTTAATTCTAATAAAGTGCGTCTGGGACTTGGTATTGGAGATTTCCTAATCGGGAAAGGCACATTGGAACAGCCAGGTCTTCAAGTTCTTTCTGAAGACTGCCAATGTAGGGGCCTGTCTAAGATCCTTGGGGAGAGTGTTCCAGAGACGGGGGGCCACCACGGAAAAGGCCCTGTCTCATGTCCCCACCAAACGTGCTTGCGACGCCGGCGGGATCACGAGCAGGGCCTCTCCAGATGAACATAGTGAACGCGTGGGTTCGTAGACGGAGATGCGGTCACGCAGGTAGGCTGGTCCCAAACCGTTCAGGGCTTTGTAGGTAAGCACCTGCACCTTAAATTGGGCTCGGAAGATAAACAGCAGCCAGTGGAGCTCCTTAAACAGGAGGGTTGACCTCTCTCTGTAAGGAGCACCAGTTAACATCCTGGCCGCAGATCGTTGGACAAGTTGGAATTTCCGAGCCGTTTTCAAGGGCAGCCCCACGTAGAGCGCATTACAGTAATCCAACCTAGAGGTGACCAAGGCATGGACCACTCCGGCCAGATCACCCTTCGCGAGGTACGGTCACAGTTGGCGCACGAGTCTTAATTGTGCGAAAGCCCTCCCAGACACCGCCAACGCCTGAGCCTCAAATGTGAGCGATGAATCCAGGAGGACTCCCAAACTGCGGACCTGTGGTTTCAAGGGGAGTGTAACCCCGTCCAATACAGGTTGCCACCCTATACCCCGGTCAGGTTTACGATCGACCAGGAGGACCTCTGTCTTGTCGGGATTGATCTTCAGCTTGTTCCTCCTCATCTAGACTTACCCAATGCATATGTAAAGAAGTAAGTATAGAGTATTTATTCTACTTTCAACTCAGTTAAGTTTTCAGTTGTTACACGGCTTCCTTCCTTGGGGCCTCAGAACCACATACAGCTAGGACAGAGGATGCAGTGGATGCTGCCACTAATTACAAATCACTAATAGTAGCATCAAGCCATGCTGTAAGTGGGCGGTTCTACATTCAAAGTGTTTTTCAGATTTATCATAGCCAGAGATTGAAAGTAGGATAAATACTGTTTCAATATCAGATCCCTAACTGGAGGTCAGCTGTTACCAACAGTGCTATGGAATTTGAAGAGGCAGAAATGGAGGGTGAAAGGGAGAAACGTGTCAAGTGGAAGGCGCGTAAAGCTAACCCTGACCAGGACTGCCTTTCACCTGGAAATCGATGTCCTCACTGTGGAAGAACATGCGGATCAAGAATAGTCACCCACAGACCCACCAAAAAGACCCTACACTTGGAAAGCCATCATACTCAGTCAATGAGGGATCGCCTAAGTAAGTAATATCAGATCACAAAAATCCCTGTACTATTGGAAATAGATGAGGTCTAGCTTGTGCTGTCAAAATAAATACAAACATTTCTCCACTCATGTTTCAGCCTTGCCTCACTGCTTTCATCTCTGAGGTATACATAAGAGCTAATTTGGCTCTGCCAAAGGGGGAAGGACTACTGGACATAATTGTGTCAATAACACTGTTTGGTTCTATTCCATGAATTGAATTGGCAAGGGCTTCATAAAAAGTTCCAGCCATACCAACTGAAGAATTGCTCCAAAAATAATCTCTGAGGGACAATTTCAATATGTCACTCTTACCATAATTAAAATTTCAACACAATTCCTTCAAGAACAAGTAACTATAAAGTAACTATAAATAATCAGAGCCCTACTACTCACGATTGATATGGTCCATGTAATAAACACCAATATGTTGATCGTAAACGGTCTCCCATCCTAAAGGCAGTTCATCGCCAACACAGTCAGCAAAAGTTAATGGCTTCGTAATCCTAGAAATAGCATAAAAAAATTAAAACAAGATCAAAATGGCAGCACTCAACTAGGTGGCTACTACTGTTGTCTACCAATTAATGGGTTATGAGTAATTTAGGGGAAAAATAAGATTTGTCTGCAGTTTGAACATCAAAGCCACTAGTAAATGGATAGATAATACTGTACAATGTGCAGAGATGTATTCTGGAAGACACCTTGCAGAACAAGAGAGACAAGGACTTCTTTGTACATTCCAGGCTTAACAGCTGAATTATCATGGCATGTAGTCCTTCCAGTTTTTTTTTCTAAACAAAAGGGCTGTGCTGAGATTTACTACTTTTACAAGTTGAGCCAAGTACATTTTAAAAAAAAGAGAAATGAGCATACAATGGTTTGAGTATTTTGCTCCACAGTGATATAAAAGAAACAGAATTGCTGTATTTATTTATCTACTATGAGAGAGTCTAATGGTTATAACAGTTATAACACCATCAAATACTACAACAATCATCACCTCCAACTCTTAGAGTGATTTATTCAGGGCACAAGACAAAGGTGATCAATATAACACACAACTTTTTCATAGAACACATCTTTTTATAGTTCCTATTTTAATTGCACATTTATTCCAGTAGTGAGAACTAGATAGAATTCTTCTCCAGAGATTTATTTTTATTATGAAAATAGTGAGACATTCTGCGACTGAATGTATATCGAAGTCAAATTTCATTTGACTTCTACATTCAATCACAGGTTTGGTCAGGAGAAGCGCTTTACAAACCATTGCTTCTGCCACCAGCCCTAAAAATCCCAAAGCAGGGAAGAATAACAACACACTCCAGAAAGTGATTTGTCTATTTGTTGCAAGTCTGTTTGTCGCTCTGTACACCAGTCTCTCTTTCAAGATGAGAAGAAAAGGTTCACAATCTTTTGTCTTCTGGGGGCTAAGATTGCTGATCTCTTTATTTTTGGAAGCTTCCCAATTTATCTTTTCCCAAAAATTCAGGATCATCTAAATTTCGTCAATACCCATGGACACAGCATATGTAGTGTCAAGAGGAAAGTATCTTGGATCTCTGTCGTGAATAATTCTACAAGTGCTGTTTTATGTACAACGTTATTAAAAATATTGTGTATAAAATTACCTTAAGGCTAAGTGTATATGAATTAGAAATAAATTTTGTATTTAGACATGGTTCTTATCTCCAAGATATCTCATTGTGTATATATAATCAAATAAAATTATTCCAACATTCAAAGAAATAATAATCTGAAATCCAATAACATTTCTTGTCCCAAGCATTTTGAATATGGGATATTGTTTAATGTAGGCATCTTAGAAGGAATTTTCAGAAGAACCCAAAAAATATGTATCTTTCTCAAACCAGCTCCCCATATGCTTTCACTCTTTCTGGGTCTAGTTTTGCCTCCTTTCTCTGTACATATACTTCTCTTGTATTACACCATTTATCCCAGATGCTTTCATCCTCTCTCTGAATTTTGACCATTCTTTCATTTCATCCTTCCCAATCCAACACTCAAATGACTACAACATTCTAGCTCTGTGTTAGATAATACATGCCTAAAAACAAGCATATTGAAACTCTGTGTGAATAGTATATTTATTATTACTTATTTACCAAGTAGATGGCGGAAACAGAAGAACGGCCTGCCTCAGGGGAGCGTGCTTGCTCCATCCATGTTCAACATCTACACAAATGACCAGCCACTGCCAGAAGGGACAGAGAGCTTCATTTATGCTGATGATGGTGCCATTACTGCTCAAGCAGGGAGCTTTCAGATGATAGAACAGAAGCTCTCCGAAGCTCTAGGTGCTCTTACTGCCTATTACAGGGAAAACCAGCTAACCCATCTAAAACACAGACATGTGCTTTTCATCTCAAGAACAGACAAGCATCTCAAGCTCTGAGGATCACCTGGGAAGGAATCCCACTGGAGTATTGCAGCTCTTACCTACAAGAAGCACTGCCTGAACATCAAGCAAAAAGTTGGTGCTAGAAACAATGTCATACGAAAGCTGACTGGCACAACCTGGGGATCACAACCAGACACAGTGAAGACATCTGCCCTTGCGCTATGCTACTCTGCTGCTGAGTACGTTGAGTACGCATGCCCAGTGTGGAACACATCTCACCACACTAAAACAGTGGATGTGGCTCTAATGAGAAATGACACATTATCACGGGGTGTCTGAGCCCTACACCACTGGAGAAATTACACTGCTTAGCCGGTATTGCACCACCTGACATCCGCCGGGAAGTAGCAGCCAATAGTGAAAGGACCAAGGCAGAGACATCTCCAGCTCATCCCCTGTTTGGGTATCAACCAGCATGTCAACGACTTAAACCTAGAAATAGTTTTCTAAGATCTACAGAGACACTTGCTGGAACACCTCAGCAAGCGAGAGTCCAAAAGTGGCAGGCGTTGAACAGGCTGCGCTCTGGCACCACGAGATGCAGAGCCAACCTCAAGATATGGGGCCACAAAGTGGAATCCACGACATGCGAGTGTGGAGAAGAGCAAACCACTGACCACCTGCTGCAATGCACCCTGAGCCCTGCCACATGCACAATGGAGGCCGTTCTTGCAGCAACACCAGAAGCACTCCAAGTGGCCAGATACTGGTCAAAGGACATTTAATCAACTTCCAAACTTGCAAATTTTGTGTTTTGTCTGTTTGTTTTTTTGTTTGTTTGTTTTGTTTTGTTAGAAATGTAATACAATTGACTAGTTGCCCTGACACGACAAATAAATAAATACATTTACCATATTTCTATCTAATCTTTCTCTTGATATAGAGATTCAAGTCAACAGCAGCAGCAACAAATATAACAAGGCAAATGCACTAAAATAGGTGTGTAAACATTTTAAAAATGTAACCAATTTAACCATTTGTGTTATTAAACCATTGAACATATATATTAAAATGCATTTAAACTGTTCTGTATATATTACTGGTAAATATCTTTATCACTGATGCAAAAACGGCAATGTTTATATCAGAAATTATCGTTTTCCTACTTCAAGGAATAAGGGTATCCAAAGTATCTTCTCCTCTACCACATCTAGATCACGCAAACCGTTAACCTATCAAGCACCAGGATCATACACTTCTCTGTTGTTGTATTATTTGCACTGGCTGCCAATATGCTTCGAAGTGTAATTCAATGTATTGGTTGTTAAACTAAATTTCTGAATATCTTGGGCTCAAACTCACTGAAAGACTGTTTCCATTTTAAACTGCTCATCCTTCAAAACCATCTGATGTACCATCCATTTTTCCTATTTCTATATATTCTGAGAAACACTTGGTGAGTAACTCTAAATTGTGTGTGTGTTCATGACACCATTAATGTCATAAGTCAGGAATATAGTCTATGCACTTGTTGGAAGTCTTTTGTCCAAGTATTAACTAGGGCTGACCCTACATTACTTTCAAAATCAGACAGGATCTGGTGCCTAAACTTCTTTTACTGCGCATGTACTCCCCTATATCTGAAGAGGTTGTCTTTCTTCTTTGTGTTCTGCCGCTCTTTGAAGATGTCTCTTTTTAAACACACAAAGTTGTTGCTCTTTCATTTCATTTACTTCTAGTCCTGTCCCTCTTACTGATGTTTCAATTATGGGCTACTTCTGATATTTTTTACAATGGAATGATCATGTTTTGTGAGCTGTGTCTTTTGGATTCAAAAAACCTCTCAAAAATGATGTAGGGAATTTGTGTTGAAAGGAATTAGCAACCTAGTAAAATAACACTGAGATAACTGTATCTGTAATATAATTGCTTAAGAAACTCAAAGAGCAAATTTAAATTCTAGTTTCACTTTGAGAAGGATTTAATTAAAAGGCTGCAGAATGACATATGTCTGCAGAGTTCATCAGATTATCTCTTGATAATGAAAGTAAGGCAACAGTTCTTCACATGTCTTCAGCATAAAATTCTATTGAGTATAAAGAATGAGATAATACTTCTATTTTCAAGAAACAACCTTAGTGAAGTTGCATCAGTACGCAGTATAATACTGAAAATTCATTGGAAGCTACTGGAAGTAAAAAATATATGGGTTTAGCATCCCTTATCTGAAATTCCAAAATACTCTGAAATTCAAAACTGTCCACATGGGTGGCTGAGATAGTAACACCACTTTATTTACACATATGTTTTATGGACGTTATTAACAATGGTGTATAAAATTACCTTCAGGCTACGTGTATATGAAATAGAAATGAATTTCGCATTCAGACTTGGTTCTAATATCCAAGATATCTCATTGTGTACATATATGTAAATAAAGCTATTCCAAAATTAAAATAATAATAATAATAAATCTAAAAAAATGTCTTGTCCTAAGCATTTTGAATATGGGATATTCATCCCATACAAGCACTGTAAGCAGAGAATTACACCTTTAGAACAAATATGTTTGGTTTATGAGCGAATGCCCCAAGCTAATAACCAGGATGTATTTTTATGTAGCTTGTGGGTTGCATGAACAGACATAATCAAAGTGTTTAGCTTCTGTACAAAAGTTTCTGTGCCACTTACATTTTTGGGCTATTAAAAAAAACTTTCTTATGAAAGTAATGGAAGGGAACAATCTTAAGTAGCATTCCAATATTTAAAGTATTATGACAACTTTCTTCTCCATTGCAACTACAGCCTGTACAGGTGGTTCCTGACTTACAAGCACCTGACTTGCTTGTAAGTCAGGTGTTTGTACAAATGACTTCTAGTTAAGAATGGGGCTGAGACAACAGGGAGTGAGAGAAATCTACCCCTCAGAAGGGAAATGAGCTCCTGAAACTTTTATCATAGAGGAAAGGGGGTCTCCACTGAAGCTCTTGCCAATCTTTGTTTCCACAACACGCCAATTTTTTCAAAATCTGATGATCACAGACCCAGAATCTTCTGAACAGAGACATAGAGAGCAAAACAAACACCACAGAGGTGTTAACACTTCCCTATGCTATCCAAAGCTTTTATATAGCTTGAGAA